GGAACGCTAAAAAAGAAGCTGGGCTTCATTGGGTATAGCGGAACCCAATCTTGGCCAGGGGGCACCATTGCCGGCTGAGTCCCAACTGAGATAATGCCAGGATGAAGTGAAGCAGAACTGGAAGATGGATTAAGGCCTCAAGGCTTCAAGGCCAAAATCGACCTCGACTTCCAGTCCACCTTGTCGGCGGCTTGTCCAGTCCACCACATCGGACTTCCTATGCATGTCATGTCGAACCGCTGGCAGTCACTCAGCTTTGTTGTCGGAATCCATGGCGGCACCAAATACCTGCTCCATCGCATAATAACCTAACGTTATAAATTTTCCCGGAAACTCCGTCGCAGCCGGTTCAACAACTGGAAGGTTGCTCGGGTTCTTTGACGTGCTGGTCGGAATGTGGAGATGTCTGTTCCGGTCTGAATGCCCGCCGTCCACATATTGTTCTTGTCCTAAACTCTGAATCCGGTGTTCGCATTCAGTCAACCGGCAGAGGGCTTGTTAACACCACTACCACACAGCTAACTTAAAAATTAACTTGGATGCCTGACAGCTTCTAACAAGTAAGCTGCTTCTACATCTTAACCGCCACTCACTAAGCAAATCTCGCAGCATGGTCGACTACGGCTCCGATCCAGCATGGAGCGATGTCGTGCCCATCGTTCAGCTCGATGGCGGCCCCAATGCTCTCGCTCAAATTGCTTATAGCGATGAGTATAGCGAAGCCATGTCCTACCTCCGTGCCCTCATGGCAGCGAACGAGTTGAGTGACCGGGTGCTTTCACTGACGGAAAACATCATTCGAATTAATCCGGCACACTACACTGTTTGGTATGTATCAAGCAAGCTTCTTGTGATTTGGCAACTTCGCTGACCTCTTTTACCTTTAGGCTGTACCGCGCTCGCGTGCTCTTAGATCAAAACCGCGACCTACGCTCCGAGATCGAGTGGCTGAACCCCATTGCTTTGAAGTATCTGAAGAATTACCAGATATGGCAGCATCGACAGACCATTGTAGACAAACTCGATGATCCGACGGGCGAGCAGGAATTCATCAGAACAATGTTGGAGAAGGATACAAAGAACTATCATGTGTGGAGCTACAGGCATTGGTTGGTCAAGAGGTTTAACCTATTCAATAAGGGCGAGCTCGAGGAGACCGAGCGAATGTTGGACGAAGACATCAGGAACAACTCCGCGTGGAACCATAGATGGTTCGTGGTGTTTTCCCAAGATGATAGTGTGTGGAAGGATCCAGGGATTGTGAACCGTGAGACCCAGTATGTTGCATCCAACGTGCGTTGAACTCAGCCTGCTGACCAGACTGATAGATTCGCTAAATCGAAAATCCAACTGGCCCCGCAAAACGAATCCGCATGGAACTATCTTCGAGGAATTCTGCGTAACTCAGGGACGCCTGGCTCTGCCATCATGGGGTTTGTCTTGCAATTCGCTCCTATCGACGAGCCTGAGAAGATCCGGTCAAGCCATGCACTGGATCTGCTTGCCGATATCTTCAGAGAATTGGGGCACATAGAGGACGCCGAGCGTGCATTGGATCTTCTGGCCAATATATACGACCCCATTCGAGAGAACTACTGGACGTACCGAAAAGATAAGCTAGTAATCAGTGTAGATTCTTAAGTACACATCTATTCCAAACCCTTTTTCGTCTGTAGCTATATATGTGCCAGATTTGTATTACATGAGTCAATTTGCATTGTCTTTCAAACCGAAACTTCCAACGCCTTCCCAGCATAGTCGCCACGCCAGCCAACCATGCTCTCAATGGACACGTCGCTGCCCCCACACAACACGATCACCACCTTATCCGTGTGCCGTACCTTTCTCTCCAACGCCTTCCCCAGTCTCCCACCGAAGCACATGGCGACATTGACTCCACATGCCAGCTCCACCATCAGCCGATCCTCGTCCGCCAGACGGAGACAACCAAGAGCCGCCTCCCAATCCTCCAGCACCACGCTCTTCACGTTGGGTCGAGTGCTAGCGTACTTGAACGTCTGCTCACTGACGCGTGACGCGCCTAAGCTCTTCGCAAGGGAGGTGATGGCAGGTAGAGTGACAACCTCCCCCGCTTCGATCGACGCGGCAAGGGAGTGCGCTCCATCGGTCTCCATGGCTAGAACCGGTGTGCTCGCCCAGCCGTCCCGTCGTTCAATGCCATCCACGACACCATTGAACAGGCCGCCACCACCAACGGAGCATAGAATAGCCGCTGGAGGATCACCATGGGCAGCATGTGTCCCATTCGTGGTGACGATATTCGTCTCCTTCTCGTCGAAAATGGGCAGCTGTTCCGCGATCTCATCCACCACGGTCGAATTCCCCTCCCAAATATCCTCATGATCAAACGGCGGAACATATATCTTCACCTCCCCACCCGCCTTCCGTCCCCTCCCCTCTCCGGACCCAATTACCACCTCCCGCAGATACTGATCCGCCTCCTTCCAACTGGCCCCGTGCTGGATCACCTCGTCCGCCCCCGCGAGATTGATCTTCTCGATCATGCGGAGCTTGGTGCTCAGCGGCACGATCACGCTTGCTTTGCATCCTAGCGTGGTCGCGGCGCGGACACAGGCGAGCCCGGCGTTGCCGCCGGACGAGCTGTAGAAGTGGATGCACGTCCGGGGTGGATGCGCGTGGATGGCGGCCAGGAGATAGTTGCCGATTCCGCGGGATTTGAAGGACCCCGAGGGCTGAAGGTTCTCGAGCTTCAGGAAGACTCTGCTTCTACGATTTAGAATGGGCACGGTAGTTTATTTTCTGGAATAATGTCTATGACTTACCAGCCTGCTGCCTTGGATAACGCTGCTGATTCAACTAGAGGTGTTTTCACCCATGGCGTAGGGAGCTTTGGCGGTTTCTCGTCTTTGGCCATTATTGTTGATTTAGTCCCAAAAACGCTAAATTTTTGTTCAATTCTCCGTAGAATTATTGAATAGGGCCGAGGGGGAAATAATTTGGCTTTCTTACTTCATTTATTCAATGATTCGAGACTGTGGAGCGGATATATGCGGGATTGCCAAAGGTACCTGAAAGGTCCCTTATCTCAAGACTCGTACGAAACAATCCACCCGTACCATGGTAGAGATGAGAGGGTTGTATTCATAGGGTAACATCCTACCAACAATTGCGCCCTACGAATCTTGGAAACAGAGTCGTTGGGATTATAATATCCACACTTGGATGATCATGCAGTGCATTCGGCGGCCAACTACCAAGTAAAATGCACCTCGATCAGGCATCAGACGCCGTCATGCTTTCCCGTTGCCTCCGTCTAGGTACACGATGGGTTCCCAAATGTAAGACAATGTTCTTGATCGCACTTCTGAAAGATAAGAGAGTCTTCTTAGTAACAAGCGGCTGGAAGCGGCTGGTCTCGCTTCTCCTTGAATCGCCTTCCCTGACGCTACACTATTCGGGAACACGAATGGGTGGCAAATCTTTCTGTGTACAATATAAGTGAGTTACTTAATGATAAGTACCAGTATGTCAACCAAGATTTCCTTCAGCTTGAAGGAATCTCAATACTAGCCTATCAAAAACCATTGGCCAAAGTATCGTTGAATCATCTACATATAGCGATAAGGTGCCGCTCGAATGTCTCATTCCAATATGTGACATCAAAGCATTGCCGTACAACATGCATGCTCCTGCTCATTCGGTAGGTTGGCATGCCTTTGCCCGTGTAAAGGCGAGATCGATAGCGGAGTCCGTCCGATTTGTTTCGCCCGTCCAACCCTGATGGCCGCGCTTAGAGAACACCACGAATGCCTAGTGCGGCAGCGGTGCATGTCCCAGTGCTTGATAGGACTCAGCAAGAAGATGCGAAGAAAATCATTAAGGCCCTCTATCGACCCTTTAAGGTTCCTCGACTCTGAGTCTCTGTCTCTTGAGCATGCTCCTCTCACTAGGAATAAAGCGCCACCCGGAGCGACTTAGACTGATTGACCTTCACATGATGAGTATCTCCACTCTGAACGCTGCGGGTACTCTAGGACTGCACGTGTATTTGGATAACATAGAAGAATGCGTGATTCAGAAGTTTTGTTTTCAAACTCATGTTCACCTTTCCGATCGAAACCGAGTGGTGGTCCTCAGTTGGGGCAGAGTCATTTCGTCCATTTCGTCCAATCAGGCACGACTGGACTGACTCGCGCAAGCTCTAGCAGCCATACTGTGTACGTCATCGTCATTTCTGTGTTGACTTCCGTCCATTGTGTAGTATTCAGTATAAAGTACCTGCCCTCAGTGTTAGAGTACTTTATATCAATAGACCTAAAATTTCATGACACTTATCCCCTCTTTCCACGTCACTACGCGAGCCTGCTAAGATGAGTTCGAAACCCTCTCCTGGATGGCCTCCTCTGACCAGGCACCCACTCCAGCGAATCGAGTCTCCGTCCCGAACTGCTTCGATCCTCCTCCATGTGCGTCGCCCAGATTCAACCTTGATGTCGTGATGGCTAACCTGTGGGTATGAAAAGTCTACCGGACTTGCGGCCTTCGCCTATGCCTTCCGATAGTACGTTCCCGATCGACGTCGTCCAATTTCTCATACAATGCATGGAAACTAACGCCCACAAAGTCTAATCATCAATCCCAACCGCATGTACGTCCCTCCACCGCCCATCATCCCACCCCACCTAACCCCCCACCAGCAACGACTCCTACGGCTGGCACTTCCAATACCTCACCATCATCGGCCTCGCCCTCGCCACCACCACCTTCACCCTCGGCCTCCTCTCCGACCTCCTCCTCTCCCGCTCCCTCTTCGCCGCCAAGAATGCCCTCGCCCTCGCCTCCACGCCCCTCGCCATCCTCGTCTCCCTCCTCTACTGGGGACTCCGCGCCATCGACGAGCGCCTTGTCCTCCCCGACTGGGCCCCCTTGATCGACCCGTTCGCCGACATGTGCTTCCACGCCTTTCCCGCGCTGCTGCTCTTCGTGGACTGCATGCTGTTTTCGCCGCCATGGGATGTAGGTGGCGCGGGGGTGGCGGCGCTGACGGGCGCGTTCACGATAGGGTATTGGGTGTGGGTGGATCGGTGCTATGCGGAGAACGGGTTCTATCCGTATCCGATCTTTGACGAGGTGGGACATCGGGGGCGGGTGGGGCTGTTTGGGATGAGTGCGCTGGTGATGGGGTTGAGCACGGTTGGGTTGCGGTGGATGTATCGGGTGCTCAATGGGGAGGAGAGCGAAATGGCGTGGAAGAAGAATGTACATGAGTTGGGAGAGGGGATGCCGCAAAGGAAGAAGAAGTAAAACGAGCCATTAGAAATTTTGGACCGGCCAAATGCTGAGAGATTGAAAACAGGGCTGGGAAGGGATTTGAAAGGTGGCATAGCATTTTTGGGATGTACTGGCATTAGCGGAAAGCATCGCGTAGAAATGGGAGCTCTTCTTGATACCATTGAATTGAGGACGACAGCATGGTTGTTCAAGTCATGTCTCGGCAATCAACTTTCGGATAGATTTATTTTCGAAACAAGCCGTAGATAGGACTTGTTCATTCTATGGACCTGTTTCTAATTACATCTGCTTTGCGAGATTAGTATACCCATGCCTGACAAATCTGCTTTTGTTTTTTGTTTTTCGATGAGAGAGATCGCAAAGGTTTGCTTTTAAGTACAGTGACCTCGTATCAGCCTCAGCCCATTTTCTGTCCATTGGCTCTTGCCTTCAGCTCTCACAATGCAGAAGAACCCATATTCACAGAGAAAACGAGTACTCGGACAGCGGAAAAGATGAACCTGGGTTCATCATGCGGTGCGAAAGGAAAGGAGTAAAGGGAAAAGGGAAAAAGAACTGCCACCGGAGGTGACACTAATATATAAGGAAAAGGAACTCATGGGGAACAGAGGAAAGCAACGAAGAACATGGCCAGGAAATGGTAGGACCGTGTCGTCGCGAAATGGATATCGTCGCTAATTAGTATGCGTGTCGGAGCAATGTCATCGTACGTGAAGAAGACCGCGCTGTCAACGGAGGAAGGGGACTGAATGTCTCGTCTAGCGAAATTGGGATGTAGGCTTGGTAGTGTTCCACGTATCGGTATATTCTCCTCGGGCTAGAAGAAGAGTTTGCTAGCCGGGAAGGATTGAACGTGACATGTATTCAAGAAAGACTGAGAAAGAAGAAGGTGAAGGTATGAAAGAGCGCATGTAGATGTGTCATAATCTAGTCGTCAGCCTTGTGCTCACTAGGGGGAGCGCTGATGGTGCGTGCATCATCGAAATCGCCGTCAAAGGTCTGCGTGGAATTGTAGTATGTGTTTTGGTTCAACCAGTTCTGATGGCCGAAGGGTTCGAAGGGTTGGAAGTCGTTGTTGCTAGGGACGAACTGGTACATCACGTCCTGTCGAGCTTGGACAAACCCATGACCATTGGTATTGCCATGTGCATTGCCATTGCGGGCACCGAGCTTGGCCAAATCTTGGACCGCGAACTTGTAGTTGGGAGTACCGGCATCCTGCAGTTGTTGCATGCCGTTGATGGATCTCGACTCTGTATGACGAGGCCGATTTTCCTGATTAACCGATGGAAGATCGTCATGAAAATTCTCGAAGAAGTAATTGTTCTGAGTTGTAGACTTCTGGCCTGGACGATGAACAGCTGAGACGGTTCCATTCGGTACGGATTCCTCAGCCTGTGTGGCATGGAAATCGGAGTTGAGGACGTTCATGCCAGCAGGGTTTCCGAAAGACATGTCACGGTCGTGGAAGATCTCGAAGCCCCGCTTGCGTTTGCGGTTGGCCCCATAGGCAAGGTCCCATTCAGCCCGATCATCAGTGAATGTTGAGTGAGCAGCAGGAGTGTCAGTGAAGACATCGTTGCGAGCATCGTTCTGACGTCCAACACCGAACGGGAGAGCGGCAAGTGGCTGTCGAGAGGTGGGTGCCTTGTGAGTGGGCTCTGGGCTTGCCGAGCCATCGCTCCCCCACTCATCATCGCTGTCATCGGACGGATCGCCCGAGATGTTGCGGGTCTTCTTGAGTGTCCCCTCCGGTGTGAACACCAGCTCATTGGCTTCAACCTCTAGAGAGTTGGCCTCCAACTGCTTGATGACCGAGGTATCCTTCTTCTGATTCCTCTTTCTCTTCATCTCCGGAGTGGCAGAATCGAACAAGTCCATGCCAGGCCAATATACACCTTTGAGTCTTGTAGCCTCCGAGACTTCGAAACCGTCTCGCTCAGTGGTGGTACCGACATGTATCATGCTCTCTCGAGACCTCGGCACGTAGCTCAGGTCGGAGTCTGCGTCATCATTGTTGTCTGTTCGTCGACGAATTGGGAGGGCACTCATCTGCTGAGGCTGCCCCGTGTAAGGTGCAAGGCTCTGGGGGCCGTTGTGCATTGGAATTCCGTTCGTTGGGTAGTGCAGGTAGTATGGATGAGGTGCTGGGCTCTCAACCTTGAGTTGCTCATCCCCGAGGCGAGGATCGACGGAGTTGGCTTGACTGGTCGGAGTGTCTCGACTGGCTTGTGAGCGTCTCGCAACACTTTGGGATCGAGAAAGCGGAGCTAATATACCATAAGCACATCTCCAAAGCTCGAATGCAGGTCAAAAGCCAGGTGAGAAGCCAGCTTGGAAGGGGCTCACTCTGATTCCTCGCTGCTCGAGCTCGTCGCTTGTCCTTCAAACTCATTCGTTCCGACATCAAGTCTTGGACTCTCCATTTTTCATACCAATGGTCATAAGCTTCAAGCAGACGACGGGAGTCTTCCTCAGTGGAAGCTCGGACCTTGACCTTGTAGTGATGGGACAAGTGGCCCTTGCTAGCAATATGAGTGAGCAAATGAGAGACATCACTGAAGCGAGGCCTCTTGGGACAGATGGAGCAGATTAGGGGAATGGAAGCCATGATTGCTTGAGAGCATCCGGACCAAAGGGATCAAAGGGATCAAGGGTATCAGGTTGGTCGTGAAAACGAGATGAAACGACCAAGCATAGAGAAACGACAGTGCACAGAATGGAACACAATTCGATTGAATTGCATGAAGGAAGAGCAACTATACGGGATGAAGAGAGGGAGGGACAGTAGAGGAAACTCAATACAACAGAACGCCTCCAGAGTGATGGGTGAGAACCGATAGTTGTGAGAAGGAATTGGAGAGAGGCCTGGGTGCGGATGGAAGATTATAGAGATGACGATTAAGCCCGACCAGCTGAATGGAGTCTATTTACTGCCTTCCTGTGAGGAGTCCGGATCTTTGCAGTGCTTTCCTAGACGACGCGCCCGGTGAAGGCTTTTTGAGTGACAGAGGTTGTGCTGGAGAAGGAGAGACCGCGAAATGGAGGAAGAGGCAGAAGATCGAAGGAAATCGTCCAAGGCAGAAACTCGTTTGTGCCTGCACTCACCGCCAGTCCACTGCCAGAGGGTCGCGTGGGAGGCAGTCGCGTTCTCAAAGCAACGCGTTCCTGTAAATACGGTACATGCCGTCGAGTAACCTCTATGGATGAGACACGATACCATAGTCTCGGGACTAACGCGTGAACACGTGAGGAGACAGAACTAATGAGTCTCGCCATATGATTGAAATCATGTGCTTGGATGCACACTGCTATTGAGCAAAGAGAATTGAACCGTTCAAGGTGAGGGGTGAGAGAGAACCATTCTGTAGGTGAGTGAATTTTGTGAGGCTATCGTGACCATTTGGCCTATCAAATTCGAGCAGCAAAAAATGCCAACCAATCAGCAAACCTGCTCCTTCAGTTTGCTGCAGGAGGCTCCACCATCATCTTGTCCTCAACCAGACTGGACTATTCAGTTGATCCAATCAAACGGGTCTGGGCTCTTGCTTTGGCATTCTGTTACGTGAGCAGAACCGCCGAACTGAAGGTACCAGATACTTCATGATTTAGTTGTAGTACCGGTGAGGAACTTGCTCGTCACTAATTTAGGCATACAGCTACGAAGAATTGTTAGTGAATATCTTCTAGGATTCTGATGAGGTGATCAACTCACTAGACCGGATCAACCTCCTCAAGGCCCGGATGCTTGAGGAGGCTTAATCCCGCTATACCAAAGAGCGTATGGAACACATCGACCATATTGCCTGGCCGATCAGATATTCCTCCTATATCAGGGTCCTGTTCGATGACCGTTCAGTCTCGGATCAGGGAGCAAACAGAATTGCTACATCTCAACGCTGGAAGAGGACTCACCTGACATCCCAAGATGAAATCGATCAGTTTCTGCCCGTCAATCCAGTGCAACCGCTCGATCATGGCGAGACTGGTGAGCACCCACCAACTATAACAGACGTCCTCACGTTTTTCGGGCCTCCCATTCAGTCCTCCGTTGGGCAATTGGCGCTCACTGAGCCATTCACCCAACCGATCACGATCGACCAAGTCCAGCCGACCGGCGATCGCCAACGCTCCAACGCAAGTGAACACTTGGCCGGCATGCGACTCCCCTCCCGGCCGCAGTCCATAGGCGCCGTCAGAATTCTGGCACTTCTGGATATGCTCGACCGCGAGAGGGACATCGACCAGGGGAAGCATGCCAAGCAATGACAGAGCATTCAGCGCACCGTAAAGGAATCGGGTGTCCGTCTCGCCGAATTCATCGCCGGCGAATGTCCCCGCATCGACGCCTTCGCGGACCTGCAGGTTGGAAATGACTGATATATATCGAACCGTGGTTAGCCGGCGGTGATTGGAGGAGGCGGTGGGGGTGCATCAGTGCGTTCAACTTACAGTGCCCTACTTTATTGGTCCCATCCCCCACTTGTTGATTGAACTCATCGAAAGCATCCAGCGTCGCTAGGACCTGAACGGCACTGACTGTGTATAGCATGTGCGGATCATGCCCTTTGGCGGCGCCGAAACCGCCATTCTCATGCATACAATCAATCACGAAGTCCAGGACCTCAGCTCTTGGAAGAGCGTCCGGATGTCGAAGGAGATGAAGGGCCGTCAAACCCCAGTAGATGCCATTGAGACGCAGGTGCTCCGTGAGCCAGTACTCATACTCGTCTTTCCTCTACACCACGTCACTATCAGGAGTCGAACATAGAATGTTGGCGGTTCATCGAAATAGTTCTTGGGTGACGGGAGTTAGCGTACCTCGTTCAAGTCTTGGATATATTTGATGTGCTTGTCCATGACAAGGGGCACCGATTCTGTGGCTTGGGTGGCGCCCCCTCGACCTGGCCCTGCAACGAGGGACATCGGGAGCTCAGGACTTCAGCAGTGGAGCATTAAGGCTGACGGTAGATGGTCACAGCGCAGCAACGCAGGAACAACCCGAACTGGAACACAAGACAGCTGAGTGCTGACGAAGGGGTAGAAGTTGGCAACCTGTTCACTGATTTGATGCAGGAACCGCGAGACGAAGAAGATACACGAACGAGACGACACGACAATTATGCGGGGAATTGGAAATCGATGTTACTTTGATGGCGTCAGCATCCAAACGTAGCGACGTTTGCCTGTGGATTTTGTGACTAGGACTGTGTGAGGTTGCGACGGGAGAACGGAGCGTTTTGTGTCTCGCGTTAGCGTTGCCGACCACCTAGTCATGAACCCGGCAGCTCGTCCAGGGACCGTCCGGGAGGCAGCAGGTGTTTTGTATGTTGGCAGTTGGCAACCCCCAATCCCGCGGACTCTCACGGACGTAGGCGACGTAAGTGCAGCCAATAATGCAGGAACCGTCTCGGAAAGATGGCGATGGATGATCAGAGACGAGGATGAGGAGTTCCAGATATGAATTGCGAACGGCGGGAAGTTTCAAGGATCCGGGGTATTGTCAAATGTCATCAGGAAAAGGAGTTGCGATAAATTTGGACCTCATGGACCCTTATGTTCGAGCTGAATCCAGCGCCTTGACCGATGGTGTTGCGTAGTCGCACATGCATGTTTAGGCACATCTAGTTTATTATGATTATAGTAAAGCCCTGATTTCTGGAGAGAGCGGGTAATTGAGAAAAGCCCTCGACTCCTAAAATATCTCTACGGACTGTGGTCAGATACCGCCTGTCGCTCTCAGAAAGTTGCCCACGGTGATGTGCGATCCGCGACCTGCTTTGAGCTGGCTGAGACGACACACAACGTCTGGCTCAGTCAACTGTCAATTGTGGGCACTGGGCAAGCTTCGCTCAAGCGACAACACCTGAAGGTCCTGGACACCACCACCTGGAGGCTGGAACGTTCATTGATGCGCCCATCGCCGGGACGCCGTCATCGCCTTGCGCCGTGGCTGCTATTTGAGCAAATCGCCAGCCTAATTCCATCTTGGTATTCCGGATTCCCACCTATACCCTCCTCCAGTCCCCCTCCACATGCATGTCCATGAAGCCGTTCAGAGGCCCACCGATAGCCGACCACGGTCCACGTACCTGACAATACTAGTACTGAAATCTGAATACCTCACAGTACCTGACCTAGCTTATCCCCATCTCATCAGTTCTCGCCTTTCTGCTTTCTTCCTCTAATATCAATTCATTCATATTCCACCGGCTAAAGCCCAAACTCCTGCTCCGTATCATCCATCATAATATTTTCGCTTACAACCTTACCGACTCCCTCTTCTTGATGAACGGGCCCTGACCGCTAAACGCGCATCTTGAATAATATTCCGTGCCAAACATCCCTCCCTCCGCTCCCCTAACGCCCCACTCTTCCTCTCTCGCTTTGGTGCATCTTGCTACTGCACCTCTGCAGTCTGCACCCTCACCCTTCTGTTCTGTTCACCCGCTATACCATTGCATTCCGCCGCTCGTTGGGTTCCTCTCGGCTGCCTCTCCTCTCTTGTGCCTCGACCGTCTCGCTCCCGCTCGGAACCCCTTCCCATCGTAGCGTGACCGCCCGTTTCACTCCTTTTGAGGCATGGTCTTCCTCTCTGCTCGACATTCCTCCATCCTCTCGGTTCCCGAGCGAGACTACGAATCCTGAGTCGGCACCGCTGCGACAACCGCATAGAGCGCTAATACCTAGACACACGCCAGTAGTCAACCGGAACGGATTGGCAACGTTGAGGTCTTGTGGTAAGTGAGTCGTCGTTTACATTGTCGATGTTTCCTTGTTTCTGCAACAGCGCGCAAATTGTCGCGCTCAGTTGCTTTGTCTGAGCGTCGACAAGAATCGCAATGACCCCAGCCGGTTTCCTCTTCAATAGCCGTCTTTGGCATGCTGCTGCTTCGATTGTACCTTGACTGTTGTGTAACTGCCTTACTCATCCTTCTCGCCTTGTCCGACTCTTTGCTTTTTGGCTCGGCCGATCTGTACGTACCAGTATTGACCCGCTTTCTGTGACGTCTAGGTTCCCAGGACCCGATTCGATTGCACATCTGAAAAAGGAACGGACGAGGAAGAGTTCGCGCTACGAGAAAAGCGCCATATTTACTCGACCTCACCGGTACGAGATCAACCGATCATCGACCCCCTACTATCGAATAGACGTCCATCCATTTCTAGTCGATCTCCTACCATTCCGCTCCTCGAGACCGTGACACAAAGCTCAAGAAATCCATCGTTTCGGGTGCCTGCGTTACAATCCACACGTTGACAAGAAAAGAACTGCGCGTGTACCTGGTCGAAGTACATAAAGGTATTGCATTCTCTTTCACCCAAGGTCCGAATTTAGACCACCTACAGGCTCGACATCAAAGCGGTTTGTTGTTGTGTCGATGCTTTGAGCGCAAGGTTGACATTATGGCTTATCTGCAGGATACCCGTTCTCTCGAACCCGAATATTCCACAGCCATTTACCCTTCTGATGCAGCTCAGACACCATATTGGAGTTATCAGGACATATTCCCTTTAGGGGCAAAGCATCCACCACCCGGAGATCCCTCGAGTGTTCAAACCAACGAGGTGAGTTTGGTGCTGGTTCCGCATTTACGGTCTTGGCGTTAAAGTGGGCCGTTACATGACTTCATTGGCGTTACGATCCTGCGCCTCGTAGCAGCAATGCATTGACTTTAATCATCTTTCGTTGCATCGTGTTGTCGATGGTCTACGGCGACCAACAACACCTCACCGTCAACCATTGCTAACGTCCACCTCAGGCAGGCCTCGCATCGCACTCTATTCCAAGACTTCTCAAGAAGATGCCAAAGTCGTCCGCACTTTCAATAGCATTATCGAATCCGAACAATTACAAGGGTGAGCGCTCGCAGAGTGTCCCGCAAAGTCCATCAAGTCCACGTCCAGAAGGACGAGCGGCGGACGGAACCAGTCCGACCGAAAAATACACGGCGCTTCCTCATATCGCTTCCTTGGCTCAATCAACGAAGCCAACAAAACGAAACAAAGAGCATACGAAGTCCATCTTCTCCAATTACAAGGCATCGAAGTCCTCGACACGCTTAGCGGCTTCTGAAAGCTCTTCGGCGAACAGTGGAAGCCCTGCAATTTCTTCCATATATCCCTATCGAAAAGGCACTGGATCGACACCAGAATTGAGTTTGATTGATACATCGGGTGTCGAAGTTGGAGGTGAGTTGAAATGCAATACATTCGCTGCCAACAATAGTATTCTGTTGACACGCGCCTACTATTCACACGCGCCTGCTATACACAACAGCCAACTATCCACAACAGAGCCCAACTAACTTGTGATACAGGATCTCGATCTCGTGCTGCAACCAACGCTGCATCTTCCCAACCAGATATCACTTCTACATCCGCTCCTACCGGCAGCGATTTCCCCCTTCCGAAATCCTCCACCAAAAAGCATTTCCCGAAGCTTCTGCGCTCGAAATCGATCAAAGACTCACACAGCCGGACTCTGTCCAAGCCAAGCACGCCGACACGCCCGGTGAACTCGGAATCTTCGAAAGCCAGCAAACACCATCACAACAATCACGACATGGCACCAAAAACCGCCCCATCCACTGATGATACCCGAAACGATCGCTCATACCGAAAGAAGATAGGCTCATCGACGCGTAATCATTCGGTGGACAGTCACGTCACCGATACGCCGACTGCCAACGATAGCAATGAGAGAATAGCCAACAAGCCTGAACGGACGGTGGACAAAGCCGATCGTAGCCACCACAAGCTCGAGAAGCCTCAACATGCTTCGAAATCTTCGAATTCACATCTGAGGGATACCGAATACCATGCAAAGCCAGTGAACTCGCATAAGGAATTCAGCAACTCCTTTCTATCCAAGGCAGCAGGTGGACTTGGCAAGGCTGGTGGAAAGGCGGGGGCACGAGCAGGGAAGTTCTTTAACAAGCTGGCCCGGAGTGGCAGCAGCCATGAGCGAGAAGTCGATGCTGCACAGGGTTATGTTTGTAGGGTGATCAATATGCCCTTGATTGAGCAAACAAGGGTCACGCGAATCTCCAAGCGGTTGGAAGGCTCCAAGGATAAAACCGAATTCTGGATGCCTGCATTGCCATGGCGGTGTATTGAGTAAGTTCCTGAATAGTAATTATGGGCACAACTAGTACTAACAGATTACAGTTATCTCAATATGAACGGATGTGAGCAGGAGGGTCTGTATCGAATCCCAGGCAGCGGAAGGGAAGTCAAGCAATGGCAGATGCGATTCGATCAAGGTGTGTTCTTTGCATACGGTATTAATATCCGTGTTCTAACGTGTTTAGAATATGATATCGACCTCTTCTCTGATCCGGATCTCTACGACATCAACACCATCACGTCTCTCTTCAAGGCCTGGCTCCGTGATCTTCCCGATGAGGTCTTCCCAAAACCCACCCAAATCCGCATCGCCGAACAATGCGCAGGCGCACAAACCGCCCCCCAGCTGCTCAAAGACGAGCTTTCCAAACTTCCCCCTTATAATTACTATCTCCTCTTCGCCATCACCTGCCACATCTCGCTCCTGCATTCCTGCGCCGAACAAAACAAGATGACTTACCAAAACCTCTGCATCTGTTTCCAGCCTTGCCTGAAAATGGATTCCTTCATCTTCTACTTCCTCGTATGCGACTGGCGCAATTGCTGGCAAGGCTGCTGGACCGAGAAGGAGTATCTTGAGGATGAGAATCGCTTCCTCGACTCGCAGCAAGCCGCGGCCGGCAACATCCCGCTTCCACCTTCACAGGCACACTCTCCGGCACCCCGCCGCGACAACCTCGCCCCTCCACCGCCAACCCCGCAGCAGTTCTCCTTCGGCTCAGAAACCGTGAACGTGACCGCCCCCAGTCCGCAACTGGAGTCCGTCAGCATCATGGCGGTTGACGATCGCGCCGTCTCGTCCTCAGATAGCACGAATCCGTCGCTCACCGGTAGCGGAACCCCCGAGCGGGCCCGACCGGCGCCGGGTAATCGGACCGAGTCGGGGAAGGACATGAGCGCTGAAGAGAGCAGGCAGACGCCGCCCGGAAGACAGGGAGGTCGGGCTGCAGCGACGGAGTTGCCGCCGATGAAGCCGCTTTCACCCATGCGGCCGTTTCATTGAGAGCGACATGGCAGTGAAACAAGACATCGGCACTTTTAAAAGTTGTTTTCTTGGGGCTCTCGCCCGTTGGGTTTGGATAGATGTGCTGTCTGCTGGGTCCGTGGGTACACCGTGGGTTGAGCATCGACACGTTGCATGCATGCTTACATTCTGTCCTGCGTCTGCGGCCCTCGCGGAGACAGTTATCTTGATTGCTTTTGTTTGGCGAAGTGGTGTCGGTATCTGCAGGTTCGAGGATTGGCGGAGTGCGCCGCCATGTCGACGACGGATTTATTTGGTTTACACACGGTCCCCCCAATGACCCTTTCCTTCCCGCGACATTAAAGACTGGAGGGAGAGGCCACTAATTTATTGAATCACTCAAGGATCCGGAGCGGTAGAGGAGCCGGTGGATTGGTATTATCTAGCATGGGACAGGCTTCCAAAAATGAGATTTCACGCGGGACGGGCATTTGGTGGAGTCATTCTGTACGATATGGAAACGGGTAGCTAGACTTGTGGTGAATTTGAATGCAAGCGTAGCTGGATATCGATCTCATTTTGGATTTGACGTTTTATCGTCCGTCGACATACATGCCATTCCCCTTCCAGCCAGGAGAACGCGAAGGACTATCCGATCGTAGCTTTTCGGGACGACCTTGGACGGGGCACCACGATATGCCACAAGCCTTGCGCTCTGCAACGTATCCTGGGTTAAACTGCCGCTGTGCCTACCAACCTTCCTCACGTCATAGCTGTCCGGTATTCCTCCCGACATTCTCTTTCGAGGCCTGAACCCGCAGATGTTTATTCATGGCCGTACGCCACCTTTCACCCCTTCTTCCCATTCTTCCTCTTGAACACCTGCCCACTCCGCTCTGCCTTCCCCGGTCTCGTCGGCCCCGACCCCCTCGGCTTCCGCTTCTCCGCCTCCTCCTCCGCCACCTTCCTCCGCTCCTCCTTCTCATCCACTTCCACCACCCATTGCAGCTGCTTCTCGCGCATCGCCTTCCCTCCGAACCCGTACCGCTTGACCCAGTCGTGGCTCACCTCGTCCCACACCATCTTCGAGCGCTCGTCCTTCCGTCGCTTCTGGATGCCCTTCCGCTCCGCGAACGCCTCCCACTTCGTCTTCTCCTTCTCCTTGGGGATAGGCTTCTCGCGCGGTAATTGATACTGGGGGGTCGGCAGCGTGAGCGAGACGCCTGTATCGTCGCGGACGATCGGGCAGTTTTGGAGGAGGTGGCCGATCAATGATTGGGCACAGTCGCGCGCGGCGGATTGAAGGGTGGGTTCGATGGACGAGGGGGAAAGGGAGGGAAGTGGGTTGGCGTCGCTGAGGAGGAGGTGCCCGGCGTCGATGGTGTAAGGAATAGGTTTGTTCGGATAGATGAGCTCCTTCATTTCGGCGGCGGATCTGGTAGGTTTTGAGGCGTCGCCGGTTTGCGGGATTGATTGAGTGTCCATATTGAACGTTGGAAAGCTTTGTGCTTTCGAATCGTTTCTATATCTAGGAACTTGACAGGATGGGGGAAATTCATTCGTTCGAAATGCTTCTTGTTGAAATTTCTGAGATATTCGTTTCTGGCACTCCAAGTCCGCTGGGCCAGCCATAATCCTTGCACTTCATATCATGTGACAGTACAGGCCATATATGCCACGTGATTACAACCAAACCTCCAATCTCACAATCTGGTCATGAGCGAGTACATCAGAACACTTGCACAACCTCAAACCTGTCATTTCGACGCAGATGATGGAAGACAAACAATTCTCCAGCCTGACTTCAATGCCATCCTGTACGAATCCGATTCGTGCCGCCTTTAGTAGTCCCGGTAGTCCAACTGTCTACCATCTATCATGATTCTGACTGGACCATCCTCCTGAGTCCATCGAGAAATCCGCCTCGTCGTGGCTCTGGTGTCAAGACGGTGTGAATGGATTATGTTGTAGGTATAAGCCTACGGGACACGAACCACGGTGTAACGTATCGTCCATGCTAGTGAGTGTTCAAGTCAGTATGAGAAGGCTCTTTCGTATTGGCTTGGACGCCGGTTAAGGCAGTATTATCTATATGACCATTGTCCCTGTTGTCTTTTTCGAGATTGATTCAATGTAGTTGCGAGCATGAATCCACGTTTTCTCTTTAGCTTTATCTAGTCACACTTCTCTGAGTCATGGATCCGTTTTCAGCCATCTCTAGTGTATTTCAAATTGCTGGAGTCTTGATAGCCTACATCACCGATTTCAGGAACGCACCTAAAGAGCTAAATGACTGTGCCATCGAAATATCTCATCTCACACTCCTATTCACTCAAATCAGACTCCGTGCGGCTTACTGTGACGACACAGATAGGAAGTTTGGAGACGTGTGGCAGACCCTCGTGAATGACTACGAGGATGACGGCCCTATTCAACAGTATGCGTGTACTTTGAATGAACTCCATAAAATGCTCCCAAAGCCTGGCAATAAATCGAGTGCATTCAGCCATCGGATAAGGTATCATTTCAATCATCAACAGATATCAAGGATACTAGCGAGATTGCAAAGGACTACCTCAATCTTCCAATTAGCGCTCGAAATGGATGTCTCGTAAGGCCCCGATAGATTCTCAACCTAGAATAGGAAAGCACCTACTGATATCGGCGTCATTCCAGAAATTTGGTTCGAAGGATCAAGGAAGACACCGCCACGATTCGAAATGATCTCCATACCATCCGAAGAAATACAGATGGGATCAAAGTTCTTCAAGATACCGCTACTCAACACAACTGTGAGACCATTTTGAAATGGCTGTCTCCATTGAACTTTCACGCGCAACATTGCGATACCCTGCGTCAACGAGAGGATGGGACAGGCAGGTGGTTTCTGGAATCCAACGACTTCATAGACTGGTTCCGCACCTCCCAAGGGACACTGTTTTGCCCAGGAGTACCCGGAGCAGGCAAGACGATTATCTCTGCTGTCACAATCGACCACCTTCTCGATATCGCATCTGTCGACGGCAACAGTGCTATAGCGTTTTGGTATTGCAACTACCATAGCCAGCGCGAGCAAACTGCCGAGAATCTTTTGGGTGCTACTTTGCAGCAGCTGGTCCAACAAGGAAGAAGTCTCCCAACAGTCGTTCAAAATCTCTATGACCAGCACATCAGCAAAGGAACCCGACCGTCCATTCCCGAAGTTCTGAATGCCCTGGAAACTGTTTCGGCCGAATATCAGACAATATATATTGTGATTGATGCCCTAGACGAGTGCGATAGCCGGATTCGAAATACTCTTCTAGGCACTTTCGACAGGATCCGTCGCGTCACAGATGTGCGCTTGATGGTGACCTCTCGCTTTAATCCAGGCATAGAAAGCAAACTCAAAGCATCTAAGAAGCTGGAGATCCGGGCAAACGAACACGATATCAGGAAATATGTCATATCTCAATTCAAGGAACTTCCCGACTTTGTCCAGGATGATGAGGAACTGCAGGAACTCATTGTCACAAGGATCATCGTTGCGGCAGATGGCATGTATGGTTCAATGCTGGACCTATGTGTTAATCAAACTGACTAATTTCTCTAAGGTTTCTCCTGGCCCACCTCCATTTCGACTCGCTTCTGGATAAGCAGACTAAGTTTAAACTGAGACAGGCGTTGAATCTCTTGGCGAAGGGGTCTGAAGCAATTGTGCATGCATACAACGAGGCAGTTCAAAGAGTCGAATATCAATTGCCGGGAAATGCAAGCCTGGCCAGAAATGCAATAGCATGGATTTTCTGCGCCAAAGCGTCTCTAACCAGTCGGCAATTATGCCATGCCTTGGGAGTCGAGCGAGGAGATACTGATTTGAATGAGGAAAACATCCCAGACATTGGCACCGTCGTCTCTCTCTGCGCCGGGCTCATCGTTTTTGACGAGGAACTCGACCTTGTCCGCCTGGTTCACTATACCGCATACGAGTTCCTCCAGCATATCCGAAATGCATGGATTCCTCACGCCGAAGCAGAATTCGCTGGTGTCTGCATCACCTATCTCAGTTTCAGCACATTCAAAGCCGGACCTTGCTCTTCCGACGATGATCTGGAGAGAAGGTTGAGAGAAATGCCATTTGCCATCTACGCTGCTTCATATTGGGACAAACATGTCCAGGCCGTACCTGAGCAGGAGTCCGAACCCGTCCTTTCCTTCCTTAGGAACCCGGAAATACTCGCATCAGTCCTCCAGGCGACGTACTTCTTATCATACAGCCCCACGATGACTCGCTTTGGCGAAAAAGTTGTCACTGATGCTCCGTCACAAAAATTCGTGCGGAAAGTGACCGCATTGCACGTCTTGGCACAACTCGGGTTTGACCAGTTGTTGTTAAGATTGCTTCGACTTGAGGGCATTGACAGCAACTCGAAGGATGACAATGGACAGACAGCTCTCCACGTGGCTTCTCAGCAAGGAAACTACTCCGTTGTAAAGGTTCTCCTTGATCAACCTAACCTCATGCCCAATACCGAAGACAATAATGGAAGAAGTCCGCTCTCTTTAGCAGCCCAAGAGGGCCATCAGGCTATCATTTCGCTCTTGTTGGGCCGATGCGATGTCAATGTGCATTCACGGGACAAGGAAGGCCGTACTCCGCTGTCTTGGGCTACGGAAATGGGTCACGAGCCCATCGTGAGGGTCCTGCTAGAGCGACCAGATATCAATGCCGACTCGATGGACGTAGAAGGGCTAACACCTCTATTCTATGCTGCCAAATCCGGCCACCCCGCTATCGTACGTTTACTGCTTGATCGCGACGATGTCGATGCGAGCTCCATGGACATTTGGGGCCGAACGCCGCTGCATCTTGCCGCCGCGGGTGGTTGTGGCTGTACGCCTGTGATTACAATGTTGCTAGATCACGGCGTTGATGTCGATGCCCAAGATTGCGATGGAGGGACGCCCTTTCTGAATGCTATCGGCAGAATTGGGACGTTGCAATATTCCTTGGACAAATTGATCATCAATGGTTATATCGATGTCAATTCGAAGGACCGCTCTGGACGGACCCCCTTATCAGCAACAAGTTTTATCAATCACGAGCAAGGCTACGAGTCCAACTCCTTTGACCGATACACCCTTGTCTTAGAACGCCATCATCCAGATGAACCGAAAGAAGACAATGGGAACCCCCGCCTCTTGTCAATGATTGAAGAATTCTGGAACGCGGAAGCTGTCATCCGGCTCTTCCTTGCAAAGGATGGCGTCGATATCAATTGTCGAACAGAGCAGGGCATCACACCGCTGATACTGGCAGTGCAGCAAGGCTGGAACGTCGTTGTCCAGTCTCTTCTGGAGCGGGACAATCTCAACATCATGTGGAAACATTGGAAATGGGGCGAGATGGGGAAATCGGCCATCTGGTGGGCCGGGGCAATTGGCCGAGAAGATATTCTGCAACTTTTGTTGGAGCACCGTAACTCCGATCCGACTTCAGAAGACCACTTTGGAAATGGTCGCGATGGATACTCGTTGAAGTACGTTTTGGAGCAATATAAGTCGACGGTTGTCCTCAGGACTCCGCCAGATTCGAGATAAGGCATCTTCTAGGGGAAAGTTTGGGGGCATGGTTGATGATGTGCTCTTGGGATATTACTAAACTGAACATTATTAGTATATAGTACTTTCATTGATACATCATTGATATATCATTCAGGACCGATCTCGTCTGTCTTGAGCCGATATGTTACATCACGTGACCTGAACTCGTTCTCCCTTACATCGCCAAGCCTGATGATGATTGGCCTAGAGCTTTAGAGCGTTGATGTCGATTTTATTCTGGTCCCTGAAGACTTGTCCGCGTTTGTCTGCGACCATTGCAGCCATGTTATGAATCCGAACCGTCGACCTCGACTAAAGCTACGGTTTCAAGTTGTCAGCCATGTCCGGAAAGCGAGTTCTCTCGCAGTGTCTGCACCGACCGTGCCCCCTTCCTCGAATCCCTCCATCCGGTCCCGTCACGCATCAGACGTCTCATTTCGGGACATCATCCCGTGCGGCGGCGGCAGCAAGCACCCGGGGGATCAAGCGATTGAACATCAAGAAGAAAGAGCGCAAAGATGATGGTGGCCGGAGGCCCGCCGTGGGCGAACGAAAGGCGCAACGAACCCGTGTCGTGATCAGCAACACGAACGCCCTCAACGTGCCGGACATCGAATTGATGACCGCGGAGGGTGTGGTGGACGAGAACAATGTTGGTAAAGTGATGGCGTTGCCGGTCACGACGGTTGACTCCTTGCGGGCGGTTGGAGCGTTCAAGAACACCCAAGGTTGGAAGTTCTTCAGGACTCCTTCAACGTTGATCAGAAAGGAGACCGTGGAGATGGCACGGAAGCTTGATGAAGCTGCCAAAGGAGAAGCTATACGGCAGGTTCTTATAGGGGAGAAGAAGAGCGGAAAGAGCGTACTGCTGCTTCAGGCGTTGGCGCATGCGTTCATGCGCGATTGGGTAGTGATCAACTATCGGGAGGGTCCGTCGACAATTCTCCAATGAAGCCCTTACCAGGTGACTGACTTCTCTATTACAGCTCGAGAATTAACAATGGGCTTCACCGATTACGCTCCGATACCAAACACCGATCCAACCCGCTATAGCCAACCCGCTCTCACGGCTACCCTCCTCACATCAATTGTCCAGGCCAACCGCGACATTCTCTCCAAGCTCACAACCGCTCTCACCCATAACCCTCCCGTGACCCTTCCCCAGGGCACCTCCCTCCTCCGTCTCGCCGAGCTAGCGACCAATGACCCCGACATCGCATTACCTGTGTTCCACGCTCTCTGGTCCGAGCTGACGTACAAACCCCCGGCCGATGCACCGCCTGCCTCCCAGCGACCGCCCGTCCTCCTTGCCGTTGATGCCCTTGCTCACTTTATGCGTCCTTCCGCGTACCTTTCCGCCGACGCGCAAACCATCCATGCCCATGACCTGGATCTCATCCAGCACTTCTCGTCGTGCCTCTCCGGCGCGTCCGCCTTGCCGAACGGGGGCGCGGTGATCGCGGCGATGAACAACTCGGATGTACCGAGCGCCAAGTCGTTGAATTTTGCGCTGGCACGAGCGGAGGCTATTCAGAAGGCGAAGAAGGCGGAAGGAGAGGCGGTTGACGTTCCGACCTGGAACCCCTATGAGGAGCTAGACGAGAGAGTGTTTGGATGCTTCGACCCCGCGGTGGTGGAAGTGGTTAGACTAGGCGGAGTAAGTAAGGAGGAGGCGCGTGGGGTGATGGATTATTGGATCAAGAGCGGGATGTGTAGGAAAGAGATGAGGTCGAAGATGGTGAACGAGTTGTGGACATTGAGTGGAAGGGGAGTGATTGGGGAGCTTGAAAGAGGATGTGTGATCAGGAAAATCTGAGGCGAGTTAATGGCACTTGTCTATCACGGTCAAAGCTGCATGTAGTTTTATAGAGTCTGTACGATAGCAGTGGGTATCCAGCACGTACGATTCCCTTGCAACTTTCTCGTCCGAATCAGGCGAACGGTAGTGAAGAGCTTAAGGGAGCAGCTGCCGGCCCAGAATATAATTCAATATCTGTCTTGTATTATACAGGTACCTTGTTTGAGGTCACCAAGTCCCATTCGGACTTCGGTCCATGTCGGTTTCGGTCCATCGATTGTCCAGCATCCCGTTGCGAGATCCCGGTCCCGATCGTCCGATCATCTCACTCCCTATACCGAGCTCTACCAAAGGCCGGCAGGCGGCAGCCGATAGAATCATAGAAGTTCGTGAGAAGTGGATTTTGGAAGCCGGTGGCTTGAATAAAATCCATGCTTTTCCTTTGGACGATCAAAGACTCCTCAGCTGCTCGGCAGGCTGCTGTACTGTTATTTGTTAATGCTGTAGTAGCCAAGTGAGGGCCACGCACGTCATTCCTTCTTGGCTGTGGACCTAGGGAAGCTTAACGCAACATGATCAAGATTTGGTTGCCTTTTGCCTCCTTCAAGTCTTCAACCATGGCAGCATTTTCGGTCTCGAGACTAAATGCCCTTCGTAGTAACGGCCACAACACTTTCACATGACGCTGCCCCGAAATTTCCAGTGGAAGCGAAAAGGAATGTTTCCACAATAGAACCGGACCACGTCCCTCAAACGTTCTAGGTTGTGAGCCTGCCTGACAAAGCCTGGCATAGATAACGACCACTTCTCAACTAAATCGGCAACTCCGCAACATCCAATGTTAGTTATTAGTAATTCCTTCACCTCACGAGAGTTTATCGTATAGTCGTATACAGTACTGAATCAAGCATCAGCTGATGCCAGCGGGCTAGGCCCACCCCCACGGAGACGATGAGCGGACCTCGCATCCAGGAGGTTCGGAAGCCCATCTCGGGTGCTATTGACCCAAAATTCGATCATGTCAATGCCACACAGTGAATGTTCCATCCGGTCATCAGTCCATAATCTGTGGTGCTGGGTTCCCAAGTCCCCTGGCCCGTTCGCCCGCATTCCCCCATCCCAACAGGACCTGGGGTATGTGGAGAAGGCAGAGAGGGTTGCATTGCAGATCACAATGCCGGACGATCGGTGCAATTTTGGACTGTCATTTGCCCATCATTCTTCGAAGGACTGACTAAATCACTCGCTCTAACGGCTCGTAGCTTCTATCATGGTTCAATACTCGGCAGTTTATCAGCAGTTTTCCCGTGTCGTCACTCGTCATGCCGGTAATCACTAACCACAGTCCCTCCTATCGCATAAACTTGCAGCCTCTCCCATCCTCGATCGACAACTGGCGAGATTTTCACCACTCAATTCTTCGTTGTCGCACGTCTTGTTTCTCTTTCTGCGGCGTTGAGTAACCTCTGAAGTCTGTCTAACTAGCACTGCTGCCCTGTGGATATGGAGAAGGAATCGCTAGCAGGGAGCGAGCATTCTCCCTCTGGAGACGAAAAGCAGGTCGATTTGAAGGGGGATATTGTCAGTGCCGACAATGGAATCTACGACCCCGACGCACACCTCTCGCCGGAGGAGCGTGCCGTCATCGAACGAAAACTGCTCTGGAAGCTCGACCTGCGCCTGATCCCATGGCTGTCGTTCCTGTACCTGATCTCGTTCCTCGACAGAACGAACATCGGGAATGCGAAGGTGGACACGCTCCTGCGGGATCTGAAGATGACCGAAGTGCAGTATAACATCTGCCTGACGGTCTTCTTCATTGCCTACTCGCTGTGCGAGCCGTTGACGAACGTGCTGCTGAAGATCCTGCGTCCGAGTAGATTCCTGACCGTCACGATGGTACTATGGGGGATCTGCATGGTCTGCATGGGGCTGGTGCATAACTGGCAAGGCCTCTGTGCTGTTCGCTTCTTCCTCGGGTTGGCGGAAGCTGGACTATTCCCTGGTATGTCATAGCGTTCGTCGCATCGAGTAACAACTAACGGTTATAAGGCGTCAATTACTACTTGTCATGCTGGTACAAGCGCTCCGAATTCGGCGTCCGCGCCGCCATCTTCTTCAGTGCCGCCGCCCTCGCCGGTTCCTTCGGCGGCCTCCTCGCTGCCGCCATCGTGCAAATGCGCGGGATCGGCGGAAAGCCCGGCTGGGCGTGGATCTTTATCCTGGAAGGTCTTGTCACGATCGTCGCCGGCGTCCTGTGCATCTGGCTCGTCCACGATTTCCCGGATGAGGCCAAGTTCCTGAGCGACGACGACCGCGCGCGCGTGCTGCGCCGGCTGCGCGACGACAAGCAGAGCTCGGCGGAGCACGAGGCGTGGAAGAACGACTATCTATGGGCGAGCTTGCGGGATTGGAAGACGTATGCGTTCGCGATCATCTATATGGGTGCGGACGGGACGCTATATGCGTTCTCGCTGTTCCTACCGACCATTCTTACCCAGATGGGGCATTCGGGCATCAAGGCGAACCTGCTGAGCGTGCCGCCGTACGCTGCCGCCGCGGTGGTGACGGTCGCCATTGGGTATATCGCCGACCGGACAAGACAACGCGGACTCTGCAACATCTTCATATCGTTGGTTGGCATTGCTGGGTTTGTCATGCTCATCGGAACCAGCAACCCCCAAGTGCAGTACGCCGGAACATTCCTGGGAGCCGTAGGCATCTACCCTTGCATCGCGAACTCGATCTCCTGGTGCAGTAACAACGTCGAAGGCGTCTTCAAACGCGGCGTCACCCTCGGCATTGTAAGTCCCGCAGTCCCCCTTCGACTCCGCAGGATTCGACTGATCCACATCCGCAGATGATCGGCTGGGGCAACCTGAACGGCATCGTATCAAGCAACATCTACCGTGGCGTGGACAGGCCCCGGTTTTTCCCCGGTCACGCCACCCTCGTGGGGTATATGTCGGTTTTCCTCCTGGGCGGCAGCATCGTCACGTACCTGTTGTTGCGGGCGGAGAACGCCAAACGGCTGCAGGGCAAGCGGGATCATTGGATCGAGGGCAAGTCGCAGGCTGAGATTGACAGGATGGGTGATATGCGGTAAGTTCTGGTTCTTGTGTTTCTTGGTGTGTGTTGCGATGCTGATGTCGACCTCACAGACCGGACTTCATTTACACTCTGTAAATTCTGGCGGATAGAAATTGCGTATTGGCAATATGAATGAACGTGCGGTTATCATCGCTGGAATTCCATTATACAGCTCAGGGGTTTTCCCAGGTGCGGCCATTTGACCATGCTAGATACGGTTCATAAACGTGAAGCGAGAGGTTTCATCTTTCGAAGAATAGCCGCATTATCAGAGTGTTCGGTGGACTTTGGCAAAGAGACACGAAGAAAATGGAACCACCTGCGCCTCCACCTGTTCTGCGGCAGACATCGTGTCCGGGGCACTTCATCCGTGGCCTGATCCCATACGCAGTATTATGAACATCAGATTGAAAAGAGTTAAACCAGAGAACCGATCGTATTCATATCTACGCTAATACTCCAGCTGCCGTATCGCCCTGCCCTGTCCCGTTTCCACTACAATTCATGTTGCGCCTGCAACAATCCAGCTGACCCATCATCGAGGAGCCGGGAAATCCATCCTCTCTTTTGCAACATCCACTTGAGCCCATCCCCAATACATCGAAGAGTACTAAACAGAAAAGCCGGCTCGCAAATAACACCGGCGCTGCAACCCTGGAATGAACAAAGCATAAGGGGTTGTTGTTATACGTGAAAGGGAAGGAAAGGGGCAATGATAAACGCGTTGCTCGTCGACCTCGTCGCCACACCCGTGGTTGGAGAGTTCATCCACTGAAATTTGACCCATGTCATCTCATCCAGTCGTCAACATTGATCCTGCCATCGGCCCAAGGAGTCCAAGCCTTTAGTAACTTTTTTGACCGTCGATCTGCTGTAACATCCGCGCGAAGCACAGTCGATATCCAAACCGCTTAGAACGCAAACCCAAAGGCGAGAGCGACAAGTCCCAGAACCGCGCCGGTTCCATATTGCCTCCCGACGTCCAACGCCACTGCCGCAGCGCTGCTCGGAGCAGCCGATGCGCCTCCAGCCGGTGAGGAAACCTCGCTTCCGCGGGACGAGCCGCCCGTGCTACCAGTAGGCGAGGTTGAGGAGGCGGTCGAGGAGGCGGTAGAGCTCACGCCTTTGGAGGGCAGGGGAGAGGCGAGGGCGGAGGCGTTCTTCTGGCCACAGGTGACGGAGAGGCAGATGTTTTGGCCGGGGAGGTTGTCGGGGTTGGACTTGACGCATTGCGCCTTCCATTCTTCGCACATGAGACCGGGGAGGGTTTGGGAATAGTCGGAAATGTTGGGGGTGCTGCCGCCGAAGCATTCGCATTCCCACTCAAGGAGTTTCTGGGGGGGGTTAGCGGTGGTTGTAGAAGCGAGCTCGGTTGGGAAGTGCTTGTTGTGACTAGGTGGAGGGATTATGTTGTTTGGTGACTTGGTGTAGGGAAAGCACAGCGCATGGATTGCGGTGGAGTGGATGAGAGGATGAACTCAGGGATGATTCATATCTTAATTCTTACCTGATTGCAAGTGTTGGCTGCCGTCCTTCCACCGCAGATCTGAGGACAGCTGTTCTGTTGCGCGCGGCACCAAGAAATGCGAGTGTTCGTATCCACAGAATTGGGCAGGACGGCGTAGGTGTCGTCGCTGGAGCTGGTGTCGTTCTGAGCGGCGACCAGGCTGGCCAACGTCGCCGTGATGGCGATCAGCACGGAAGAGGTATGCATGGCGATCGAGAGTGGATTTTAAGAGTGGAATTGAGAGGGGACAAGTGGTGATGATGTGGCGTCGGAGGTGAAGATGGAGAATGGGGCGGGGGATCGGCGCAAAGTAGCTAATGGATGCGAGGATGAAGATGAAGCAAGTTTGCCAGATGGGAAGTCTACAGATGCTGGATGAGCAATGGATGAGATGGATAGACGGAAGAGAAAAGAATTGGATGTGGATGGGGAGAAGAAAAGGAAAGAAAAGGAAAGAAAAAGAGACGGTGGAGGAGATTCGGGATGGGGCAGTTGTTAGCGGCAGGTTGAAGTCGTGAGAGGAGGCAGGGACTGCTATGGGACATTCCCCTCTTCCGATTCCGACTATCTATGCTTCATGTTTCATGATGATTTGCTGTGGAAACGGATTAGTTCATTGACTGTGTGGCTAGCAGCATGTATCCTGTATCCAACCCCCTCAAACCGTCCTCCGTTTGAAACCATCGTGACACTCCCCGCTACTCTCCTGCCATATGTAGCACCCATATCTCTGCCGTACCATCTCACCAATAAGTCTCCATCCATTCTGTATTACTTGTTCCGTTATCCGGTTGTCCCCATCTGGAATCTCGGTCGTAATTACTGGCCTCATGCCCCCGTCGTTTGTAGGTTTGTTTCGTTCTCGTCGTTGCCGAAACCCGAGATTGGTTCCTACTTCCCTCAATTTCCGGCGCCTCCGGTGATGGAACTACCGCCGCGGGAGGGGCCTGTCAAGTTTTGGTGTCGCTGGTTAGTTAAATGAGGGCTCAGGGCAGGATTGCCACTGGGGATTGACTGATTAGTGACGATAGTGGCTTACAACCAGAATGCCATCATAATGGAATCTTGATCATAGCTTTCATCACGTTGCTGGGACATCGGATGCACTTCGACGCCACTTTCCGCGATTTGCCCTGCCTTAGCGCTGCATAACATTTCACAGGGATGATGTTGATACTTCATGATACTAATTGATAATGGATTGTGCATAGCCAACACGCAAGCCACTTCAAGCTGGATGATACAATGGGTATGATGGTTAATAAATGATATCTGATTTATATAATTCTCTTTTGTCTGGTTCTCAGGAACCGGAAACGACAGATCTTCGGTTCCAATTCACAAATCGTCCAGTCTCTAGAATGTCCTCGCTCGGGACACTCCTGACTCCAGAGATAACGGAACCGCCCGCGCGACTTTTCCAGTCCCTGTTTAGTGTTTAGTGCTTCCCTGATTTAGGGAATCCTGTCAGATTCCACTAGGACAAACATGGACTAGCCAATTCATGTTGGACCAGGAAATGAAGCCTGCGAATGTGCAATATCAAGAACTTTTGAGGTCTCGTGAAGAAGGTATACATACATCCATATATAGTGGTGCACCCACCTCCCAGCCTTAATCAGATGCGGCTCCATTGCCTCACAAGGCTAAACGTGCCGTACAGATCGCTGTCCACCCGCCAAACATCCCTCCTCTATCCTCTCTGCCATCACCTCCGCTCCTTTTCCTCCATCGACCGCCCATTCCAAGGTACGGAAACCTCCAACCCCTCCTCATACCGGTCCCTCTAACAAACTCCGCAGAAGACGACGTCGTCCTCATCCGCCCCGTCAACCGCCCCTCCGCCGACGGCAAGCTCCTCAAAGCCTTGAAGCCCGCCAAGTCGCAGAACGTTCACCGCGGCCAACTGCGCCATGAGGACGTCATCGGCAAGCGGCCGCGCGACGTGGTGCGGAGCAGCCGCGAGGAGGCGTATCGGGTGTATGCGCCGACGTTGGATGAGTACGTGCGGTTGACGCCGCGGGAGGTGACGCCGGTGAGTAGGATCCTCTGCGACGCGATCGACGACGGCACAATTGCGGTTGGCTGACGGGATGCTATGGGGGGGTAGATCTACGCGTGCGATGCGAATCTCATCGTGTCGTTGCTGGATATCCACGTCGAGCCACCCAGCGCCGAGAATGACGCCCCGTTCGAGGTGCTCGAGGCTGGGACCGGCCAGGGAGGGTTGACGCTCCATCTCGCGCGAGCCATCGCCGCTGGGAACGCACCTCCACCCCCTCTACCACCACTAGCACTCGAAATTGCGCACGAGCGAGCCCAACAGCCAGGAACCGACGCTGCTGTCCTCCCCCCAATACACCCCTCCACCCCCTCCATATCATCCGAACTATCTCCTCCGCCATCCGCCGAAACCCCCGAGCCTTCACCCCCTTTACCCCCATCTTCAGAACCCCCTCCACCCAACCCCTCCGAAGTCTCCGACCCCGTCGCCGACCCCGCCACCCTCGCCACCCTTCAAACCTACACGCACTACAAATCCACCCGCCACGCCATCCTCCACTCCTGCGACCGCGCCCCCACCTTCCAAAAGCACGCCCGCAAAATCGTCCGCACCTTCCGCCGGGGGATCTACTACCCGCACGTCGATTTCCACGTCTGCACGCCGACCGAGTACCTCGCGCGACGCTTCGACTCCCTTCCTACCCGAGAACCAACGGACGGAGACGGAGTTGTGGACGTGGCCGGCGACGAGGAAGGTTTCCTTTCTGCCGCGGTCCTCGACCTCCCCTCCCCGGAAACACACCTCCCGGCGGTTGCGCGCGCGCTGCGGCGGGACGCACCGGTGGCGCTGTGGGTGCCGAGTATTACGCAGCTGTGTCGGGGGATCGACGCGGTGCGGGCGGAGGGGCTACCGTTGGTGTTGGAACGGGTGGTGGAGGCTGTGAGTGGGAGTGGAGGGAGTGGGGGGCGGGAATGGGATTTGAGGAGGGTGAGGGTGAGGGAGAAGGATAAGGAGAGGGAGAAGTTGAGGGAAGAGGGGGATGGTGCGGAAGAGGGGGGAGAGGGGGGTGTTGGGAGTGGGAGGGATCGGACGGAAGAGGAGACGGTTTGGGTTTGTAGACCTAAGGTGGGTGCTATGACGACCGGAGGGGGGTTTATCGGGATCTGGAGGAAAGCTTCAACATGACCGGCAGCTTTTGCATCCTCCGACGATTTCCTCATCCCTCGCCCTGTATGCAACACTACCTGTACGATATTGTCAAAAACAGCGAGATTTGTGTAAAAATATATGTTCATTATTAAAGATAGACATGCGTGGGATATCTGCGCTCAAAGGAACTTATGCCAAAGAAATCCGTTCAATATCAGCAGCCCGATAGATTTTGGAGGTATTTATCATCATCGCATCTCGCAAGGTCCCGTTCCAGGAAGGACCATGTGATGCATTGCGCTTCCGTCGTCACCGACAATCGGACTCCGCCCAGCCCTATCCCACCTCATGAGCATCTAACGCCGAACATCCAAATGACCCATCCAACCCCCTAAATCCTCCTACTTCTCCCTCAATGGCAACTCCCTCTTACTCCACGGCAACATACCACCCCCCTGATACCCCCACCCCCCCGCCTGCTGCGCCGGCGGCGTCGGCGGCGTCGGCTCCCCGGGCCTCGACCCGCCCAGCGCATGGAACGCGTTCGTCCGCGGCGTCATCAGCGGGGCGCCGCTCGCGCTCGGCGTCCCCGGCGGCAGGCCCGGGGTGGGCAGACTCCGCAGCTCCCACTGCTGCGCCTCGGAGAGCTCCTCGTGGTGGGATTTCAGCTCGTGGCGATGGGCGCGGATGTCGGCGCGCTTGGCTTTTTGGGCGGCGGTGGGGATGCAGTTGTAGAGGCTGAGGGCGAGGTAGAGGGCGTAGAGGGCGCTGGTTGGCGGGGTTAGTGATTGGAAGGGGCGAGGGGTGGGGTGGGGAAACGTACAGCATGAGAGAGCTGAGGACGAATGCAACTTTTGCTTGCATGCAGTATCCTTTGAGGGTATTGTACGACGAAATCTTGCAGTCCTTCGTGATATACCATGCCAGGCCTTTCTGCGGATGACGTGGGTCGGAGAGGTCTTTGGACGACTGACCGTACACACTGTAGGCATAGACCCCGACCAAAGCGCTGTGGACGATAACGGAGATAACCGGGACGAATGCATGGAGGACATGCATCGTCCCTTTGGTGAGGAGGAGGAATAGACCGAGGACGGAGGCGACGAGATTGAAGTTCGTGAGGCTGCTGAAGATTAATTCGGAGTTTCGAACTACTTGGGCGGTGCTTGAATCGCACCATCGCATGGTAAAGCGCCACTTACAATTGACTCCATATCAACGGCGTCTTATACGACCTGTAGTTGGCCGCGGCATATAAACCCGCCTTCGGGTCGCTGTTGAAGCCTTGATCGGCTCCCTCCTGCCATAGCTTCGTCCGATATAAATCCGGAGCCGCGATACCGAAGAGCGCGAGGATTGGTATCGTCAGAGCTAGTTCGATGACCATGAGTCCCCAGAGGATTAAGGGCGTCCGCCACTTCTTCGAGGGGAAGAAGTGCATTGTGCGAAAGGTTTCCCGAGACGGCAATATCTGCCTCTTGCGTGTCTCGTCTCGATATCAGATGGTCGGGCGAGTTTAAAGCGGCGGCAGTGCTGGAAGGACACCCAGTCAACGGTACGACTCCAAAGCAAGTTTTTGCATGAGCCCTAGTCAAACTCCCACTCCTCCTCTTGTACTCTCCGTCAGTCCTGCTGTGTCGGAGGGAGAATCCTGGTATCAGCGATATTACGGTACGTGTCGCGCAGAGGGGATCGAGATCTCTCGCCAAGTCAGCATACTGGGAAGTCCCTCATTCTTAAAGGCGACGAGGGTCGTCAATCCGGCCGCACGCATCGTCTCCCAGACGAACGGTATGGTCTTAGGGGTGTGTGATACGGCGCGGTGGTGGGCGGCAAGAGAGCAGCGGGGCGTTCTGACAGGCTGGAGGTACAGACGAGATACAGCGAGAGGCGGGGGTGGGTTGGCCAATAGGCGCCCGCATCACGCCCGGAGAGCGTGAGAGCGGTGGAGTTCTTCCTTGTTATTCCTAATAACCCAGCAAGGATGCGTAAGATCACCAACGGAGTCCAGCCAAGCCGCGCAAGCTCCATGCGACGGATGATCCCGTGCGTTGGGGATGACGCTAGCTCATTTGGAGCAGGGGGAATATTGACTCGTCTAACTTCTTGCTCTGGACCTAGTACGTAGTAGATATTTGACATGTGCAGTAAAAAGGACAATGGAAAGAAGGACGGAAAGATTGGTTGTTACAAGACATATTGCAATACACACGCCTATCAGCTTGTGGCATACATTCATGTGCAGAAAGGAGTTGAGGTCCTTCGTTCTTAGTTCCTACGGGTACCCTTTCTCGGAAATATTGGGGGTGTCAACCGACCAATTAGACATCGACGCTTGACTATGCTCCTCCCCTTGGTAACTTTGTTGTCAACGACATCGACCTCTTCGAGCGCAAAGAACGAAGTCCGGTTAAGTCACGTGGGGGAATATAGAGTTGAAAAGACCAGATATCTGTCCTAAGTGTGAAGTCTGACTCATAACAACAAGTAAGAACACGAACGGCCCCATCCATGGTATCCCCGCCGTCTCCAGATGGCCTCGATCCTAAACGCCTTGCCAAAACTGACACGCTCCGGTCCCAGCATGAATATATACATCGGAGCAGTTACACCACCACCTGCCCTCCCTCGACCAAGACATGATCTTCGAACTTGCCACGGTCGCCGTGCTCCAATCTCGACCACGTGCTGATGCCGCCGTCGTTGGCGTCCAGCTCGAAGAACCGGACCCGTCGACGATATCCGCCGTAGCCGCCGTAGCCACCGAGCCCAGCCCCACCGCCGTAGCAGAGCCACATGTTCTTGGACATGGTGCGCTGGTCGTGGGATGAGGTCGGTTCTTCGCCGTTAGGCTTGGAGGAGATGCCGCAGAAGGAGTTCGCATGGTCGCTGGGATAGGTTAGTGAGAAGGATTTTGAAGGGGTAATGGCACCTACTGTCCGACGCTGAGAACGCTGATTCCTTCTTCGAGGAGAGCATCGCGGAAACCCGTGTTCTTATTCGGCGCCATGACGGGCTCTTTCCAGTCGCCGAAAACTACCTGGCCATTATTTTGGTCGTCCCCGCCCGCCGTCACGGAGCCTTGCACCGGTTTCCCGACCTCTCGGTACTCGGGGAGGGGGATGTGGATGAACGCCATGTCTAGATGGATGTGGGTATATTTCTTATGCTGATCTTTCAGCGCGCGGGAGGTAGCTTTGAACCACTTGATTTGGTCTTCTTTGATGTAGTCGTAGCCCTCGTTCCCGCTGTGGCCGTGGGAATCGAGGAGGTAGATGGTAAGCGCGGAGTGCGTGCTGGTGCCGGGCGCAAGAACTTCGACGTAGTAGTTGCCAACGCCGGAGACGGTAGCCGGCCCAGCCTCGCTGAGCGAAAAGGGTAGAGCATGGATCAATGACATCTGCGCTTGGCGGGAGAGGGAGGATTTTTCAAAGTCATCGTGGTTTCCAAATATGGTTGCGAACGGAATTTGGCGCTGGATGAAGATATCCGCGAACTTTAGGATGGCCTGGCTGCTTGTTAGCGCCCATCTGACAATCGTCGCAAACGGGATACATACGGTCTGTGCGTCCGGTGCCGTCTCGCCATTCACTTGGTCACCGCTCAAGATAACCAAGTCTGGCTTCTCCGTGTCAAGCATCTTGCCGAGGAACTCAAGAGTCCTTGGATCCGCCTCGCACCTTCCACCATGCGGTTCCGGCGGTTCCGGGTCTCTACACGCGCCCATTCCCGTGCTGAAATGGATATCGGCCACCTGCATGATCTTGAACCGCCCGTCTCTCCGCACGCGAGGAGTGGGCTTCTCAATAGTTCTTGGAGTTGAACCTCTTTGGACAGTGAGTCGAGGGGTGGCCGCCTCTAACGACATGTCCAGCAATAACGGTGGTTTGAGCTCCCAGCTCGGTCGCGGGTCGGCCGCATCGGCACCGAAGAGCACCTCCACCGCCGTGACCGCCTTCTTGGAATCGCTGTCATGCCGCTTGGAACTGAGTTTGATCCACACGCCGCCCGGCCGGGACTCCCATTTCTGGTTCTCCTGCCCTTTTTCACCCACCGACGGATCCAACCTCCCCACCCGCACGTCCATGACAACCATATCTTTGAGGCCCAGTTCCTCTTCGCGCGCGGAACGGATGTGCACAAACGCCTGCTTGGTCCAGCTGGATCCGAGGTAAAGGTCTTTCTCGATGCGGTGCCATTCATCTGGGTCGAGGCGGCATGATGACAATGGGTTGGCCTTGTTGCAGGTCTTGATCGTGAGGTCGGTGATCACGAGGCCGGGGTGGTGGAGGGGAAGGTGACTGTGGATGGAGTTGGGGAGGACTCGGTAGCGGTTGTCGAGGAAGAAAATAAGGGTGAGGATAACGACGAGGAGTACCCCGAGGTTGACGCTTGCGCGCACCTAAAAATCCTCCAGTTAGCCGATATCCCACGATCCTCCATTCCAGGGAGGCGAGCATGCGCACCAATCGTCGTGTCATGGCTTGCCAAAGGCGCAGTGCAAGCCGATTATCTGTTACATCAGCTGTGAAGGAGACCGGACTGCCGTGCCCCCTCGAACACAGCTTAGTTAGTCATGGAAGAAACTCCTATTGTTGACCTCGGATCATGAGGCCAAGGACAAGTGGGCTGGGCGTTTCAATACCGGTAGACTTGATGAATGAAAGCGATTTTCACGTTGGGGGGTTCAAAGACAATAATGGAGCCCATCCCCAGAATCGACATTGTTAGTGCTTGCCGTCCGCTGGACCATGCTGACTGAGCGCGACTCACTCACAGTCTCACTCACTCAGAACTCACGAGCTTTTCGCTTCGTTGCTGATCTTCCCCTGAATGGGGTCCAGTTATATTCCGTACTGAGTACGTATCTGTCACATTTATCCGCCTGTCTTTCGAATTCGATTTCAATTAGGGAGAACGAGCTTTCTATGTCCGCCGACTTATTCCGATGGTTTTAAGTCATTGGCAAACAATCATTATAGCCAACTCGAATCCAAATGTGTTGTCGAGAAATCATGCTTCTGTAAAATGCCATATGGACTGTGACCTCAACTCTAGATGCTGCACCCAAGTCTGTGAAGGAAGCATATCACGAGCTTTTGTTCAGAGTCCCAATGAGTCGCAAATCCTATGTCTCGTTAATTATGATATCCATTGTGAGTCATTGACGGAAGTCACTGCAAAAGTCATACCTGCCCTTAAGTTCTTCACATCCTCGACTGGCTCTTATAAAGTCATGAAACTCCACTCTCCTTCTACTTTCGCTGCTTCAGCATCCACCACCTGCACTTTAAGGAGTACATATACCTTTTGCTCGGCACCCGCAGTGGTTGGATCCTTATTCAGCAAGCACCTCTCACGTTCTCGCGTACTCAGCTCCCCGACTCTAATACCCCAGGATTTCATTGCCGCGATGTGCGACTTCCACGTCACGTATGAGTGTGGGCACAAGGAAGATGCCCGCCACCCAACCTGTCCATGCAAGAGCGATATGGATATCATTAGAGCCAGGCTATGTTCCATTTGTGCGCCCGTAAAACAGGTATATGGTGATAATGATGAGACGCAAAGATAGGTCAAGTCTCCGCGGATATTGAAGACCTGTATTAGGATGCTTCCAATCCTACTGTATCTCATGAAAGCCAATAGGAGGCTGAATATGGAGAAGATTATGGTGTCGAAATGGGACAGCTGATCACATGTAATCGATGGTGTATCTCATAGGATGAAATAGCAACTTAATCTTGTCAACCCCAAACTGCATGGGAATATTCTGATACTAAATTCTACCGCCCTCTGTGAGCGACATAACATTATGCCTCTTTTCGGAGAAGGTAAATCATGCTAGCAGATTGTGACTCTTCCATATCCTGGGGGACAATTGGGACTCTAACAAAAATGATCCAGCATGACTCCTAGCAGTTCCTACACGTAATTATATGATCAAGAAAAAAATACTTCACTCGTTTACAATAATGTTAACTTTGATCGTCATCGAAATTCAGTTCGTATGGAGCAGCAGCACTGACAATCATTACAGAAGGACCTAAGGGGCTTAAATACCGTATTATTTGTTTAGCCAAGTCATATTTAGATATAGATCACTGTGATCAGGCTTGAAGTATTTTAATTTCCCCTCACACTATGCCCACACGGTGCCTTATAGAACTTGGATTCACCTCTAGGGACTAGTCATATTAGTGCTACTCAGTATCGATTTAAACTTGAATAATTGAGCTTAACATCCGAGACTTAGAATTGCTCTCCATCCCCCGGACTACAGTATTGAAATAGAAGGTATAAAGCATTGTTGAGGCCCCAGTGCCTGTGTAATCCTTCCATTCTTGTCAAATCCCATTTGATCCAAGTCGGTCCCCACGATTGATAAGTCAATCAAGTCTTCGAAGTAGAACTAGGTCTATCATTGGACGCTGTGTGGTTCACACCATTGGGAACCCTTGGGAACCGTTGACTGCCTCCCGAATGGTTCCGTTGGTGGCCCCATTGGTGGGTCCCTTCAAGATTCTGTGGAGATTTGACCGTTCTCTTATGCAATCATCACAATAATCAACCATGGCGCTGGCAAAGTTGTGACACGCGCAGCGAGTCAATTGATCTGTATTGAACCGATGTCCGCAACGATGGAAGACCATAGAATAACACATTCTTCTTTGTGACTGGTTCGGAGTACTGGCTCAGAATATCCAGGACTTATTTGTTATGCGGTATAAGTTGGATCTAGAGGGTGGTAGTGTACGGAAGAACTCTGTCTGTGTGGAAGTAGGTTCAGTGCTAGTGAGTGTGGCCAATGGACAATTAGAAATATAATTGATGATTACGTGAATGTAGCTCGGTGCTTGCTAGTTAATTATCTGGAAGATTTAATACTGTGTTATAGGACTTTTCTCCTGAAAGAATAAAATAAAGGTTCGCGTGTATTGGAAGTAATCTCACTTGAAGTGCCTAAATATTGGAATACTCATCATCACAGACAGTCATAGCCCCACACGCACATGTAAAACCAAGATATGACTACCGGAATGCCAGTATAACTAGGACAAAGTATCTGGAGAAACGTAGAATGGCCAGGTATAAAAACTCAGGGACAACAGTCATGACAGGCACTACTCAGACTGGCACATTCACTGATCGAACCTCCCATTGACCCTAGTATACCAGCAAGTCGGTTCCAAAACCTACCATCGATCCCCACACCTGAAACGATAACGATGTGTTACTAAATAATCCAATGGGCCTGCTCCACCCCACGCGGTTCCTCGTGCAGGAAAACTGCGACTGTAAACAACCTGGGGAGCTGATAGATGAATCAAAGTCCCATCTCTGCGACGACAATCTGGAGAAACCATTCCATTTGTGCCTAGTAAAAGCCTGCCGTATAGAGGCGTGCTGGTTCACTGATGTGGAGCATATGTATGAATACGCCTGGGAAGATTAGGAAGTCCTGGGCACTTTTCTGAGGGACTGATAGATAAAGGAAGCACCGAGTCACAGTGACATTGCGAGAAAGGGTACAGACTGTCTAGCATGGGAATGGAGTTCCAGTCAATGGATGACTCGCATTAGAGTATAATTATCTCGCAATCCTCCTGCTTGTTAGTGTAGGACTATAGCCGACGCCTCAACAGTCATTTTCTTGCCTCATTAGCACTGGACAAGCGTTTCCCCCTGCAGTGAGTCGACCCAAACCACCAGTGGTCACAACAATATGTCGTTACCAAATCGACTACTCCTGTGCTCACAACCGTGACAACTTCGTCCGGAAGGGTAGCGAATGCAAGAAAGAAGAGCGACTGGTTGATATGGACAAGTGCCCCGACTGTCATGTGAAGGAAGCATGACATGTCTGTTACAAAAACCCTGAAGGATGCCGTGCAGAACTAGCAGAACATAAAGAGCGCAGTGGATGATGGCCTAGATCCCAAGTGGATCAGGTACGACTGAATCAGGGAGAGGTTCGCATAGCCTCTGCTTTGAACAGAACGAGTCTTTCTATGAAAGGTAGGAGATAAATCTCGAGATTACTCTCACGTTGACAGTAAACTCGGTGCTTGTTGGTAGAGAGGCGTCGGACACTCCATTGGATCAATTTTACAATATATTGCAAACGTACTGACTCCCAATCACTGTCTATGGTGGCAGTACTGATCCCCGTTTTCCTTTAGAGATATTATGAGTTTGAGGGATGTACTATTAATTATTCCTCTCCCGTACATGCGTTAGCCGATAACAAAGCCGGAAAATGAGGTCCGGTCGGATCGTCTAAACGAATCGTCCCATATCAAGCGTCATCCATCGTTGGGGCGTGTCATACCATGATCTTAGACCCATATCGCCGAAAAATCCTGGCCATATCTAGTAGCGGAAGACTGCTCCATCAGCCTGTACATGCGCCATAACTCATTACGCTCGTTTCATCAAAACTCGAAAAGACCGAAAACCAAACCTAAATAGCCAACTAGGCGAGAGAACAAGTATTCGACGCTACAGCTTCATTAGCAGAAGTATTTGTAGAATCGCTTCCATCTCGGCCAGGACTTCCTCTCCGCCCTCTCATCCGCCACGAGCTCTGCAAGATTCAGCTCTCGAATCCCGGTATGGAGATCCATATTATGGCTCCTCACGACTCTCGTGCGCAGCCACAACTTGTACGGCAGATAGAACGCGATGACGATCGGAACGGCCAGATAGACGGAGAAGAAAGCTTCGGCGTTTTCGCGCGGCGTCTTGTCGGCGTATCCCACCGGCGCAAACCCGATCCAGAACTGGGCGATGAGGACGAGCACATTGAAAATGAACCCAATCCAGGAGCCGATCACGCCGGGTTGGCTGCGGAACGCCAGCTCGTCGAGCGTATGGCCCTGCACCTTCCACGCCTTGCGGAAGCGGATGTGCGCGAGGCAGATGGAGCCCCAGGTGAAGATGCTGGATAGGCCCGAGATGGCGAGCATCCAGTTGAAGGCGTCCTGTTCCCGGTTGGTGCCGGCCAGGAAGGCGAGCAGGCCGAGTGCGGACGCGAGGCCGATACCTACGATGGGGCGACCTTGTCGGTCGATATAGGCGAAAATTCGCGGCGCTTGGTTTTGCTCGGCGAGCGCGGCCAATGTGCGCGAGCTGCCGTAGATGGATGAATTGCCAACGGAGAGGACCGCAATCATGATTACAGCGTTCATGACGGAGGGGAGGCCTTCGATGCGAGCGTTTTGAATGGCGAGGACAAAAGGCGAGGCATTCGTGTCAATAGAGAGCTCGGGGTTCCCAAGGAGTCGCTCATCATTGTAGGGGACGAGTAGCCCCACAAGCAGAAGGGAGACGACGTAGAAGAGGGTGATACGCCAGAAGACCTGCTTAACCGCGGTCGGAAGTGATTTACGCGGATTCGCGGTTTCGGCGGCAGCAAGGCCAACCAGTTCGGTCCCTGCGAAGGCGAAGGCAGCAACAACGAAGACGGAGCAGAGGCCTTTGAAGCCATTATTAAAGGCGCCAGGATCGCGCCAGTAGCGACCGCCAATGTAGGAGCCGTCCTCACCCCCGCCCAGGTTGAGGATAACGCCTAAGATGACGAAGCCGATGACCGCGGTGATCTTGATAATGCTGAAAACGAATTCCGCTTCACCGTAGCCTTTGACCCCGAAAAGATTGATGATGACGATAAGGACGAGGAAGATGCCAACCCAGGCACCGCTGTGGATCCTGCCATGATTCCAAAATTCAATGGTGAGCGAGGCGGCGACGATCTCGAGGGGTAGAACGACGAGCCACTGGAGGACATAGCTGTGGAAGTCAGCGATGTCTTTGGTTAAGACCGACTTGGGGCAACACATACTTCCAACCCATGGCGAACCCCCAGGCTGGATCTAAAAACCGCGTGGAATATGCGGAAAAGGATCCAGCGACGGGGAAGAGCACCGCCATTTCCCCCAGAGCATGGACGGTGCAATACATCATGATCCCAACCAACAAGAAAGCCAGCAATAATGAAGCTGGGCCACCTTGTGCCAACGCACTTCCTGATCCGACGAAAAGACCAGTTCCTATTGGATCCAGTCAGCCGATGCATCCACGGGTTTCCAGATATGTTTATCCCACCTATTGAGCCTCCGATTGCAATCATCTGCAAATGCCTTCCCTTCAACTTCCGCAATAAAGGCGACGTCGCCGTCGCCTCAGCAGCGCCCTCGACGTCGAACAACTTCCCATCGCTACCTACTGCTCCCCGTGGTGTGATGGTGTGGACATGTGCCGGGTCTCTTTTGAAACTGTCGATGATGCGCCGGGATAAGGGAAGCTTTGGGTCTCTAGTGTCACCTTCATATGCCAGGTAGTCGGGAGGAAGTGAGGCTCTTCTGGGCGATTCGGTGGAGGACGGTGTGTACATCTTCATATTGATTGTTCGGTCATTGTAGTCCATGATCGCCGGCAAGCCTCCTTCCACCTCTTTCACCGATAGCCGTGAATATTGTCGAGCCGGCTGCTTCTGCCTTCGTCTGTCTTATCCTAGACCTTAAGATTTCCCTCTAGCGGTCGACTCCTCACACGAGAGTTCCGCTTCGCAGTTCCGGCTCGCGCAGAGGGTAGCTTGGGATCAGATATCGTGGGAACAGTTGTAGGATCTCGTCATGGTCGCCGGCAGGGACCAAGTCTTATGGAGTGAAATCGGAATCCTCGAGACGAGTGGAATTGGATATGGGGAAGCGGTCGAGGTGACTCGGGCCAGCCTGTGAGATAGTGGCGACGCTGGAGGCCAGGTAGGATTTATTGGCAGTTTGGCACGGCGTCGTCGGCTTAGATTGGCGATAGGACCGGGCGAGGGTCAGTCAATCCCCGCTGTCAGTGGAGCTGCCGAGTGACGGGGCCGATGGTTATCAGAAGCTATTATTGGTACGTGAGACCAGGGTTGCTTTGGCAGAAGCGAAAAAGTGTGGACAAAAAGAGACGCTAGAACTTGATCGTCGGATTTGATGTAACTTTTTTGAAGGGGTTATGGAATGATTTGAGATGATGAATGACACTGCAGCTTTTGGATAGACTTGAATGAATTGACAGTTGTCGGCGAGGTGTACGGCGTGGTATGACAGTCCAAAGTGGAAGCACACAACCACCGCTTTATGTATTCCTTGCAGACGATGCGAAGTGAATGGACTGGACAATGAGACTAATCCTGTAGGAACAGGATCACGAACCCGATTTCCTTTCGTATTTATGCCGCCATCGAAGCTATCCCCTTCCCTGGCCTCAGTTTCGTGTAGCCGTGCAAACTCATGGGATACAAGCCTTGCTCCGTTGCACCGACCTGCCCAATATGGGAACCCCATCGTCCCCAGGACTGCCCTGCCTAGTTGATTGCCCACAGCTCAACGCTCACACGGGAAGATCCTCGCTGGGGTGGGATGGCGAAGGGATTCAAGGGATGATGCCGGTAGGGTCCAATGAGAGCGAATATACGGATACGTCGTGCAACATTGCTTTCTTGTTTTGCGATGGCGCTTTTTCGATACTTGAACAAGCAGCGTTGTTCTCTTCATATTTCCTAGCTCAACGGTGCGATCTCGGGGGACTTGATGCGGGACGGCTGCTTACTTGCAGCCGTTGAGCGACCTTAAGACGGGATATCATTGGAAAAGGCCACATCAGAAGCAGGTACTATCGATAAAGACGAAGAGGAAGTACGGGATACGGTTTCCCAAAGTAGATCTATGAAGAGGATGAAAGGGGCATCCTTACTTCGCCGGTCAGTTGACGACTTGACATTGTTCTTCGAGTCTGAGACAATACAACTTCACCGACCTACATGTTGTACAGAAATACTTGCATGCAGGTAGACATATTTAAGGACTCGGACGTTGCCAATCTCGCTTGGACACCTTTTTATCATGTCGATTATCAATTCTTAAGGCATTATTGCTGCGGACGGGACGTATCGTCGGGAAGGCATGGCGTCCTTGCTTTGTGGGATTCTCCAATGACGGCTTGAAGTCGCACCAGTCATTTTATTCGCAAACATCATTCGATCATTGCCCATGAACTTTGCCTGGAGCGACCGCCTGGCTCCGCCCACGAATGGAGAAATCTCGTTGCGGCTTGACCGATCGACAGTGGCCAGCACGCTCACATACGTTGTACGACCAAGGGCGGCAGCCGATAGAATCCTTCCGGGTCCACGAGATTATGCGGATCAGCGGATGTAACATCGAGGCCAGTAATCTCATCAGGGCGCCCTGTGTTTTAACGGCATCATAGTGCCTTACATCACGAAAGGTGTAGCAATAATGTGCTTGAGTACCTTAAGGACCGACTGCGATCCAGAGTTCTCGCACACTTGATCACTTTGGGGACCCAGCAGTCGACCGCACCGCCATTTCCAACCCTAGAGAACATCGTATCCAGGCGTTACACACGTGGTGGGGATGGCCAATTGTGCTATTTATTGGTGTAACAGCGGAGGGTAGCGGTGGGGAGCGAAGATTCTCGCTCTCACCGCCAGCAGCGAGAATCGGATAGACCTGCAAGCTCTCAGAATTGGATTATCTTATGGTATAAACAAAAGGTGATACAGCCGTAGACAGGATGGGTAGACTGACACTCGCTTGACCCCGAATAATTAGGGACGTAAAAACATACGGTAGAAGAGAAGTGACAAAGGGATCGGAGGGGGGGAACAAATGAAGAACACCAAAACAGGGTATATGTCCCCTCCCAGGGGCTCAGAATAGTACAACAACGTATCGCATGCCAGGTCCTTCGCTACACCTTCGCCGCCATCCTTGCCTTCTCCCTCTCCTTTCGTATCGCCTCCTCCACATCTTCCCCGGGCTCGACCACCACCACCTCTTCCCCGTCCTGCACCGGACTAAACACGTCCACTTCCTCGATTTCCTCATCCTCTTCCTCGCCGAGGAACGCCATCCCTCCCATCCCCACCCCCTTCACAATCACACTCCCACTTCCATCCTCGTCCACATCCTCTACCAACTCCCCGTCTTCCCCCTCCTCTTCCTCCTCCTCAATCACCCCCTCTCCACTCCTCCTCCCTACACTCCCACTTCGACTCCCCTCATTACTCCCCACCCGCGCCCTCCCGCCCGGACTCCCCCCCATTGCACTCAACCCCAACACCGGTCCCTTAAACGGACTCCGCTTCCGCTTCGTGAAAATCAACCCTGGACTCGGCGGCGGCAGGCTCGAAAACGCCGCTGCGCTCTCGCTCAGCGCCAGCAGCGGCTTCGGCGCCGACTTGCGCACTGGTCCGTCGCGCCCGAACGGCCCCGTCGCGCTCGCGCCCGCGCTGCCGGACGGTGCGAGGACCGACGCGTTCGGCGACGTCGAGCCGCTGCCGCTGGTGCCGTTGACATTGGGCGGGACGGCGCCGGATCCGAGAAGGGCGGCGGCGGCAGCGGGGGCGGTGGAGGCTACGGGGGAGGCGATGGAGGCGGAGGCGGAGGAGGTGGAGCTGGTTTTGCTGTGGGTGTGGGCGTGGTGGAAGCTGCGGATGCTAGAGACGGAGCTGGAGGTGGATTTGCGGCCGCGGAGGCCGGAGGAGCGCCGGTAGGAGGCGTGCGGGGTGATGGGGGAGGGGGAGAGGGAGGGGCGGGGCTTGGCGTGCATGCCGACGGGGGTGGTGGAGGTGGTGATGCGCGGGCGCTGAGGGCCTGAACCGCGGGCGTGCGAGGGGAGGTCAGGGCGGGAGAGCCGTGTGGGGGTTTCGGGGGCGGGGCGGGTGATGGAGAGACGGTGGATTTGGTCGCCTTGACGGAGCGCGGCGCTGTGGCGGCGAGGGGCGGGTTGTTGGGATTGCGGGGAGGATTTGGAGCTCGGATTGGATGACTTAATCGAAGGGCTGCGGGTGCGTTTGGCGGACTCCTTGATCCAGTGCTTAAGTTGTAGGAATTGATTTAGGAGAGGCGGTTGGTATTTGCGACGCTTCGTGATGGCGCCGTTGTTGGAAATACCATTCGAAGGCGCAAGGTCCGCGTTGGTGGTGACAAGGTGAAGCATACTGCCGCGGGAAACACGGCGCTCTTTGGGCGGAAGAGGAGGACGGGATCTTGATGAACTGGCGGATCGACGGGTAGGCCTCGGATCTTTGTCGATGGGAGGTGGTGGCCAATTTTCAATTTCTGCTTGCGGGGATACGGAAGTCTCTTGAACATTTGGCAAATCAGGTACCATGGCTTCTGTGAGAGCATTAGCGAATGTCAAGTTTGAAGAGTGGTAGACCTACGAGAACTCAATCGATTGGGATTCCGGCCTCTTGACTTCGGAGGATCGCCCATCAGGACGGTATGGAGACCCTCTTCATCCGTCTCTCGAATGGTTGGTGCCATGCGCTCCAGACGGCTGCTGGCTGCACTCAATCGACGTAGACTCTTGACTTCCGCCTCCCGCTCTTTTCGCTTCCGCTCGAGCCGCTTCGCCTTTCGCTCCTCCTTCTCGATCAGTAAGGCCCACCATCCAGCCAAGGCGTCACAGTGCATCTCAAGGACGTGCGTGATCACCATGTCAATGCTGACGCCCGCGCTCTTCATTCTCGCCAGCGTCTGCGTCTCGAGCTCCGTGGAAAACGGTTCCGGCTGCTGAAGTTTGAGGATATGAACTTGATGAGGCGCATGCTCCGCAAGCCACGGATTCGTGAGAATGTCTGAAAGCGATGGTCGTAGAAGCGGTCGCTTCGACAGCAAGGAGGCAATCAGATCTTTCGCGCCCTGTGGAAGGGTGTCGGGGTATTTCGGTTCCTGCTTCAATATTCGTGTTTTCGTAGCGGTTTCGTCATCTTCATCAAACGGCAACTCGCCGCATAGCAACGCATACAGTATGATACCCAGACTCCAGACATCGACCTTTTCGCCGGCATATTTTTCCCCTTTCAACATTTCCGGCGCGCTGTAACACACGGTGCCACACCAAGTCTGAAGGTAGCTCGACTTTCCTTCGTACTCCCGAGTGAATCCGAAATCGACCAGCTTGACATTCCCATGCTTGTCTAGCAGTATATTTTCCAGTTTTAGATCTCGGTGAACGCATGACTTTTGGTGTACGTATGCGACGGCGCCGACCAGCTGTGTGAAAATGCGCTGGACTTTGGACGGTTCCATCAGGCCATGGTTCAGCAAATGGGTATAGAGCTCGTCCCCTGTATTCGGTTCGTCAGAGCTGGAAGAGCATATTGAATGATACACACGGACCTGGACAGTACTCCAACACCAGCCATACAAGCTTCTCAGTGACTATGACTTCGTATAAACGCGCGATGTGAGGATGGAGGAATTGTCGGTGGTGGTGGATTTCGCGGGCGAGATTCGCGTCATCTTTCCTAGCGGACTTGAGGACGACCTAGATCGGTTTAGTGATTTGATTGTATACCACTCGGGTCTCCTCCATCGTACCTTGGAACCATTGGTGAGCTTGTGAGTGGCCAGGTACACCTTTCCGAACGATCCTTTGCCGATAAGACGGCCTAGGGAGTAGTTTCCAACATTGCGGAGCTCTTCGCTCGAGAATTCCCTGGGTAGACATTAGGCATCATCCTTCCAAACAAGAGCGACCTATCAAGGATGTGGACATACTCTAAGAGTTCCTGATACGAGTTGATGAGCTATAGGAGAAGATACGATTAGCGGACGGTGTCGAGTAAGCAACGCGTTGTGCCATACCTTTTTCCGCTGGGCTTGGAGGTCGGCTTGAGACTTTCCGGCCGGCGGCATGTGGAAAACCTCTTCAAAGATGGATAATGGGAATTAGCGAGCGACATGAAGTCTAAAGGATTGTAGATTGAGTGGAGGTGGCGACGTGGTGAGGGTTTTGGCGGGGAAAGTTTATGTTGGATGTTGTTCATCCGTTGATGGAATCATGGGGTTGGAGAGTCTGGGTTTCCGTATATGGATTAGGGGAAAGGGTTCCCCAAGTATTGCTCCGAACTGAAAAGGCAGTCCTCCAGTCAGATGGAAGTATCACAATTCGCACTTATTTCATCCTAAGATGGTTTATACAGATGTAACAGTAAAGAGCCGCTCTTGCTATTAAATCATTCTGGGTTCCTCTGTTCCCGGCTGCGTGCTCCTGGGCGCACTATGACTTACCGCCTGAGTCCGGACCCGAGTGCTGTACATTTGGACAGCGGACCACTGCATATTGCAAGGAAAGGAGCGGAACGTGTAACTAAAACCTGCAGTGTTTACGGAGTACTTCGTATGTATTGCTTTAATGCCATAGGCAAGCACGATCACCTTTCGACCCAGAGCTATGGATCTGACATTGGAGTCTTGGAGACTGGATAGGAATACGTATAATCGTAATCATTCCTTTCCTACGTCGTGACTGTTTACGTAGTCTTTCGTACCCGTCTTCGTCGTCAGATATTCGTACACGGGACCTCTCCTGGTAAGCTTGGCGAATTCATATAAGTATCTCGAGCTCTATTATCAGGTGCCATACGTGTGACATTGGCAGCCCCCTCTTTTTAAACTCACTGCATGTGCTGCTGCGCTGGAATCACAAAGTCTATTTGAGAAGGACCCCTTGCTTTCGGGATATGGGGGCGAGTCTGAGGACCACGGTTTGTGTTCCTATCATCATTCGGTGTCGATGTCTGTACCCACATGTGGCTGAACCTGAATGTCAATAACTGCAGTGTCTCCCAAGGGTTTGTTGTTAAACTAGTTTCGAGGTTTGTATTGTGACCCTACCACTAAGGAAGAATATAGGCGATTCAGGCGACGGAGCAGCCTAAATCAGCACGACCGCGCCACTGATTAGATTGGTCATGTTAGGGAGGGTGTAATAGGACATCAAAAGATCATAATTCCCATAAAATCTGATATCACAGCATGAGCGTGGAGTTCAGTGTGTTTCTTCTAAATTTCAAGCCCAAGGTGGAATACCATAATTAATTCTTATCGGGGATGTGCTACAGCGGACCATTGAATCCATCTGTGCAATACTTCCTCGCTCTTTAAAAAAAACTTTGGCGAGCCTTCTTCCTGTTCTTCTTCTTCTTCTTCTTTATGAACAACGCAAAAAAACAACACCCACAAAAGCATTTTCGAGGGAGGCCCTTCCAGGTTCTATGATATCGAGAATCGTCACGTGGAGTGGAGAACAGACCACCAACTATCGATCTTGGGTGCGGTGCTCTCGCGGTTCTTCGGAGCCTGTGGAGAGGAGCGCAATGATTGGCAGTACATTTCGTCTTTGCGTAGACGCCTTGATGTTGAAACCGCGATTTTGATGGGAATCGAATTGAATGGGTACACATATGTAGCTGTAATTTGTATTGCCTATGATAGAGGCTCATACGTCCGAGTGGAATCTATTGTACAATGTCTCAGGCAAAGCTGCTGAGTGATGGGCGCATATTTTTGCTCTCCCAATTCCATATAATGCGTGGCTATCTGTGCCCAGTTGCCGACAATCCTTCTCCTCGAGTGACCGACCCAATAACGCCTAGCTAGATGCGAAACAACATGCGTAGAATTGCTGGAGCGCCTCCAATCGTCTAATTCCTCCTCTCGATCCGATTCAACCGCTGTGCGCTCTTGATCTATTGCAAATGGAGATCAGCATCTGTAAACTACCCAGCAATACGGACGACCGTTTCTTACCTGGTTTTTTGTGTTCTGCCCACGGACCGGGAGACCCATCGCATGCCGTTTCCCCCGATAGCAGCCAATATCCCTCAGTTTCTTGATATTGTCCCTCATCTCCCGCCGTAAATCGTTGTCGATGTTCATCGTCGATAGCTGCGCATTGAGTTCCAAGAGCTGTTGGTCCTTCAATGAGCCAACCTTCATCGTGGGGTGGATGTGGAATCGCGCCATCACATTGCGGGAGACCACGGGGCCGATGCCATAGAAGGACTCGAGGGCTTTCTGATCGCGGCGTCAGTGCATTTCGCTCCAGGCAACCTCATACGGGCGACGATGGAGTGTAATCACCTTGACGAGGAGGGTATCCAGGAAGGGATTCCCGAGGATGAAGACCTGGAAATGTCAGTGTGGTTCGCAAGTCGGCTCTTAGATAATATACCATCTTGACCAATTGTCTTTCACGACACTTTCAGAGACGGTTGATAGCGATATTTAAGGCTCTGCTCCTCGGATACTCCGATCATCGCATCCTCCGTGACGAGCTCCAACTTTGGTGTCAAGGATGCATTGTATGGCTTGGCATTGATCACGTGACAAATACACATTCGGGTTAGCCTCCTCTGCAGCCCCTGTCAAGAGCTAGACTACTCCAGTCCCAGAGTCCCGGTCGAAACCACTTGTCCTTCTGGATAAAGACCTGCAGAAGCACGATCTGTGACAAAAGCGTTTCAGACCAGTTCCTGTTGATTGAAAAGGAGCTTCGTTCCTCCATATAAGAAATCGTGCCACTCTTTCTTGGGTAACTCCAGCTACCCATCCTTCCATCGTTCACCATGCCTTCGTTCCCTAGGTTCGTCCTTTCGGTGCTGGCCATCTTGGCCTTCGCTGTCATGTTCTTTGCGCAGACGTCGGAAGCAGCGAAGGGCCCGAAGATCACAAGCAAGGTGAGGGGAAATCGTTGAAGTGCGCTGTTAGTCGGAGTGCTGAACATGAGCAGGTCTACTTCGACATCAAGCACGGCGATGAGGAACTCGGCCGCATCGTGATCGGCCTCTATGGCGGCACTGTCCCCAAGGTAAGGAAATGCCCAATGCTCTCGAAAGGATGTAGCTAATTGGCGCGACAGACTGCGGATAACTTCCGGTAAGACCAGGCAAACACAACACGCAAGGACCCGAACTGATCGAAATTAGAGCTCTGGCTACTGGCGAGAAGGGCTTTGGATATGAGGGATCTACTTTCCACCGTGTGATCAAAGACTTCATGATCCAAGGAGGGGACTTCACCAATGGCGATGGTAAGGCGGTTCTTCAAGACTTCGAATTGGGATTCTAACGAGTTTAGGCACTGGCGGCAAGTCCATTTTCGGCAACAAGTTCCCCGATGAGAACTTCAAGCTCAAGCACACCAAGAAGGGCCTTCTCAGTAAGAATGCCAGTCATGATAGGGAACGCGGAGCGACTGACATGTCTAGGCATGGCCAACTCCGGCAAAGACACGAACGGCAGCCAATTCTTCATCACCACCGCCATTACCTCCTGGCTCGACGGCCGCCACGTCGTCTTCGGCGAAGTCCTGGAAGGCTACGAGATCGTCGACAAGGTCCAGAACGTCAAGAAGGGCTCAGGCGACACGCCCAAAGTGCCCGTGGTCATCGCCAAGAGCGGCGAGTTGGACATACCCGAAGAAGGTATTCGCGCGGAGCTATAAATTTCTCGTTCACATCCACCGTGTTTCCCCGTCCGTTGCCTTTATACGTTCAGATTCTTACTTCTGTAGTTCTGTTCCCTGCCAAAGATCTCGTTGGAAGCGTGGAGCTATAAATTTCTCGTTCACATTGTCGTGTTTCCCCATCTGCTGCTCTTATACGTTGAGATTCTTACTTCTGTTCTCCGCCCAAGATCTCGTCGGCAGCGCGGAGACCATGATCGCGGGCGAGTCCTTAGATGTCGCGGAGTCGCCGCTCAACCACCCGGGACCGATGTCGACGACCGAGGGGTCGGAGGCGCAGACGAAGCCCGTCGGCGGAAAGGAGGGACACGGTGAGCTGGGCGAAGGGTTGACGCTGTTGCAAAAGGCGTTTTTCCTGGCTATTATCCTTGGTCTCGTGTATGGGTTTCTCAGAGTGCAGAAGCCTAGCCCAGCCGCGGCGACCTGGGGAGAGAAGGGTAGCGTGGCTTGATAAATATCGACTCCTTGAATAACCAACGATGACTCCTGATCTTCTTAAACCTCGTCCCACACGCGCAAGCGTAGATGCCTTATTCCTATGATCTTGCAAGAGAGCCTTGAAGGAGTGTTCCAACTTTCAAGGACTGCTTCAACTTTCAAGAAGTGCTTCCGATGATGATGACGCAGATCTTTTTGTTTCCAGGACTCCATTTTGACTACGGTGATTGAGATATACCATTTACATTTTACAAGTCCATCAGATGGCGTCATAACGAGTCCAAGGCTAACTGAGGCGACACCATCAGTTGGTTAGTGCATCTACTTGTGGCGGAACTGTTCAACAGTGAAGAGGCGTCCACAATACATAGATTCCGATTTTATAAGTTAGTAAACAAGGCTTTAGGTCTTGGGTCTTGTGGACAAAGATATTACAATCAACGGTTCAGAGAGATCGGTTGAGTACCTGGGCGGTTCCTCCTGTAATCGACTTGCTTGTCCTGAACTCAGCTGAAGTGTACCGTCCAAGTCATCGCATCTTTCGGGCTGGAAGTGCCTGGAACACATGACTTGTCACTTTTCGTGACAGCTAAGACACTGACCATTCCCCTTTAGGCAAAATTATAGGGGCATTTTGCTTGGGGGCAAAGACTTTAGTATTTTTCAATACACTGAACCCCCGTAAAAGTACCCACTGGCCATCCCCAAAATTTCTTGCACCAGCACTTTCTTAGCACTTTCTCATCACTTCTCTCCCTCTCTCTCAAAACCTTCATCACTCTCTCCCCAAACACCCTTTCTCCTCGACATCCAAAATTCACCTCAATACTCCTCATTCCTTTCATTTCTGCTTTTCCTGTCAGTCTCTACAGGGAAAGTTGCGTCTGATCTATTCCCCACTCGGTGCTTTTGCTTGGGCTTTGCTTCTGCCTGTCGACCTGAACGTCGATTGACATTGCCACTGTTCGTTCTCCTTTCGACGAGAACACGAACCCAACCAAAACACGTTTTCGTTTCCATCCTAAGCAAAAGCAGCCTTCTAAGGAACTCTGCTTTTCTCTTGCGAAGACGCCTCCAGACGAACGTTTGGATTTCTCGCTAATCTCAAATCTTTTGTTGTGCTCCGTTTCGACTCAACACACAACTCTCGATCAAAATAAAAGCTTTGCCACTGAGCATCGACACCAAGTAAAAACTCTTGCAACCATTCGATACCAGTCATTCAAGCAACGACCGACCGATTCAAAATGGCTGATCAACTCAACCTGAACGGCTTGAGCCTCAATGACTCCCGCCATGCTCCCAATGAGTTTGGCGGTGGGCAAAGCACCTACATCCCTCCTCATATGCGTGGACAGCCACCACCTGGTCCAGGCGGACCACCGCCTGGCCCTCCTATCGATGTGAGTGCCAACGGCATCGGAGGACCTGGGTAAGTTCACAACAGACAAGGATGAAGAAACGAGAGCGAAACTGACAATATCAACAGTAACTTCAGCGGACCCCCTCCGGGCGGACCTCCTCCTATCAATAATGGCAATGCTGGATGGGCCGCTGCCCCGGGACCAAACGGTGCCCCAACTGTGGGTGGCTATGGCCAGCAGCGTGGCGGGTGGGACGGCGGACACCGTGGTCCTCAAAAGTTCGACCCGAACGCCTACGGTGCCCCTGGTGGCCGCTCCGCCGGAGGATATGGAGCTCGCGGCGGCGGCGGCGGCGGTCCTCCCTCGGGCTCTGGTGACGGATCTTGGAAAGACGGCAAGCATATTGCGGGGCCGCCGAATCCTCGTCTTGAACGTGATCTCTTCGGTGCAGCCAACGATCCTACCAAGCAGCACACCGGAATCAACTTCGAAAAGTACGATGACATCCCGGTTGAAGCCTCTGGTCAAGCAGTTCCCGATCCTGTTACCCGCTTCACCAATCCTCCTCTCGATGAGCATCTTCTCAGCAACATCGAGCTCGCTGGCTACAAGGTCCCTACACCCGTCCAGAAGTACTCCATTCCCATTGTGATGGGTGGTCGCGACCTCATGGCATGTGCTCAGACCGGTTCCGGCAAGACTGGCGGATTCCTGTTCCCGATCCTTTCGCAGGCCTTCCAGAAAGGTCCCACTGCTGCTATGGCGGGCCAGCAACCGCAAGGTTTCGGCAGGCAGCGACGAGCCTACCCGACCTCGCTGATCCTCGCTCCTACCCGTGAACTTGTCTCTCAGATCTATGATGAGGCTCGCAAGTTTGCTTATCGCTCTTGGGTCCGTCCGTGCGTCGTCTATGGTGGCGCCGATATTGGTGGTCAGCTTCGCCAGATCGAACGTGGCTGTGACTTGCTGGTTGCCACCCCCGGTCGTCTGGTCGACCTCATCGAGCGTGGTCGCATTTCGCTTCAGTGCATCAAGTACCTTGTGCTCGATGAGGCGGATCGCATGCTTGACATGGGTTTCGAGCCTCAGATCCGCCGCATCGTCGAAGGCGAAGACATGCCCGGCACCCACGATCGTCAAACCCTCATGTTTTCGGCCACCTTCCCGCGCGATATTCAAGTCCTCGCACGTGACTTCTTGAAAGACTACATCTTCCTGTCGGTTGGCCGTGTTGGTTCTACTTCCGAAAATATCACCCAGAAGATCGAATACGTTGAGGACATTGACAAGCGCTCCGTCCTCCTCGACATCTTGCACACTCAGGGCGGCACCGGCCTGACCCTCATCTTCGTCGAGACGAAGCGCATGGCTGATGCTCTATCCGATTTCCTGATCAACCAGAGCTTCCCCGCGACTTCCATTCACGGTGATCGCACTCAGCGTGAGCGCGAGAAGGCTCTTGAGGTCTTCCGCAATGGTCGATGCCCCATCCTTGTGGCCACCGCCGTTGCTGCTCGTGGTCTCGACATTCCCAATGTCACTCACGTCGTCAACTACGATCTCCCGACCGACATCGATGACTACGTTCATCGAATTGGTCGTACCGGGCGTGCCGGTAACACTGGTCTTGCCACCGCGTTCTTCAACCGCAACAACCGTGGCATCGTCCGCGATCTCATCGACCTTCTGAAGGAAGCCAACCAGGACCTTCCCACCTTCCTTGAGACCATTGCCCGCGAGAGCAGCTTTGGTGGTGGTGGTGGCGGACGCGGTCGCTCCGGTGGCCGTGGTCGTGGTGGCGGCGCCAACCGCGATGTGCGTCGCTCCAACTTTGGCGGCCAGGGCGGTCCTGGAGGATTTGGTGGAGGGTATAGCAGCGGCGGCGGTGCCGGTGCCGGTGGCTTCAACGGAGGTGGTGGTGGCTATGGAGGTGGTGGCTACGGCGGTGGATATGGCGGTGCCCCTCCTCCCGCTGGCAACTACGGCGGCGGCAGCGGCGGCGGCTACGGTGGTGGATACGGCAACCCGTCCGGTCCTCAGTCCTCTTGGTGGTAGACGACGTCCCTTCAAGACCCACGAACCGGCCCCCTCGCGGCCATCTCTGCGCAATAGACTCGTGCAACTTCCCTTTTCTTCCCCTTTTCTGTTTCGGATTCGCATCATCGGTTTTCATCGGCTTTTCTTTTCGTCAGGACTTGACAGACCGACCCGAAGTCCTTAATCGTCTCAAAATACCCCGTCTGCATAGATCGCGCTGCATGTCTCTGAGGTGAATCTGCGAATGGTCGCTGCTTTTGAGAAAGCGATTCGCGCACGTTCACTTCGTCAGAGAAACCGGCGCGGATGCCTCGGAAAAAGGTAATCTCTCTTCGGATTCAGAAGCGAGACTCGATTTCCGTGTTTTGGTTTCTATCATGGGATTCACGATCGCGGGGTTTTTCGAACCGGAAAACGAAACTTTTCCCACGAACGACTACCGCTCGGCTTCTTCCCGTTTTCACGCGATCCACGAACCCCTGCCTCGAACCGTCATAGACACCGATTAGAGATATTAAAAGCTTCGTGGCTTCTGTGATGAATGAGCGAGAATTACACATGCTCCACGGCACGTCGTTGCATTATTGGACGGGTTTCTCTCTCCTCGCGAAACGAGATGAGGCACTCGCCCTATTCGACGCCACGGATGGTGTGGCATGGTTGCATTCACGATGGGTATGACGATGGATTTCACACACACACAAAAGTCCGAATGACACAATGTTTCACTTCTTTCCTCCCCCTTCTCCCCAAGTTTCACCGAGGTGTTCCGTTAGCTTTTCGCTCACAATAGAAATCAAAATTGGTCAGAATTCCAGCTTGATCCCACACTTGCACTGTGACTTCGTTTTGGCCCACCGCTCCATTGTGAGACGCTGGTGTAGAAATATTGAAAATATTCGATATCCTAGAAACTATCCTAATACCACCATCAAGCCATATATCTACGGGAGAGTAAAAGACGGATCATGTGGTCACAATCGTTGTTCGAGTGCTTGGTTGACAGGAGTGACTACGTTACAAAACGTAGCAACCTGCGCCTATATTTACCCATCGGAACATAGGCAAACTTGCCTAGACTGTTAAACAGAGTATGAATGCAATCTGTAGATGTAGTAGATACCGGTACGTAGCTAGTAAATATGAAGCCCAACTATCAAAATTCAAACGAAGGCGAGGTCAAACGCCCAGGATCCAGCGATGACGGCAGATATGATGTTGCGGATGCTCCCCACATGTGGCCCAGGGTTCTCGACAACAATTCCACGGAAGCTTCACCTCCTTCATCTAGCAATGTCCCGTCCGTCGCGAGAATGGCCAGCAAATATCCCGAGATCCAAGGTGGAGGATCCTTGATCCTCGCCTGGCAAGTTCGAGGGAAGAATGTCCTCGTCATCGGCGGTGGTGAGGTAATTGCCCCTCCATCGAAACAAATCCCTTCCGTTCAACGTTCCTGACATATCTCCATCCCAGGTCGCAGCCGGCCGCATCGTCCACGTCCTAAACGCCGACGCGCACGTCACCGTCGTCTGCCCCCGCTCCGGCCTCAACGACGAAGTCGCCCACCGCATCGCCGCCGGCCAAGTCACTCACATCGACCGCCCCTTCGCGCCCTCCGACCTCGACGACGCCGCCATGGTCCTTTGCGCCGTCGACGACCCCGCCGCCTCGACAGAGGTCTACCAGCTCTGCCAGGCGCGGCGCATCCCCGCGAACATCGCGGACGTGCCGCCCGAGTGCGACTTCTACTTCGGCAGCGTGCACCGCGACGGGCCGCTGCAGATCATGGTCAGCACGAACGGGAACGGGCCAAAGATGGCGAATATTGTGAGGCGCAAGGTGGCGGAGGGGTTGCCGGAGAATGCGGGAGCGGCGATTCTGAAGGTGGGGGAGCTGCGGAGGAAGTTGAGGGAGGTGGCAACGACGGCGGAGGAGGGGCCGAAGCGGATGAAATGGTGAGCATCTTGGTGTAGATGGGATGATGAGTGCTGACTGTCGCTTGAAGGATGTCGAAGGTCTGCGAGGCATGGCCATTGGAGGATCTATGTGATATGGACGACGGCGACATGGAGAAACTTCTGGGACATTATCAGGAGGCCAACGTGCCATCACTCGCGCAGATTCGGGCGGGGTGAAGAGCTTGCCATCCAGGCCTTGACGGTTCATTGCGATAATTTAACGAGACGCGGCTAGATATGGATCGGGGCTCGGCGTCTATGGACAATGGTTAGACTATGGTTAGATCTCGGATAGACTGGGCATTGCCCCGAAAAGTGCTCTTGGCACAATTCGGGACGCGAAGGGTACGATACTACGAGGTCCCTCAATGTACGGTATTCCCTATATGGTTATAGATTCTAGTGATATATTCAGGGACTATGAAATGCCGCATTGTCGTCATATAAGAGAACATGTTCAGGAAAAACAGACGGGTATCTCGGCTGGGAACGCTCAGTCAAATAAAAAAAAACCCCTTCACCTCTGAACGAAATGAACGGATCCACAGGTGGGAAAGGGTTAAATCAGGTCACACACGTCCGAGACCGAAGATTCAATCGTCGATACCCACGAGCTAACATCATTCAGATTCCACCATTTCACATGCTCCGGATCGACACTCGCAGTTGCCACAGGCATGGTATACATCCCAATTCCGATGCACGCACGAAGCTCGGCCTGCACGTCTGGCGCCAAATTGTCTAGCTCTCCCAAATCCGTGCCTTCGTCTAGGTCGCGCATTAGGTCGCGATCGCTTAAGGAGCAATGCTCCGACGCGCTGAGATAGCCTTCATCTTCATCGGATGGAGGGAGTGGATTCGGTGCGCTGACGTATGCCCCGTATGCGGAATTCACACCAAGGCCGGAGAAGTCCCGGCGCGTTGGGAATAGAGAGCTGTCGTCGAATCCGCCGCAGTCGCCGCCGCCGATGCCAATGACATCGGTGTACAGTGGGCTTGGTTGGACTTGGGCGCCGGGGCTGGCTTCACCGGTGATGGATTTCTGCCGCAAATGCGTCCTTCGGGCAGCCTGGATTCCGTTAGTAGGGATGTCATATGGCTTCGAAGTAGTGGTACTCACTCCTTTGGTTTGCCCGACAAGCCGCGCCAGAGTCTGCAGAAGCCGTGTTGCGCGCCGGACTCTGCGACCGATACAGACTCGGCAGGGCTTATGGGGGTATGGACCACAAGACGTGCTTTGTATTGACCTAATTATTGGTGTTTTCTGGATCATCCACCATCGTGATGAACTATTCTGCGGGTCAGATTGCACGTTGACCGTGAATCTATCTAAGACAGACGCGGTCGGGTTGGAAGCTTGCGATAATGAATACCTGGCTGTCTCTTTAGAGCGGTGGACAAGTGTGAAGGATCCCGAAGTGAAGGGTTTTGATTTCGCTGGCGACCACAGCGTGGATGTTGCAACCGAGTCGTTTGCACCAGTGGGACTATCGAGCTCAGATATGGCGATGATGACCGCTATGGCGCTTGAGTAAATCCGCGACATCTTTAACACCGCTTCTTGCCGCTCTTTTTCATCATCTTGGACAATGCAGAGAGTGTCGACCCAGAGATATCTCCATCCCATCCGGACTGTTGCTCGCAATGCGTCTTGAACTTTCAACGGAAGAATATTCCAATGGATTGCTCTCTCAAACTGTGCAAGCGACTGACGCGTTGTGCAGATCTCGTCCGATGGTGACCATATATGGCTCAAAGCCACGTAGGCCGCGGACGGTTTGACCATGGAAGCCAGAACTAGTCGAACTCTCTCCTCCTCTGGAGTATATTGGCTCAAGTCTAACAATCGTGCTGGGTATGACTGCATTGTATCGTTTCCAAATGCAATCGGATTGCCTGGGCCGTGGGAGATTCGATGTGAGTCAAACCGGACAATCTGGCTCAGAGCCAGGAAATAGTTCTGCAATTGGAACTTAATTGTCCACCAGGTTGACGGCCCCAAACTTTGGACAGCTCCAGTTTCCTCGGAATTGACTGGCGATGAAACAAGGCCAGGATGGTTCTCCAAAGCGCCATGCAAGCCTGGAACCTGGAGCTGGTGCAATGTCTCGAGAACCTGGGTAGCGGTTGGCCTGCGTTGAGGTAGCGGATCCATCATAGCTCTAGCCAGGTCGCACATTTTTCGATCGAGCTCTTGGGGCGAGCATCGGCTAGAGATCCAATCCATAATCTCTCCGATCTTTTCACGATATGTTGCGCGTCGACCGGTGTCCTTGGACATGCCGAGTGCCGCGTGGACGTCGCCCACAGATTCACCAAGGCGCACGGCAAGAACCTCGAGGAAGACGCATCCCAGTGAAAAAACATCGGACTGCATTCCGTGCGGAGATCCTCGAGCGGCTTCGGGGGCGGCATACATCGGGGAGGGTGCGTTGCGAATGGACGATTTAACCTCATCCTTCGATCGATAAGATAAACCGAAATCGGCGAGCAACAGCTTCCGATTGTGAACCAGAATATTCGCTGGTTTGAGGTCCCGGTGGTATACTTGATGGCGATGCATGTAGGACAAGCCTTCCGCTGCAGACGAGCAGAGATCAATCAAACTTGACTCCAGGGCAACCCTGGACTCCTCTCCTCTCAAGAATTGTTCCAGATCCAGTTCGGCGGCTGGAGTCATGAGAAGATACAGCCTCTCGCCTTCTTGAACCAGAGCAACGAAGGTTACGAGGGATTCGTGCGCCATGGACCGCATGATATGTGATTCGTGCACCAATCTTTGCATTATCGACGGGCGTCGTCGAGGGTTCTTCACCATCTTCCTCGCGTACTCCGTTCCGTCTTCAGCCCGAACCTTGTCTACTTCGGCCGTGACGCCGGTGCCAAGTTTCGCAATGGTACGAAGAGAGATGAAGTTTTGGTCGAGAATGCGAAGGCCGGCAGTCGAACTTTCCAGTTTCGTGCCTCCAAGGTCCATGAAGCTAAGGTCTTCTGAAACCCAGGACGAAAGCTGGTTGTGTTCAGTGGAGTTTGCGGGGAAGGCCGGGTTGCCTTCGCTGGTCGTACGATTGTGCGAATTAGAGTATCCCGGGTCTCCCTTTTCCCAGGATGGGGCGGCGTTCTTCCCTTTCCTCATCGTTGGCGAAGCATCATCACGTCTTTTGCATCCGTCTGACATATAGTCCGGCCATGGCATTAACCAGTTCGCAGGAAACGCGGAGGACGGCTCGATTGTTCCACGGAAATGGGCAATGAGATGCTTGTTCCTGTCGTCCCAGCTCTTGAACTTATAGCCACCGAAACCACAGCGCAGAATGAAAGATTCTCGATACTGTAGTACGTGCATCGTCGGTAGCTTTTCCCTTGCAAGTCCCTTCAGACCTTTCGAATCCAAGGGCTTGCCTGGGGAAAGGTCTTCCTTGTGTTTTGCGACTAGATGTTCCACCATCTTGTCATCCCTATGTGCGATATTTGCCTCCTCGCGCGAGCAAAACTGACAAATCCAGAATTTCTGGGGTTGGCGGATTTCCTCGTGCTTTTGCCAGTCATCCGTCCGGTTGGTGGTGTAGCCGCAGTTCCATGTGCAATGGAACATGCCATCGGGGTTTCTGCTTGTTTTCTTGCAATCTTTACTCTGCGCATCGAGGACATATTTCTCGAGCCGTGTCCGTAGCTCGTGGTCAAGCACAACGCCGCCCGACAATGGCGAGCTGGGGGCCGAGGTCGCTCGCTTTCGATTCGGAGAGTTAAGGTTCCGCGTATGAGCGGATAACAGTGTCGGATCTACGCCGGAGGGGATAGACTGGTCCATACAGAGCTTGTGAGTCCAGACTTCAACCATCTCGAGCGACAGGTTGAAGCTTTTCGCAATGCCGGACAAACATTCTCTGGTGGGAGACCTATTTGTGGTTTTCCAACTGGCCTTTACCATATCCTCGAACCAACCCTCCAATCCGGGTGGAGGCTGTGAATTGTGCACACCATGCTGACGGTTTTCGCGCTGCCCATGCCCTCGCTGCTTCCACTTATTCATGTTCTGTCCGTGAACTGAATTTTCTGGCTCGGAAACGTTGTGTTTTTGTCTCTTCCTTCCCTCGGCTGGAGATTCCGTTGCATGTCGTTTCATTGCGTGGCCCAGACCCGGTTGTGTCTGTTTGTTAACTGGCTCTGTTTGAAAGGGAAGGCTTAAGGGTGGTAGGGAACTATTGTTAGAGGTGGATACGGTCCCTTGTCCTGAAACGGGGGTAGAAAGGGTATCGGACAGCCCAGTCGAGGATGATATGGACTAGTACCCAAGTTAGGGGAAATGTGTGATGGTAGGGAAGAAGTCCTCTAGATAACATACCAACAGATTCGGGTCACCAAACCATGACTGATCCGGACTGAGATCTGTCCGTGGTAGTCCAGGCATCAAGCCTATAGCAGGACTCTGGTGATAAGAGAGGGGCGGGAAAGTTGAAGATGGTGTGGAAACTCGGAGTTGGGCAGGTACGTTGCTAAGGTTTTGCGCATGAGACTGCTCAGAGTAGGTAGGACCGGGGCTAAAGAGGAAAGGAGATGCATTTTGACTTGGAACGGAGGACCCAGGCATCCCAAACCGGTATGGCGAATTCGGCATATAGGAATTTAGGTTCTGTCCCACAAGGCCTTGCTGTTGATTGCCATCGATATCGTTTTGCCCATCTTGAAAATATTCAAGCTGCTCTGAAGAGAATCGATCCATCATGGGAGACCGTATGGGGTCGGTCAAGATTTCTGACCGGTCATAGAAAATGACTTGAAGGAAACAAACGGACTTGGACGACGGATCTCAAAAGACTAGAATGGACCAAGGAAATGCTGCTGAAATAAGGCGGAATGCTATGAAGAGGCTCAACGAGGGCGGAAGGCCATGTTGCATCGACCCCCGACCTCTTAGGTTGGGACGAAGTATTGTAAACAACATGAGAGGCAGACCATGTGCCATATAACAACCTTACGACTGCCAGCTTGGACATACTTCCATGGATCGAATATGCCAATAGATGACTTTCAGCGTTGGTTTGATGTCCAACATCCAGTCGTGCACTTGAGGGAGGCGGTGCTAACTGTTAACCTACTATGCTTCGTCTTCGGGATGGTTGCACACCATCCCGAGCTTGATGCTGTTAGCTTCCGTTGATTCCGTTTCCAGGAGACTCGAGACTAGATAATTCTTCAGACGGCGTTATTGGTTCCCTGATTAAAGAGCTGAGAAGCACCTTGATGCGTCTCCAACACTTCTCCCCGTCGCCTTGAGTGTTGGTTGAGGCGTTAATAATTTTGCGCAGTCAGTACCTGTATCTTTTCCCCAGCCCTGCTTGCACTGCCACCACGGGAGACACCGAATCCGACCCGACAGGAACAGTCGGATGGTGTGCTGCGACACTCCCTCGAACTCATGGCCTTCGGGATATTCTATTCAAGCCCTAATAATAATAATGATATCATAGCCATTCCAGATAAGTATGCTGAAGCACGTGAGAAAGCAACTAATTAAGTCTAATTTGTTGACTAGGACTTCAGAATTCCGGTGCCTCGAAAATCGCAAGCATCGAACAAGCGGTGTATATCTGGGTCTAGGGCCAGAGACTTACTCTCCTTCACGAGAACCAAATGTTTAGGAGACACAGTAAAACGCCAAATTAAGGAACTGCCAGAGAATAACAGCATCGCCAATGACTTTTGGATGTTCGACCCCCTGTTGCTGGAAGGCTGGAGGGCGCAGGTCGCAGCCCAGACGGAAAGGTCAGGAGGATTCAATTTGGTGAACAACAAATCCAACTGATCTTGATCGTTTCCATAGAACGCTCAGATCATAAACCTTTGAAGCATTGCCCCTCAATGCGCGATTTTTGCATGGAAGTAGTGAATGTTGTGAAATTGTTGTGATTGCGTGGCGATTGGGAGCTGATGTTGGAATACGAATATGGCTGCCTGATTTTAGGTAGCTAGGTAGAATTGGATTCCCTGATGACTAGATAGGAAACACTAACTTACTGTATCATCAACCAAACAGGAAATCCTGAACATCTTTAATAATATTCAATATTATTTCGCCCGCTCAACCCTCTCGGTAGCGATAGCGCATAATGGTACCGTATAGTCCCGTAACTGATCAAATGCCGAGAGTCTTGGAAGTTATTCGGCTGTGGGGTGTGGGGCCTCCCTGGATCGCATCGTCAACTGGCAATGCCACCACTACCACATGGTACTACATCAACATCGACGACGGCAATAGGTTCAGTTAAATCTTACCCCGTGATGTCACGTTCATTGATTGCCCTCACTTGGGCTAAGGCGATCCATATGGGTAATGGCTATCGCCCTGTGGGGTTGTGATATCGCCATCGGGATACAGAAGGAATCCCTTCCTTCTCCCTTCATCCGTTACGTTCCATCATCCAACACACCAACGCTATTATATTCCTCCCACTTGCTACTGAGCACCCTTGTATCGTGGTCGAATTCGAGCTTGCAAGTCTGCCAATTTCCCTCGCCTAGTTCGTTTCTAGCCCTATATACTGGTTCGGATGATGTACGCGCGTTCTCGCCGGAACCCGATTCGTCTGGAAAAGGGAGCATTCCATTCATACCATGAAAGCATTGATTTTGGCGGAGGGTCCGGGCTTGATGGAGGGGTTCCGTGGTGCCGGGATGGGAGTCCGATATTGCGCAGAGTGCTTCGGTCTTCGGCCAAATGTTTCGTTGCCATTGCCAGGGAGAGCTGCGTCTGCTATGCCGCTCGCAGGCGTCGCGCCACATATTAAATCCGCCACGAACGATCCAGCTGGATCTCCCAGACAAAATATTCACTCCGGACCATATCGTGAATGGAGACACATTTGACATACTACTTATTCGATTGCGCTGGTGGATATCTGCGAACTCTCTGGTGATACTTCGCAAGAGGCGTTCGTAAATCCGCGTAGCATAACCTTTCTTTACATCTCATTGGCACTCAATTCAAGCTTCTCGTCATTTAGTCATGCACAATATTTTTTACAACGGACCTCAATGGCACCACCAGAGTCAGTAGCATTCTCTGGAGCAGACAACTTTGTTTGTGGGACATGTGGTAAAAAGTACAAATCTCGCGACTCTCTAACCCGGCATCGACATAACCACGAAGGCGGCCCCCATCATGTCTGTCCGATATGCCATTTGAACTTCCGGCGGCGCGACCTCCTCCAGAGGCATTCTCGGATCCACGACTCCGAAGATGGACGAAGACGGGGTCAACGAGCCTGCGCTCGCTGCAAAAAGGCCAAGGCAAAATGCTCCGGAGGCACTCCATGCTCATCGTGTCTCAACGCCGATCATCCGTGTTCGTACGAGCCCGATAGCGAGACTGGACGCTTAAGTCGAAGGAACTACATAAAAGAGTCGAAATCTAGGCAGATATCAGTCGGCCGCTCTGAAACCAGCCCGGTAGGGACGATAAGGAGTGATACTCCTAGCTCGAATTCAGCACTCATAGATCAACTCACCTCTCCAATTGGACCCTGGGAGCTGTCAGGTTCCGATTTCTCTTCGAGTTCGGACTTTCTTTCCAGTACGCAAAGGCTCGAAATCGCAAGCGACTCCCTAGATGCTGTCATGGAAGATATATGGCATTCAGGGAATTGGTTGGAACCGACCGGCTGGCCTTGGCGCCATGAGGACCTGTATGCTCAGCCAAATCTCCTACTTGATTTGGAGCACCCTGTGGAACCAACTCCAGAAGCCCTTTCTCTGGCCGTTGGACCCTCCCAATTCCGCCTGGGAGCGACCTCTCAGAGAATTGTTCCTATCACCGATATCTCACACGTGGCTCGATCCCTATTACCGGTAGCACTGCCCCTCAACGAAAGTCAAACTCCATTCTCCCCTTCTCTTCCTAGTGTATCCCACCAACCATCCCCTACTTTTGTCCCTCGACTTCCAAAGCCTGTACTTGGAACCCCAACCCAGGGGATCCCGTCCAAGCCCGGGAATGTGGAGAAATGGGCATCTACGATCGAGCAGCTGATCACCTTTGCTTTCAATCATTCGTCAACAGCTGCATCGCGGAACGTGGAGAAACGATCTCGATTCTGGAATTCAATGTCGGCCACGGTGGCTGGGGTATTTGGCATCAACCAGTCCATATTGGCAGAGTCAGATATGCCTCATCTCTTGCACCACTTTGTTAAGCTCTACTTTACAAGGTTCCATGCTCTTTGGCCGCTATTCTGGGTTCGCGGATTCAAGTGCGACCTTGCACCACCTGTTCTATATTTGACACTGGCTTCCATTGGAGCCATGTACAGCGAGCGATCGGGGAACATCTTCGGACTGCACTTGCAAGACGCCCTGCGACGAGCTTTGGTCACAGCACCTTTGGAAGAGGATCAGGACGAATCTTTGAACTGGATTCTTCAATCCATGTTATTGACCATGGTGGGATCGTTATATTTCTGTCAAAAGCAAGGATTCTCAAATGCGCAGCACCTAGGAAGTATCCTGATCGCTCGGGCTCGCAAGATGAATGTCTTCAGCGAGTCGCGCCGGACAAAACGGCCCTATGACGGAAACAGCGAAGAAAATTACATATGCTCGGAGCTACCAACGGATGCATGGATACGCTCGGAACTCAAGAAGAGGCTGGCGTTCGGTATCTTACGAGCTGACATATTCTTAAGCATCTTGCTCGACACCAAGCCTACGCTCTCATCAGAAGAAATCAATCTTGAACTCCCCTGTCCGGACGATACGTGGACCAGTGGATCTTCCAAATACGATCAAGGCACCAGCCAGCTGTGGCAATTACGGCGCCCGAGCGGCCTATATTTCTCGGACCTCGTGCGGATTGCAATGGAGTATGATGAGACTCTTCCGTCTCTTCACTTTGCTGATAACGGCTTGATTCTCGTTGGTCTTCAAGAGTCCGTTTGGAGATTTTCACACGATGCAGACATGGCTCATCGATTGACCGGCATTGACGACCTAATCTCGATACCACGAGCATTGACATCGGCACCAATCAGTACCTCTGCCCTGGAGCCTCGTCATCTTATCAATAAGAACACCAGCTCCGCAATGAAGAACCATCCTCCTAGAATTGCTAGCTCTTCCTCCCCTCCGAGCCAAGAGTCGCTCACACAAACGATTCGACGGATGAGCAACCTCCGCGAGGACTTCAACAGGACTATCAGCGCCTTATCACGATGGAACCAATCGTTCACCAGCAATCAACCCATACAGCCCAACATGCGCACCCGCAGCACCCTCCTCGCCGCCCGGTTGCTTTACCACCTCAGCTTCCTGCGCCTCCGCGCCGACATCCGTAGTCTCCACCTCCTCTCCTACGAAATCGGCGGCAACCAGTCCTCCGCCTACCAAACCTCCGTCGAGCGCACCTACAAATGGGCCAAATCCGAATCCGCCACCCAAGCCCTCGACCACGCCATCGCCATCTGGCGTCTCCTATCCGAGGAATCTACCCTGGACGAGACCGTCCGCGCGCAGTTCAACCTCATGGCGCTCATCGCGCTTCATCATGCCGCGGTCGTGGTCTGGGCGCTCGCGGGCATCCAGTCTGATTCTGATCCTATGAATCATCAATTGAACCAGTATCGAAGTCCAACTGGGCTTCCCATTTCGCGGGCATATAGTCCGCAACTGCTTGGCAGCTTTGCGGAGCTGTTCAAGGCCATCACGCCGGCATGGACGGTGTTTTCGAGCTTTAGTGAAACCGCATGGCGTATGGCAAAAAGGTCCTTTCCCATTCCATCATCTGTGGAGGAGCTAGTGTGAAGTTATGATTTCGAATCGGTGATGCTGTGCGAGACCGTGGGAGTGATTTATCCTAGATGACCTCCCCTAATGTCGTTCGTGGTGGCTGTCCAGGGGAAAATGTTCGCCAGGCGAGTGAGATAATTTTTTCGGATATCTGTACTGTAAGTTCTACGTCGCTCTCGCAACGGCTAGTTAACAGAACTATGAATGTCAATATAAAGTTATACACTATTGCTCAGGGGGTGGATGTGACAATTCAATTTTCCGGTTTTCGATACCGAGCACACTACGGCAATTAGCGGCAACCAAATAATCCATAACTAATTTTGCGGGCTCCTCTCTGTCGTGTCGCGTTAAATCGCAACGCGTAACCTCAACTGAACTCCCCTCCCAGGCTCCCACCTCAAGTTGCCCAACACCAGTCAATCAGACATCCTCAATCTTATTCTACTCATATTGCCACATTCGTTTATCCATATTGTTGACTCTCTAATCGGTTATTAATCATGTCCGATGCACCTGCATCCGATGACGATCTGCCTCGCTTTGAGCCCAGCCGATCCGACGCGTTTCTACGGCCACCAAACCTATCGCGACGCTCCTCCCGCAAACGCTCGTTTGATACCACACTCCCAAGCGACCCACCCATATTTAGCAGCGATGATAATCCAGACATAGGGTTAGAAGACTATGATCCCGTGGAAAGGGTCAAGCGGCAGTCTCATGGTCCGTGGTGGCAGCAGTCTAGCAAACCGATGAACGATGCCCACGGTCGGAGCCTATGGAATCAGGCTGTCAAGAGGAAACGATCGATGTCGAGGAAAATTGACAGTGCCGTATGGATGGATTGCAGCTCCGATCTAATCGAGCTAGACAACGATGCTGAGGAGCCTACACTCCCTGAGTCCATCTACGATGCCTCCGAGCTGTGCGCCAGGGAGTTGATATCGAAAGCTGTTCAGAAGAATGAGGAAATATTTGACCTTGCGTACGTCTGGCCATGCACCCTTGAAAGCAGTTTCCTATTTTCAGCAGGAGGGAGCTAATTGTTCGTAGGCGGCTGGGTTTGAGCGAGCTCCATTCTTCCACATTCAAACCACTGGAGACTGTTATCCGGCACCCCAAAACGGTGGACAGACCGCCTTCGCCCGGCTATGAGTCGATTGCCCCGAGACTCAATATATTTCTAGCCAATAATGGGTTGCGGTCCCTCCCAGTCGGAATGCTTAACCTCCAATATCTCACGGTACTCTCCCTTCGCAACAATCGTCTCGAAGAACTGCCGAATTCCATTGGCCAACTTTACAATCTAGAAGAGCTTAATGTCTCTTGCAATAACTTGAAATGGCTTCCATTTGAGCTGCTCAGCCTCTTCAAGGCGGAACAACCCCTCCCTGGTTGGGAAGAGCCTGCTCTTAACTTGTATGGAAAACTTCGGATATTCAACTATTCAATGAATCCATTTCTCGAGCTGGAAGGCTGCCAAGCCAAAGACCGGGGTCAGACCTTGACGGCCGAGCACATGTCATTATCAATGAAATTGCTGTGTCGGGTCACCCAGTCCTTGGAAGGAGTGTCAGTTGAGCAAGTGAGAAGCAAGGATTTCTCTAGGCATCCACCGACGTTTCTTGCTGCATCACCCCCTTTATACTTCGATCAGCAGGACGTCGATTCAATACCCACAGAAATACAGCCATCGGGAATCTCAACAGCAGATCCGGCGCCACTTTCGCTGTTAAGGGAACCGTGGGAAATAGATGCAGAATCCGCATCAGGAGAAACATCTAATAGTACGATACCCCAGAAGCACAGGGCGCCATCACTGAGGGAATTATCCCTCCGCCGCATCTCGCGTGAGTTGCTCAGTTTCGACCAGTTTTACACTGATTGCCCTCCGCGTACGGCCTCGGAGATTTGGGAGATTTTAGGATGCCAAGGCCTCGACCTTCCTACTCCGCTTGCAAGTGGATTGCAAGCTGCTGCTGCACACACTGTACGAGCAGCTACGCGGCCGGAAAATGCATTTGAAGTTTCTACGACTGCAGACGTATGCGCGAAACAATCAAAACTGGACGGCCGACCGCTCGTGGTCCACCACCACTGTTCCGCTTGTGGCAAATTCTTCGTCCAACCCGGAAGCGAATGGTTCGAATTCTTCTTCTTGGGAGACATTGTGGCGTACTCTTTCCAGCCTTTGGTTAATGAAGGACGGTTCCCCGCTCTCGTTCCTTTCCGACGGACATCGTGCTCACGATCGTGTGCTCGACCTACACGAATCACACGGGAGAGCTGGAACGAGGAGGCCAAAGACAATGCACTGGTGAAGTTCGCAACGTTGCTTCTGGACTGAGCCAGGTTTTTATCCAGGAGTTCCGGAGCGTGATGAAGCCCTAATCTACGTCCTGGAGGACCTGGACCATGGCTTTCAATATTCACAGCCGGATTCGTATGACATGTCACTACGTCTAGAGTTATATTACAGATACGAGATCAATACCTTCTCTGCCACCCGGCCAGCGAAATAGTCGTGCAATTACACTGACATTGCCAGTCGGAGCACTGTGCCTGAATGGGGATCTGACCCTTTCAATAGATTCGATTCCGCGATTGTCTGGCTGCAGGCACATGCATTGGCAACCAGAATACGAAGAGATTACAAACGCATCTCGGAGTGTTGGAACTGACATAGAATCGGACACTTCAAGGGGATGCACCGGCGAAATGTGTTGGAGCGAGGCTATCATATTGAGCGGATACTCGACCGAACATTATCCGTAACTATCCATCATTTCCAGTCACCACAGGTCTCAATTGATCAACAAAGCAAGACTCCATCAAAATGGTCTAAAGTGATTTCAATTCCTTTCTGATGAATACAGACTCTTCTACATTTCTTAAAACTGTCTAGATTTGTTTTCACCGCTCTCTAGAATGCCGTTTTCACATCATAGTCATTCTGGGCAGTTCTGCGCCCATGCCAAGAATACTCTTGAAGAGGTCATTCAGCAGGCCGTAAACAAAGGGTTTCGGACCTTTGCTTTAACCGAACATATCCCACGGCCGAACGAGCATTTGTATGCTGAAGAGGTTAGCACCGACGCCTGCCATTTTCTAATGTTTAGTCACTGATCTGATGCTCGAAAGGTTGCTGAAAATTATTCGTGGGACATCCTCCACCAGCTCTTCAGGGCATATCTCAAAGAGGCCTTGCGACTTCGGGAAAAGTATGCAGACAAGATCAGCATCCTGATTGGCTTCGAGAGTGAATTCGTCACTCCCAACTATGTTGGCTTGGTTGAAGACATTCTCAACTATGGGATCTGCTCCGACGATGACGTGTCTCAACGATCAGACTTCAACTTCTACATGGGTTCTATCCACCATGTCAAAACCATCCCAATTGATTTCTCCAAGGAACTCTACGTCGAGGCAAGGGATGCCTGCGGTGGAACCGACGTAGATCTGTTTTGCATCTTCTTCGACGAACAATATGAGCTCCTTCAGCGACTCAAGCCGCCGGTTGTCGGCCACTTTGACCTAATTAGACTGTACAGCAACAACCCCAATGGGAGCATTCGAGCTCTTGGAAGTGCTGTGTGGAGCAAAGTCATTCGGAATCTTCAATTCGCCGCGGACAACGGGTTGATCTTGGAGGTCAATTCTAGCGCATTGCGGAAAGGCATGGATGAGCCGTATCCGTGTGTCGAGATCATGCAAGAATATTTGCGGATGAAGGGGAGATTCACGCTTTCGGACGACTCTCACGGGATCGATCAAGTTGGGTTGAATTATCCTAAGGCTGTCCGAGCGATGAAGGCGGCCGGCGTGGGAGAAATTCAGGTCGTAACGACTGACTCGACCGTATCTGATATGAAGACGGATTGCGTGCCTTTATCGGAAGTGGAAGCCCTCCTAGAAACCTCCTTATAACCTTTTACCGCTTATATTGCCGTAGCTTTGGGCCTTGCCCTATGCTTTCTGGCTAGCGTGCAGTCCCACGACCGGAATTGGCAATTTTCATAGAGTTTCAATACATTGTGTTATAGATTCCAAGGTTGTGCTCTTCAAAATACACCTCTTCATTATGGACCAATTCATAAATGTCGTCATTTCCGGCTCGCTGCGAATTACGTCTTGATGAGCGGTCCTTCATCTTCCGGCGGATTGAGCGGTCTCAACGAAAGCGCAAAACATAGCCCGGACGAAATCAGGCTCCCTCCTTTTGCGCCCGCTGAAACCAAGTGTCGTGGGTATAATCTTTACTCGGCCCGCTGACGTGATACTTGATGTTGAACCGCTTCACGTTCACCCCATCGAACTCGAACTTGTATTCGGTCTCATAGGTATCCTTCACGCAGAGATGGGATCCTGTTGCGTTGCAGAACGCCTGTGAATCTTTCTGAGCACCATCCAAACGCACGCGATGGAACAGGTAATCCACACTGCGGTCCTCTTTGACGAACCACGCCGTAATACCGTCTCTGCTACCGCGTTCCGCTTCCGGGCCCAGCTCCCCATAGGCGACATCGGTGCGGTGGCCCACTCCGTCGCTGAGGCGGTAGGCGTACTGTCGAGATGCTTGGACTTCGTAGCCGTTGGTCATAAGTAACGTGCCCTTCTCTTCGTAGAAATATTCAGCGGCATAGCCGGCCGAAGAGGGTGAGCGAGGGTAGAATGTTGCGGTGCCTTCAAGGAGGCCGGAAGGAAAGGTAGGTAAAGCGGAAGTCACAGTGCGGTGGATCAGCCAGTCGCCTTGTAAAGCGCGGAAAAGTGCGCAGGAGAGGAACCGGCTGGACGAGCCAGGTGAGCCTAGGTCTCTATCGAGGATGTTATGAAGACTTTGAAGTGTGACTTGGGTGTCCGATGCTGTGGTCGGAGTTTTGGTAGTAAATCGTGCTGGCACAGATGGACTTGGATCTCCATTCAGACCGAAACCCTCGTCTTCTCTTTCGATTCCCATGAACTGGGCATAATCCTCCACGATACCAACATAATCCCCTTGCCAAAATTGCGGCACATTCCTGTCTTGTTTGTGAATCGAAGCTCTGAGCTCCTCAAACTTGGCATGCTCCTCAGCCCGGTCAAGCATGCCTGGCTTTGGCGCCTTCTCCTGTTGCAAGGCCAGGAAACGGTCCGCGAGAAGCCTTGCTTGCATCTCCATGACGCCCCAAAAAGGACCTTCGTAAAACCCTACAAAGCCGAGATTCGGAACCACGTCATTGTACACGGCGTGGTCTTGCAGGAAGAGGGGAAGGCGTTCGGAGTCTTTGCTGTACTCGAGGTCCGCTAGGACAGCCGGATCGAGCCATGTCAGAGCTGAATGACAACGGAACCCAGTAGCGTGAATGACTGCCACCACGTCATTTAGGGGCTTGGTGCCATTGGCATCCACGATCGACGCGGACAGGCTAGTGCGCGTATCCTCGATGTTCTGTTCTTCCAAGCGGGTCACCGTCCCTCTCAAAGGAACGATTAACCCACTCCGAACGAACTCAGCGTATGTATCCGAAATTGCAACGTAACTTGCTTTCCCGAGTTCTTCTTCAGTTGCGACAAGAGCCTGGCTCAGATCGGATTGATCGCCCACGAAGCTCCGCAAGAACCGGTGCGTGGACTTCGTCGTCTCTGGCGGCACTCGACCCGTATTCGCAGATATAGTGTTGCCAGGTCGGCGTGATAGATCATAGAAGACGAGGTCAACTGGTAAGAAGGATGGGAAGGCCTGTTCTGAAGCCTTCTCAGAGGACGGTCGGGGGACCGAGAGATATCTAGGCATGTTGTAGAACGGCCTACTGGCCACATGGTGGATTTGAATACCATTACGAGAGCCCAACGACTCCCTTAGCTCTGCTTTGGAGGAGGTGGTTGGAGATGAGTATGCAGCATCTGAGAGGAAAAAGGCGGCATTTGCAGCAGCTTCAGCCCCAGACATGCCCCCTCCTATAACCACGATTTTTCCAGAGGATGGTACTCCATTGGGTAGGATGCTTTCCAGGCTGCGGAAAGCCGTGCTATGGATTATCTTCACGTCCCCAACACTGGCGTCGTATCCACTGGCTGGAAAGTGGTCCTTGAGTAGTAAAGGTCTGGGTTTGTCAAAGAATCCCGAAGAGATGATCAGGTAATCGAATAGCCCGCAGGATTCGTCCACCGTGACTGAATCCTCGGTGATAGGATCTGTATGCGGATGCTGCCACCTGACCCTCCACTTCATCGAGCCCGCTTCATCAACGCGGTCGGCGTTGACTACTTCGCAGTTTAACTTCACCACCTCCTCCGGGACATACCGCCTTGCGTACTCCTGCAAATACCGTCCTACCTGCCAAGCTCTTGGAAACATCGGAGGCTCGACCTTCTGGCCGGTCCGCTTACCGTTCGTCTGATCGGAATCCAACTCGACATTTTCCCAGGCCAAGTCGGAAAACGCGTCGGTAAAGCGGCTTAAATTCGTCATCATCTCCTTGCTCACTTTGCCCTCGCTCAGGCTACTCGTCCGTGATAAAGCCCACATGCCGCCGACGCGACTCTGCCGCTCGAAGATGGTGACTCGAAATGCATGGTTGGGAAGGGAGAGGAGGGCTTTCGCAGCGGTGAGGCCGCCGGGTCCGGCTCCAACAATAGCTACGGACGCTGGGAGTGTTGTCATGGCGTATCTTGTGTAGTCACTGATAGATTTCAGTTGCCTGCCAGTGGCATAGAAACCGAAGTAGTACGAAGTCAAGACGAAGTACCCGATACTGGAGGTTCACGATGCTGACTCAGCGATGAGCACCTCGAACGAAGCACGCAATTCCTCAATCCAGGTATGGTGCCTGTATGCTATCCAGCTAAAATAGGAGTGGTGAGCTGCAAGAATCCTAGGAAAGTAGTAGTTACTTCTTTACATTAATAACTAGAACTATTCCGATTGGCTTATGTTGCAGGAACGCTGGTCGACAGACCGTTCATCCCAAACTCATACATGTCCACGTTCCTCAGTCTTGAAGTAGTACTGTTAACTTGTAGACTCTGGTCATTTCAGTGTGTGATGTGACAAATCGAAAGTCCGAAAGAAGCTTCGAACATTACTCATTCCGATGACGGGGTATTTTTCCGATGCTCATGCTAGAGAAGCTAGTAGACTACTATCTAGAGAATTGATTGAGCTCCTCGCCAGTGGTAGAGAGTCAAAGTCATCGCCGAACGAGATGACCAGTCTCACAAAAGCCATTCGGCTTGCAAATTCTGATCCAGCGCCATATAACCACTACTCCGATTTTGAGGTGTCCTGGAAATCGCCCAGGGACAACAATGTATAAACTCCCAAACGACCGTGTGTATACCGAGATACACAATATCGGGCCAGGATGTTCCCACTGATATGAAAACCGCTGCACGCAAAGATGCAATCGCGGATGAATCCCACACTTTGTCCAGTCGCTCACTGACCCTCCCCCCTCATCGCGCCAATAGTCGCCGGTGAATCCGGGTACCGACTCCCCTCCTCATCCTCATACAACGTCTGATCCACCGCGCCACCCAACCCCATGAATTCCGCCGGGTCCCTCCCCGCGCCCGGCTTCGCCTCCCTCTGCTTCTTCTGCTGCAACGCGCCTGCCTTCCCCCCTGAACCCCCCGCGTTCTTCTGAAACACCTTGATCGGCGTCTTCCGCCCGTCGGCCTGATCGTCGATCACATGGCTGACCGTGACGTCGTTAAGGGCGGCGAGGAGCGTGCGTTCGCGGCCGACCTGGCGGCGGTTTTCGAAGCCGAGGTGGCCGACGCGGGAGGTCAGGGAGCCGAGAGAGGCGAAAGATTCGGCGCTTTTGGGGAAGCCTTGGCTGTTACCGGAGTAGGAGAGGGAGGCCTGCGAGGCGCCCTGGGAGTCCCAGGTCTCGAAGGGCTGGGCAGTGGTCCAGGGGTGTTCGAGGCAGCCGTCGATGTCGATGCGGCGGGAGACGTCGACGGTGAGCATGCGGTCGATGAGGTCGAGGGCCGCGTCGCCGACGGTGTCCCAGTAGGGGCTGGGGTAGTCGAATCGGCCCTTCTGGATTTGTTGCGCGAGGGTGTAGGGGTTTTGCGGGTTGTAGAGTTCATCGCTGAATGGGGGGAAACCGCAGAGACAAATGTAGAGGACGACGCCGGCGGACCAGATGTCCACCGCCCGCGTATAGCGTCGTTGAGGGGTTGGAGAGAGAATCTCGGGCGCGACGTAGGATGGAGTTCCACAGAGAGTGGTGGTGAAGGACTCCTCGCCAATGATCTTGGCCAAGCCGAAATCGGCGACCTTGATGGTCAGGTTCTTATCAGTGAGAAGGATGTTCTCCGGCTTGATATCTCGATGGACGATATTCCGGTCGTGCTAGCACAGGGTCAGACTCTAGCAACGTACTGAAAAGCTACCTTACTCACCAAATACTTGAGGCCCTGGAATAGCTGCACGAACACCTTCCTCGCCTCGGTCTCCGTGAGCTTCTGCTTCATCACGATCCAGTTGAACAGCTCCCCCTCTGGCGCGAGCTCCAACACGATATAAACCCCGTCCTCCTCATCGAAAGTATCTTTCAAGCACAGCAGACCCGGATGACTGACGCCCATCAACACCGCAATCTCCTGCTGCAGCCCCTCGACCTTACTCCGCTCGCCCTGCCCCCTTCGCTTCTCGAACTTCTTCACCGCATATCGCATCCCTGACGACCGCTCCACGCACAAATATACCGTCGCAAAATGCCCCTTTCCCAATTGCTCCTGCATCGCATACTGCTGGCGGAAGCGGTTCGTTTCACGGTTGCGGGGATAGCGGAAGATGGCGCGGGCCTCCTCGACGATGGAGATCTCGTCGCCGGTGCTGAGCTCGCGGCGTTTGTTGCGGCCGACCAGCGTGTCGTTGACGTACGTACCGTTGGTCGACAGGTCTTCGATCACGGCGGTTGCGCCGCCGCCTTTGTTCTCGCTGAATATGAGGCAATGGCGGTTCGACACCGTGGGCCCTTCGATGATCCGATCTGTGGGGTTCAATGCGTCAGTCTTGTCTCCCACCGACACGTTTCATAGGTAGTCTACTCACCGCATTCCGGGTGTCTCCCGATCAAATACCCTCGACTCGCCACCCCTTCCACCTTCTTCTTATCAAACTCCTTCTCCTCCGTCAGATACGCCCCCCTCTCCACCCTCTGCCTCCCATCCGTGTGACCCAGCGGCGTTCCCCCAATTGGACACGCCCCCCGCCGCCTCAGCACCAACGGCTCCCCGAACGTGCGGTCCACCGGCACCAGATACCCCCATACCCCCTCGGACTCCTCGTCCGCCACCTCATAGGTCAGGTCGTTCGGCGGGTAGATGAACTGCGAGAACGGCTGCGTGTCCTGCGGGGGGGAGGAAACGGCGCCGACGGAGGCGCCGCTGTGGTGGGCGGAGGGCTTCGTGCGCTCGGGGCTGGCGAGGCCGTTGTTCGTGAGCAGCTGGCTGGGTGGGGTAGCCGTGCCGTCGTGTCTGGCGGCATCGTCGGTGGATGTCGACCGTTTGTTGGTCACTGGCGAGGGGAGGGCTGCGTTCTTATAGGGAGTGTGGATTGCGCTGGTGTCATCGGGTTCGTTTCCGTCATGCTTCCCTCGCTTGGACCGCCTGAGCGGCTGTGGAGCCTCGGAGAACTCATCAGTTGACGACGATGGCTATAGAACACAAATGTCAGCAGTGTGCTCTTCATGAAGCACTATTGATATCCATCCCAATTCCTGCTTGGAAATGCGGTAAGCACGGCTAACTCACCAAGACCCTCTTCCCAGATTTCGGCGGCGACATTGTATCTCTCGTATACTACCCGGCAATCAAATTAACCCTCGGATCGCAGGCATGAGATCCGCTCCGAAAAACAGCAGCAGCAACAATAATTTTCACTGTCAGGATATCGATGGTAACCGTGCAAGGAACCTGGAGCTCTGACGATTTCTCGGTGGTGAGAGCCGAACACGAGATGGGCGAGGGCCCCAACAAAAGCAAAATGGAACACACAAAGACGGCGGAGGGAACGAATGGAACGGGTGGAAATCGGACGGGAAAATGCGTCAAGCTTCGAAACGGAGGATCATGCTGTGCTGACCTTGTGACTTGAGTGGATATGGCGGAGGTGGAAAATGGGTGGGTGAGATCCGGTGAGATTGAAGCCGCAATGGTCGAAGACGCAGTTGGTGCCTGGAACCACCATCTCCCCAGTGCTTTTCACCCTCCTACAATCGAGCATCACATATCAAGCATTGAAAATCGACAATCGGACAAATTAGAATCTGGATACTAGAGAGAATTCAATTTTTTATGCACAGACAGTCGACGAAGCGAAATGAAAGTGCGCAGCTGCACATCCGCCTGTCCTAATAAAAGCGGCGTCTTGGGGAACACCGCAACATCGGGTCCTGATATCGTGCGGAAACGGGAGCCATGGCTCGTCCGCCGTCAAGACCAACGAATAATCCGTCTCTGGGTAGAAACTGCAAGGCCTTCCTCTTCATCTTGGCCTCCAAATAATCAACACCTACGGAGAGCCTGTAGGGAAACTGCACCGCGTCCTCTGCATCTCCTAGCCCCTCTGCTGCCTAAACGCACCCGGTCGATACCGCCCCTCCGCCGGCGCCCCGCTCGGAGGCGGAAGTGGGCTCTCTCCCCGATCACGACTGAACCCACGTCCGCTTCCGCTGCGCTCCATTCCCTCGCCACGTCCGCTGGCGCTCCTCTCCCCAATATCCGGCCTTCGACCCGCCGGTTGCCAGCGTCCGGTCGCGCCCTCTCGTCCGCCAGGCGGCTGGAATCGTCCGCGCGGCACCGCGGCAGGGCTCTCCTCTCGTCCGCTTCCCTCCCCGCGATGCGAGGCCTCGCGGCTTCGCCATCCGCCGCTGGGGGCACCGCCTTCGCGAAGGGCAGGCGGCATGAATTTCCCGGGACGTGGCGCGAGGTGTTCTTCGGTTGATGTCTCGGTCGCAGGCGCTGCGGTTTCGGTCTCGGCGGGAGTGGCGGCTTCGGCACCACCGGCAGCTCGGAGAGCTTCCTTCTCTCGCCAGGTGAGTTGGCCTTCTTTGCGGGCGATGTTGAGACGGGGTGGCCCGCCGGCGCCCGCGAGAGGGGCAACCTCGGGGGCACGAACGGGTGGGGCGGCACCACGGGGACCGGCACGTTGGGCGGCACGGCGGGCTTCGGCTTCCTCTTCACGCTGGCGTTGTCGGGCAGCGACCTCGTCGAGTTTCCTGATTCGCGTTAATGACACGGTCCAATTGAAAGAGAGGTGTGGAACATACTTCCTCTGCTCGTCACGCTCGGCCTTCTCCTCCAGCAGCTGGGCACGACGCTCTTCCTCGGCACGTGCGCGTTCTTCTTCCTCCTGCTGTTGCCTCTCCTCTTCTTCGCGCTCCATCCTCTCCCTCTCCTCCTGCTCGCGCTTCTCGCGGATCTTGCGATCCTTGTGCTCCTTCTTGCGTGCATCGATCTTCCTCTGCAGCTCCCTCTCCGCTTCCCTGCGGCGCCTCTCGAACTCGGCGCGTCGTTGCTGGCGGATGTCGTCGCGGAAGGTCTCGTAGGTGGGGAGAAGACGGCTCAAGCGGTGCTTCAGAGCGACGTCCTCCTTGTGCTTCTCCTCCGAGTCACGGAGAGTCTCCACCTTGGCCTTCTCGTATGCGGCCAGGTCGCGTTTAAGTTGCTGCTCGTAATCTTCGGGCAGATGCTTGACCTCTTCCTTGCGGAAGGCACGCTCCAAATGGTCGATCCGCTTGCCAGTGACGCGAAGTTTCTCGCTCAGCTCGTTCTTCTCCTTCTCCAACGCACGGAGCTTGATCTGGCGGATCTCGGCCGAGCTGAGGTCCTTCAGATCCACACCAGTCAAATCGATGCCCTTGCCGCCAAGTTTGGTGAGTTCCTCCAAAGCACGCTGGGCCTCTTCTTCCTGAACCTTCTGCTTTTCAGCTTGCAGGCGTTTCGCGTTGCGATCCGCCAGTTCCTTTTGGAGTCGCTCTCGCTCAGCCGCCATCAGTTCTTGAGCTCGTCGGCGTTTCTGGGCGGCAAGATCCTGCTCCTTCAAGGCCAAAGCCGTGGATGCAGCTTGCTTCTTGCGTTCGATGACGTCGCGGCGAGCCAGTGTCTCGCGATGCTCTTGTTCCGCTCCAGCCTTGGTACGCGAGTGCGCTGCTTCCTTCGCTCGGAGTCGCGCTTCGTTGAAGCTGGGGTCGACATATTGGCACGTGACGTACAGGGACTTGGCGAGACGGCGGATCTGAGAGCGAACAATCTCTGCCGGGGTGCTCTGCAATCGCTGAACCGAGCTCGTCTCGGACTCAGCAGAGCCAGCAGCAGCGCCGGGGTGGAGGGCTTTGGCGGAAGAGAAGACGTCCGAATCGAAGGTAAGAACGCCAGTGGCGTGGTCCACGCGGATGGCCAAGTCGCCCTTCTTGCAGCCGTTCATGATGAATTTTTCGACCTGGGGGCGGGTGACCTGGAAGGGCTCGGGGAACTGGGCAAGATTGAGGACGAAGCTGAGCTCAACGGACTCGTAGACTTGGGAAAGTTGTTGGAAGAGCCTCGTGAGGATGACTTGTCGGAGCGGCAGAACGTACTTCTCCATTTCAGGATCGTTGCCAATCTGCGCTAGGATGGGGGAAATCTTCTTGCAGATCGACAAGGGATGGAAATCGACCTCGAGAATGCGGTACAGCTCCCGGATTTCAGGACGACAACGCTTCAGAAGACCCTTGGCGAGAGCATCCTTGAAAAGTCCGGCGCGAGTGGGTGCGGTGGACATGCCCAGAAGGCTGGTGAGACGGGTGTTCTTGTTCTTCTTGGCCTCATCAACATCAACGAGGGCCCCGCGAGAACGAGAAGTGCTGATGACAGGAATTGCCAGTGCGGAGAGCAGCACGAAAGAAGCACCGCGGACCATATCGGCGTCCGAAATTGCAGGGTTGTCTTTCTTGAGGCCTTGGCCGGATGCAACCATCACCTGCGACTGACGCATGAGGCTGAAGTAGCGGCTCCAAGCAGCGGCGTGGAACAGGTAGTTCTCGCTGACGAGGAAGATGCGGGTGAGCTTCTCGAAATAGTTCGCCATCATGACGTTCTTCGGGGGTCGCTTGCTCAGGTTCATGAGGTTGTGGATGTCTTCGACGCTGCGGAATGCTTCTTGCCACAGCTCGAGCTCGACGGCCACGTTGAGCTGTTGGAAACGGGTATCCAAATGACGTTGGAGGGTGTCCGGGTCGCTGAGATTGATGGCGTTCATCTGCGACGAGAACTTGGCCGCGTTTTGCAGATGGTTGCGGAGCAGCTCGCACAGTCGGCGGAACTCGGTCTTTCGTCCATACTTGGAGCAGAACGCGAACGCCTGATGCGCCGTGCCCTGATACATGATTTCGAGCCTGGCATTGTTCTTGAAGATGTCCAGGACGGTTCGGTAGGTTTCCCAGAGGAACTTCAACCACGGGGTGACAATGGCTCGATCGGTGCGGTCGCGAGACTGTTCGCCCGACACGGTGGACAGGAGTATGGATTCGGGAGTCTCGATGGCTTCGAGATCCTCAACGGCGGTCTCGCTGGACTCCAGAGAGGATTGCACTTCATCCGCTTTCTTCTGGGCTTCGGCGACCTTGTGTTCGGCGAGCTCGATGAATTTTTTGAACACCAACTGTGGCCATCAGCATGTGCGCATCGACCGGCGTGGGTTGAGTGAGTTTCTGGGACTTACTTCGATGGTGCCAACGTTCGTGTTCTGCGCGGTGTTCTTGTACTGGTACAGACCATCCTTCGCGAGTTTGCCGCGTCGGAGTTCCACGCATAACTCGACGAAGAGAATCATGACGGGCTCGAGCGAGGCGATGGGCTGGCTGCGCGTGCGTTTGGAGGTGACATGTTCGTGAAGAATGGACAGCGCGGCCTGGGACTGGCCGACGCCGATGAGTTCTTGCGCTCTCTGCGAGAATTATCAGTATCGGAATAGGTCCGACGCGGATTTGTGGACGATATGATGATCACATACCTTGAGCACATTTTCCGGCCGACTATGGGACGGAGGAGGCATGATGGGCAACTGGAGCAGATGAGATCATTCAAAATCGAAGTTTCTCGTGCGATGCTCAAGTTGAGAGATTGCCTCGGAGAGCAAGTATGATTGAGAGATGAAGAAAGGAAGAGAGGAAGAGGGAAGAGAGAGATGGGAGAAGGTGAAGGGGAGGGTGAGGTGAGAGGTGAGAGGTCAAAGTGAGAGTGATTTCACTTGGTTTGGGTGCGCCTTGCAACTTGGCGAAGTGATCGGGTGCCAAGACTTTGCATTTCACGTTCCTTCACCCTTTTCACTTTTTGGAGGAATTTTAGCGAGATGCCTTAGTGCCTGACAGTGAGTCACGTGAAAGATGTTAATCTGTAGCCTTGCAGCCTTGAAGCCTCGCGAGCCACGTGACGCTGGCGCAGACAGCCCAGCCATCGGTTCGCATGGGCAACCGAGCAACCAATCTCTAATCCCCAATCTCCAATCTCCAGCGTCGGCATTCATTTCATCCATAGGAAATTAGAATCATCCCGCTGCGGCAGTCGCATGTCGCAGTCGCTGTTTCCCTTGCTCCATGTAACAGTAATAAGCACGAAGTTAAACAACGCAGTATCATCCTGGAAAACTCCTCCATCAGCGTTCTGTACCTTGCTTTTATACCTGAAATCAAATTGACGGGGCCATCAAAATCTCCATTGTCGGTGAAGGCCCTCCCGCGTCTCACTGGCTGTTCTGCCCTTTCGGATTCTGCGCCGTGCCGCATTGGGAGAACCCCGGACACCTGGGACAAGCCGCTCTCCCGCCGCTCGTCCTCCATCTCTCCCTCCCTTCACCTCTTGACTCTTGTCCCACAGGCCACCCCATTGGAATTCCCCCTTCGACAACACATCACTCATTTTGTCGCGACAGGATCCACCACCTGAATCTCACCCCCATTTGCACGCGCCCATCATTGAATGCGTTGATTCGAATGCCAGATACCTGAACTGTAGGAGACCGTGGTTCCGACGTCGTGAAAGTGCGTTGACCCCCTCACGTTGACTCTGAAGAGTGAGTTGCCGTGACACCAACCCTCGTGCCATCATGCACCATGGAAGCGATGAGCAATATTTACATCGCAACTATTCCTCGACGCTGACTATTGTCGAATCATCCAGGTTGAATCCTTGCGCCACTGAAACCCTTACTTCTATTCCGAGCTTCATTCACGCCCTTCGACCTTGGTAGCCATCAACGCTCCTGAACCACATTCCTGCCCGTCCTCAAAACCGGCCCCACCTTTTCTCACACCACTCAGCCGTCATATATTCGATCCTTCCGGACGCCCCCTCCTCAAGATGATGTCCACACCTTACGAATTGCGCGCAGCGGATGGCAAGAGCAAGAAGCAAAGCATGGCCGAGCTCAAACTGCGACGATTGACAGAGTTGAACTCCCGACTGAAGGAGGACTTGGAGCGGAGACGGATACCCGTGTCGGAAGCGGCGCAAGAGTACGTGATATCCCTTCCCTGGCTCATAAGCTCGACATCCCGTCGACTTCATACGTGGTGCCGCAGCGCATCGATGGAAGCGGAACAACAAGGCTGACCAATGTCGTTAGCTTGATCAACTTCACGGAGAAAGAACCGAAGGACTTCATGGTACCCAGCCGATGGGGAACGGTAAGTCTCCATCGCGACGTCTCGATGCGACGCGCTTGGACGAGATCCAGAACGATTGACTAACGAACATCTGCAGGTCAGCAAAGGCGAAGACCCATACGCACCGCAACAGACCAACGGTTGCTGTAGCGTCATGTAAAACACGGACTGATGAGCTCTCGAGCTGCCATGCGCTCATAGTCATGGCGGTTGCAATCGCCCTCACTACCCGTACCCAACCCACCGCCGTTTCTTTCCGCGCCCCGTCCTTGCTCCCTCCCTGTCGCCCCCCAAAATATACCCGGGTTGGGCCATGTTCACCGGAACATGGTATTGAGAAGGTGTCTTGGTTGAGAGGATTGAGAGGGGTTCTTGGTAACGGAGGCGAACGTCGGATACGTCCCGAGCAGGGAGCCACGCTTCTGGGGGCCCCGAATCCTCGATGCGAGATGTATGATATAGGGTTCTATTGCGGACTTAAAGTTCCGCGCCGATTGGAGTTTAATGGTCTATCTAGCGTTATTGTCAATGCCAATTTCCTATTCCGTTGGCCCTTTGGTTTGCTGTATATGCTGGTTTGCTGTATATGCTGGTGAGGGGAGAAGTGTAAGGTGATGACATTGTGCACTGTATCTACATGCCCAGAGCATGGTCGAGCTCTCTTGCTATAAGGCTCCCGGACAAGCCCATCGCTCTCTCCCATCCCGTACCGAATGTCTCAGCGATTTAACCCAAGCGGAGCCACGAACGCCGACTGGTTCAGTTTCTTCAGCACCGCAGATACATGAGCTGCTCCAGAAACCCCACCCTAAACCCGCCGAGGACATCAGGCCTGGTGTCTGTCCACTGGCGTGGAGACGAGCCGCACTCACTAGGGTTCCGGTGGTTGGGAACCAGTCTCCAACAATCAATCCAACAAACCTAAAGATCAGAGACATGTAGAAGCTCCCAGCAAGCATCCGCAGCCATGGGCAGATTGGCAGTCCCGACCGCCTCGCGTGAGTGGCTGGGTGTCAGGTCATTTGCTGCACCCCAATCGACTTCAACCCGCGAACAGCTAATTATGACAAAGATGTTCGTAAATATACGCCTGAGGGCCTACTTGCGCAGGTACTTCGCTCAGGATCAATGATTAGCTAAGTAGTTGCTTCAGTGCTCCTCTTATTACTTTACTGAAATGTAAATGAGCCGTGAACTCTATAACTACCGTCCTACGATATCCCGATTCCCCGATCCTATGGCCGGTTTATCTGGATATCGAACCCCGGTCGCTAACATATTCACGGCTATTATGTTCTTGTGCCGATGGCGGCAGCCAAAAGCTGAGTGGAGCGGCACATCGCCACCATTAATAGCCTACAACGAAGATGAGGTTGAACTACGACCTTCACCCTTTTTAGTCTCTCCCCAAAATGGCCTCCCCAAACCTCGGTTTCACAGTCTAGTCATGACTAGAGCATCGATTGAAGTGCCAATGGGCGAATAGAAGATTCAGAGAGTTTAATTGTTTCAAATTGAAGGGAATAGCGATGTCGAAGAATATGGGTTCCTGTCCTCAAACCGGCAAAACCCCCACACTTCATCATCACCATCACGACATCACCGCCTCACCACATCGGGACGCTACTCCGGTCATGACACAAAATTTATCCGGTGCACTCATCAAGTCATCATCCAAATGCCTCTAATCATAATTATGGCAGCCCAATCGTTAGGAAGCCATTAAATCGACAATTTTCGCATCCTAAATCGCTAGTGAATTCACCATCCATTGTTGTGGAGCCGGCAAATGCTTCTTCGTGCAGGACACATCCCACTGTATTCCGTAGTGACTGCACACCCCCACCATTCGCCAGGGATGAGATAAATCCCACATCTCAACATCCGACCATTATAGGACGGGATTTAAGGTAAGAATTAGCCTGGTAACCAATAAGGCAATAAAGCCATCCGTTACCCCAACATCCTCTACTGCGCCCCGATCGCTATTCACTCAACCTAATCCCCGACGACCTCTCCTCTCCATCCTCATCGAACATCATCCGTCCCTTCCATCGCAAAGGATGAATGGAGACCCGGCGTCGGCATGGGTAGAATCCGACCAATTCCCCTCCCTCTCGACCATGGAGCCATCCGACTTCGATTTCGTTGGCCTGCCCGACGGGCTCGACGAGTTCGACTTCGCCAATCTGCATTTCGACCAGGCCTTCGGGACGTCGCCGGGTGCGCAGGGCCTGTCGAATTTGGTGTCCCAGACCGAGGAGAATGTGATGGACGGAACCAACGAGGGGAACGAGCGTCGGCCGAGTCAGCAGGAGGGGAATGGAAATGGCACTTTGCACCTAGGACAGGAATTTATGGACTTTCATATTGAACCGCAGTATGGGAACGGCGGCCCGCAGTTAGGGAACAAGTTTGGAGTGACACAGGAACACGGTTATCTGCCGCAGAGAATGGCGCCGCCAACACCCACAAGCATGGAGTTGACGGCTGCGGATGCCGTGATATACATCAATTCATTGGATCCGGCCACGCGCTCCATAGTCGAACAGCAGTTCATGCGCAAAAACGACGTGGTTGGTATCCCTCATCGTCCAGCCGGCATTCTTATGCTAACTGCCTCTCAGGCTCAATTCACCCCTCTCCTGTCGCCGGTGGTACCGTCCAACGATTCCCGAAATTATGCGCCCTCCGACTATAGCTCTGGCGGCCCACTGTTCAGTCCCCTTGCGTCGCCCGCACTGATGGGCCTAGGTGATCATAGTCGCATCTATGGCAGGAGGTCGCAAGCCGCCTCGACCAGTTCGCCCGGAGCGGACGCCAGAGAAGACGTCGACATGTTCGACAACACCACCTCCCACCCGATCCCCGCCCCCCCTTCGCGACCCAAACGCGCTGTCCGTGCACCCAAAGCCACCGCTGCCGCCTCCCGCTCCGCCGCGCCTACCCCCCGCCTTCGCCAATCGCCCATCGTCAAACCGCAGCGTCGAAAAGGCGCCTCGACCACGCTGCCACCCCGCGAAGTCCAGGCGCTGCTAGGCCAGTCCGCGCATCCGCGAGCCCCCCTTTCCCCGGCGTCGGTCCCGTCGTTCTCTTTCCCGGGCAGCCGCAGCGGCTCGGATGGCGACAGCATCTCGCCCGAGCCGCTGACCGAAGTGATGGGGCCGCCGCCGAAACCGGCCTCCGCAGCGCCGAGTCCGAACATCATGGCGAAGTCGGGTCACCGCCCCCTCAATCAGTCACATCTCGCCCCAGCCACGCCGGCAAGTCTCCTGCGGTCACATCAGGTGGCTATGCCTCCTACATCGCATTACCAGTCCCCAACTCTCTCCCCGAATAGCGCAGCACAAACCGTGCGGCAAAACCCCGAGCCCTTCGTGCTGGATGATCTGATTCTTCCCGAAGCGGCAGCGGAACCGAGCCGGACCCAGCCCGGTTCCGGCAGCATTTCCACCTCCAGACCGGCCAACGGCCCGGTCTCTGCCTCCAACACGCCACGTCTCTCATCGGCCAAGCGTCCGGAATTGGATCAACTTCATATCCCCGCGAATACCCCGGGGAAATCTAGCCCCCTCCTCACGGCCTCTCCTTTGGCTACGCCGTCGTCTGCAACGCCGAGGCTCTCCGCTGCCTCAACGACCGGCCAAACTCCTGGAAATGGAGGCAAAGCAAATGGTAGAAAGAGGGGCAGTGTAAGTGGCGGAACTATGGCCAGTCCGGCGCTACGGCCCAAGATAAGTCCTAGCATCAAACCACTATTACCCGAAGGAGGTACGTACATTCCCTCCCGCAGCAATATCCTTCCGTCGTTCCCAGCCACTAACCTCCCCAGGCCCCATCACCCCCGAAGCCCACGCCATTCTCCTCGCCTCCAAATCCAACTACCACCACATCCTCGAAGGCACCGCCCTCGCCGGGCCCTACCCCGAAACCCTCTCCCGCGGCCTCACCTCCAAGCGCACCTCCCACAAGCTCGCCGAGCAGGGCCGCCGCAACCGCATCAACTCCGCCCTCGTCGAAATGCAGTCCCTCCTCCCGCAAAGCCCCATCCTCAACGCATCCCGCAGGGGGAGCGTCTCCGGCCTCGCTAGTGGGAACGCGTCCCCTGAGTTCCTCGCTGCGGATGCAGGTGCTAGAGCCGGCGGAACGGCTGGCAAGGATGTAGACGAGGGCGCGGAGAAGGGCGGGAAAGGCGGCGCGCAGCAGTTGGCGGGGAACAGCAAGGCGGCGACGGTGGAAAGCGCGATCGCGTACATCCGATTGCTGCAGTCAGAGGCGGACGAGCGGCGACGGGTGCTGGAGGAGAAGGATAGGGAGTTGGAGGAGCTGAGACGGCGGGTGGGAGCGTTGGGAGGGGATTAGGTGACGGTCATGTGGAACCACAACTTGAATGAGGGAGTGAAATGGTGGATTGGGGGGACGGTGGCGTGTTACTGGGGCTTTGCTATATGGCGTTCGTGACGATTTATTTGAGGATGTATGTATTATATGATGCTCTTGGGAGGATATCTGCTATATAACTGCGATCCATGCATAGGAGCATGTCTTCGAGTCGCAATGCTATTCTGCTGCTTTCAGCTTCAGGACGATTGCGACTCCCAGTCGAGTGGTTCGGAATTATTGCCCGCGGAAGGGTAAGCTGGCGTCTGCTAGTCAGTGATAAGAGGGGGATACTGCGGTGATGACCATGGAGATTACGGGACGGAGGGATGAGGGCACCCGCAGAACTATATCCAATGCGATCTTACTGTGCCTCCGTGTTGCACCTGTGATTTGTGCAATAAGGAATAGTTTGAATACTAAACTGATCTGTAATTTAACGTGTTTTCTATGCTTTCATTCGCTAATTATGCTTTGAATCTTGATATCTAACGAACTCCGAACCTACCGCTGTGATCGGCTCCCGGTCAAGACGTATCGTTGGTCCAAGCTCCCGTGAGCGTCTACTCCCGTCCTGACCTGGAGATTGAACTCACCGAAGAGTGTTACCTGCATAGCAGTTGCGAGAATAGCCCGACTGGGGGAATCCGACGGAGGCATCGTCCGTGCGATAAAGAACGGCAAGAAGTTGTGCATTTAAAGACAGAAAGCTCGTGGCTCCCAGATCCACGTGTATTCGGACGAGGCGCGTGCTGCCAGCCACCCTGCCGCAGGTATCATCGAACTGCGTCACGACAAGAGCTGCACATAGTCCTATACCACCCTCGATCCCGGTATATATTCCATTTCTATCCTACCCGCTCGTCCCATCTAGTCACCACCCCCTATCGATCCTTCACCATGTCCCTCTTCGGCACCTCCCCGCCCGGCACCGACCGCGACCGCCCCAAATCCTCCCTCTTTGCCGACGATGACGACGCCTTCTTCACCCCCTCGAAAGGCTCAACAAGGGGCACCAACGGCACCGCCGCCGTCCCGTCTCCCGTGCGAATGCCCTCGTCTAGCCTCTTCGCCGACGATAGCAACGGGTTCGCCAAGCCCGAGAGTAACGGTGATGAGCATTCGCCGTGGGGGCTGCCGACGCCGAAGAAGGCCGGGCGGAGTGAGCTGGTTAGAAACCTCCTTAGGGAATCGGAGGTTCCGGAGTCGTATCGGGACGGTTGGGGACGGTTGGATACGGAAGGAGGGGTTCCCAGCGTTACGAAGTTGAAAGAGTGGGTGTCACAGGCGGTGGGCGCGGCGAACGGGGAGAGGATATGGGATATAATGGGCCTCACGGGTCGTGGAGATGCGGCGTTGACGGCGAATGAGTTTTGGGTATTGTTAGCTCTGGTGGGATTGGCGGAGGAAGGAGATGATGTCAGTCTGGACGGCGTGGACGAACGGAGAAGGAGTACGTGAGACGAGCATCGACGACTTCCAGATACTGATTTACGTGCAGATCTACCTCAACCACGACTCGATGGTTTGCTCCCCGCGCCGAAGCCCGACATGAGCAAACCACAAGTCACCGAGGGCGCGGACGATGCGTTCTCGCACAGCCCAGAACGACCGCCGCGCGACGATTCCCCCATTATGTCGACCCCCATCCGCTCCCCAGCGACGCAACGACCCGCCTTTGCCCTCCCCGAATCCGATCCATGGGGTAGCCCCGAACTGCATCAGGGCCACCGACACCCCCCGATTCCTACAACTGCCCATCAGTCCAGCACGGGCACCTTGCCGGTACGGACGACCAGTAACTTCACCACCGCGTCCGGTTCGTTCGGTTCGTCGCCGCCCACCAGCCGCGCTACGGGCCAGGGCGCGTCAAGCGCCTCGTCGTGGGGGAACTATAATGGCGCCGCGAATGAAGGTTTTGCGGCCTCGGGTCTCCCGGCCGGATTTGGCATCGCTGGAGGGAGTGGTGGCGGAGACGACGATCACGGTGAGCTTGGTAGGTCGGGCTTCGGTCGTCCCCGGCCGTCGACGCAAGGTCCGGAGGAGGCGATCATGGTCACGTCGTTATCGGAGAAGGAGGGGCCGTTCATGTTCCAGCATCGGAACTACCAGGTGACGAGTGCGCGGAGGAACAGCAAGGTCATTCGCAGATACAGTGACTTTGTTTGGTTGTTGGACTGCCTCCAGAAGCGGTATCCGTTCCGGCAACTTCCTTTGCTACCCCCTAAACGAGTTGCAAGTACGGTTTGGAGACCTCCGAGGCGCGAAGGATGAATGCTAATTGATTAGTAGTCAATGGGAACTATATGACGTCCGATGATAGCTTTATTGAGAAGAGGCGAAGAGGACTGCAGCGATTCGCGAACGCTTTGGTCAGGCACCCTGTGCTAAATCAAGAGCAGCTCGTCATCATGTTCTTAACGGTTCCTACGGTATGAAGTTCACAAGGATACTCTGGAATCTAGTCAACTAACGCACGTCAAGGAATTGTCTGTGTGGCGCAAACAAGCATCAATCACAGTGGTCGAAGAGTTCACCGGGAAAGCGCTGCCTCCCGGTCTCGAAGACTCCTTGTCACCCAACCTCCAAGAAACCTTCGACACTGCTCGCTCCGGCGTTCGGCGCTCAACGGATCTCTACGTCACCCTCTGCAGCCTTCTGGAGCGTTTGGCAAAACGCAACCAAGGAGTCGCCGCCGACTACAACCGATTCGCCCGCGGACTCACCGCCCTAACCGAGGCGTCAGCCGATACCTACACCGTCGACACCAACGACGTGCCCCTCCTGAACGACGGCCTCAACGCCGCAGCAAAGCACCTCTCCACGTCCCAGGCCCTCCTCGAAGACGAAGCCAAGGCGTGGGAGGAAGGCGCGCTTGAAGACCTCAAGCGCCACCGTGACGCCCTAGTTAGCCTGCGCGACCTGTTCGATCGACGCGATCGGTTGGACAAGGACAACATCCCCCAGCTCGAGCGGCGGATCGAGGCCAGCGAGGCGAAGTTGCAGACGATCCGCGCGAAGCCTGCGGGGCAGGTGAAGCCGGGCGAGGCGGAGAAGGTCGAGGATGCGATCGTGAAGGTACGTTTCGAGGATACATGGTTTCCCATGTGCGGGGGCACCGTGGCATGTTGCTGATTAGTTTCGTAGGACAAACAATCCATCGTCGCGCAGCATGCGCGCGGCGTCTTCATCAAGGAGTGCGTGCGGGACGAGTTGGTGTACTTCCAGCAGAGCCAGTACAACGTCAGTCGGCTGCACCAGGATTGGAGCCAGGAGCGGGTGAAGTACGCGGAGTTGCAGGCAGACAATTGGCGGGGCTTGAGCGAGGAGGTGGAAGGGATGCCGTTGGGGGACTGATGGCGCTTAGTTCAGTGTAGGCATACCTTTTGTTTGCTGTATCTAGCTGGATTTGTGACAGGTTACGGGGCCTGGTCGGTACGTTGTTGTGCGGTGTTTTCGATAGGGCTTTTTTGTACATGTGTACAGGTGCATCCGTTCAAGCGGAGGCGTGGCACATATTGGAACGGTTTTCTGAGAGCGTGCGATACTCCTGTCTAGTTTGTCGTCATTGGAATATTGATGCTGTTCACTCTTTCGAATGGTTCCGCCCCTCAGTGGTTGACCCTGCTGTGTAGAAAAAGTTGCTGCTCGTTCATGATCAGAGTGGATCTGAATCGAGGATTATATGGTCCTAAATGCTCGGTTCTTAGGATAGGCTACCCATGTGGTATATCAAGCATTAGTCTCTGGTGACGATTTATAAAGATTCTTATTCTGCGGATCTAGGTGAAGTAGTACTTCAAGCGAGTCAATGCATGGAATTACATCAAATCTAAATGGTGAAATGGATTTCCATGCCAGAGTACGTAAATTTCCAAGTTATATTTCCTCAATCCACTAATTAACCCATACCCTAACATTCTCAGCCCTGTCCATGCTCTCCTTAAACAACCATATCTCGCCCGTACGCCAAAGCCTTCTTATCGAGGCCCCTTCACTCAAACATCTGATACGTAATCCCATTAACCGGATCCGACAGTTCATACCACCACACCTTCGCCCGATCATCCGTCGGAATCATAATAAAACTCGCCGTATCCCACTCTCCCCCACCACACGCCAACTGATCGCTCTCCACCACGACCTCCCCGCCGGGACTAATATGGATCGACGCGGCCGGCCGCTCGCCGAAGCTGCGCGCCGTGTTCCAGGTGTCGTTGATGTCCGGCAGCGTCTGCAGCTGGTAGACGAGGAAGGAGTAGCGGGCGTCGGCGGGCTCGGGGGGTTCGACGCTCCAGTTGTCGGTGACGTTGTCGAGGTGGAAGGCGACGCTGCAGTGGTGGTAGGTGTTGCGCTTGAAGTCGTCGGGCATGTCGAAGAGAATGACCATGTCGACCTGGGAGACCCGTTAGAATATCCAAGATATAGACTCGCCCAGTCGGTGGTGCCCGGGGGGGGAAGACACATACCAAGTGCCCCATCTCATCCCCGTTCGGATACGTCCCCACCTCCCCAAAAAACTGCGTCCCATACGCCGTATCCGGATACTTATGATGCACGGGGATCAGCAGATGCGGAAACAGCGTGTCAACCAGGGTCGCCTGCGCGGCCGTGACGCTGACGAGCGCCGCGAGCGCGGGCAGCAGGCTACTCAGTGTCTTCGCGAGGCGCGTCATAGTCGCGGCGGGGGGCCGAGAACTCGCGCGCGCAGACGGGGCAGATGCCGGAGTCGAGGTATTGGCGGCGGAGGGCGCGGATGTAGAGGGTTTCTTGGTCGCGGGTGGCGGGGTTCGGGCGGAGGCAGTTCGCGATCGTGTAGGCAGAGAGGGCGAGAGAGCCAAGGATTAGAGCGCTATAGATCGAGGAGGTGATGGTGGAGGACCTTATGGTTTGAAGGACGTCGGCTTCGGAGGGACGAGACCATTCAGTGGAACCAAGCAGTTTTCGGGGGAGACTGAAATCGGGAGCAGAGGAAAGATGGTCACCAGCACGGGTAGAGTGCCATTCAAGCCAGGATAATAAAGATTCAGGACTTAGGACCCATGGGGAGGAGTAAAGAAGATAGAGCCCACCGAAAATGACCGTGGCAGGCAGCACTATTTGTAGTCGACGACGCATCCGTCCCGCATCGGCCGACTCTGGGTGATGGGGCTCCATGTTTGCGTCGATACCGTGGGGTACAAAAGTTTGTTCCGGTAGGCTGCCTCAGATGTCGATGCGCATGCGGTATCCCGTGGTACCCAACGGCTCGGACAGGTTCGGTATTGCACGGGAGCTAGGTTAGTCGAACGTAGTCTGATGAGGCTGGATGTACGGTTGAACGCGACTTTTAAAGGACGGATAGAGTGAGAGGCTGGGAATCGCGAGGGATACAATAGGTTTGAATTTGTACCCGTTGCGCGCGTGGAATGTAAAGTGGTTCGATATGGAATTGGCGTCGTTGGCAGTACGACCCGGTAGAGGGAATGTATGCGGCGCCCCGACGGAGGCATTTCCGATCGTTGGACAAACGAGGCGGCATAGCAGGTGCGTGAGAGGATGAAGCCAATATCGTTCAGACACGCGTACGTGATGGGATATGGTGCGCCGCGGAAGTCAGGACAGAACCTGACACCCGTGCGAAGAGCAGGACGACCACACCTGGTCTAGAACGCCGGCATTCCAACACGATATCCCAAGCTCTTTCAGAAGGCATCTTGATGAGCCGATTCCCACGTCGATAGAAGATGCAACCGCCGAAACCCAAAGGACCGATCGCAGAAGCAAAGAGACAAGATCACCAGATACCAATTGCCACTTGAAACATGAAATCCATTCAATCTTCGCGGTTTCCCATGGTCCATCAACGCCGCCTGACTGATATATATAGGCAGACAACCCTTCATCCTGATAGACACGGTTAAGTAAGGGAAGTACCTGTAGGTATGGGAATCCTGTAAAATCCGTTGACTCCGCCAATGCCGCTGCCATCCAAGTCCCGTCGCAATAAATTTTGACTGTCCTGGGACTTCGTTCCCATAACGCCGCAACTCCATGTGTGACTTTGCTCCGACACTGTCTGCATTCCAGCGATCCCATCCGAATCTTTTCGACGAGATGCCCTCGGTTCCGCCCGAACCACTATCCCCCCTCAATTGTCCACCACCACCTCACACACCCTCTCCAACTCCTTCCTCACCACCCTCAACCCCTCCTTCACCGCCTTCTCCGGAATCTTAATCACCTCCGCCTGTGCCACCCCATTCCCCTCCCCATTCGCCTCTTCCCCATTCTTCCCCCCCTCCTCCTTCAACGCCCCCTCAACAACCAACCGCATCACCTCCCCGTAGCTCTGCGCTTGCCCGCTGCGGAGCAGCTCCTTCACGTGTTCGCGCAGCGCGTTGGTCCAGCCCGAGGAGGCGAGCTCGTGGGAGAGGGTCTGGTGGATGCGGGGGATGGAGTTCTGGGCGAGGAGAGCGGAGGTGAGGGAGGCGCGTAGGTCGGCGGGGAGGGGTTGGGGGGCGCGGCGAGTGGTGGGGCCGGAGGAGAGGGATGAGGAGGAGACAGTGACGGGGGCCATGGTTGTGTGGATGCAGGGGTTTGGGAGAGGTATGTGGTAGAAGTATTTCCTGGGGGGGGGTGTAGATTCGTCGGGGGGGAGGACAGATAGTCGAAGGAAATGATTGTTGATTTGGACCAGCAAAACTTATTTTGGTTCCCGCCGAGGATAGATGATGATAGGATTCTACTTGGGTAGCTTGGAGGAGGTGTAGTCGATAAGGTATCCTTTCCCGATCCTCTCGCGTGTTAAGATGATACGAGGATGGTAACAGACGAGGGTTTGGCTGAGGGAGCGAGTGAGGTCCGCAGGTTATGGCAACAGGTGAACCGAGCCAAGTTCCGGAATAAGGTTGAAGATTCTGGGGGATTGGTCGATGATTCGGAGGCAACAGAATCACAGTCGAGAGATGGAATGCCGCCACATCGTGATTGTTTGGTTGAATCCGAAGTGATTAGATCCGAAGTAAAGTGATGGAGTGAATGTTTTGTTGCTGATTCCAGTATCAGTCACTTTGTTCTGATACAGGCGTGCTCGGGCAGGGATTCCCATTCCGGATACACAGCTGGTCGACTAATTAGCTATGTACTGTACATATTTGGTACAGTAGGCTGCCCCGGTTGGCTATCAGACTATCTATTATTTGCCAACAACCGTAAGACGTTACGAACTATGCTTGAGTATTCTGGCTCCATTCCTGAATCCTGATCCCTAGTATTCCCCATGGGTGCTGATTGCTGAAGAGTACCGTAACGGAATATCAAGGCCAGAGGGGGTGAAGGAGCAGCATCCTAGCCAAATGCGGTATGCAGAGGGGTCAATAGTCGGGCAATAATCCGTTCCTGTCGTGCCTGTGCTATTAATACTCGCTCTTCATATTCGCTCTTAATATTCGTCTCGTGATAGATGCTGTCCGTACTGGTACGTACCAGTACTCCAGTAGGCAGTATTCCACATGTTGTATTCCGGAAGATGACTTTCACCGTTCCACAGGATGACAATTGACAACTGTGAACTGTGAACTGTGAACTGTGAATTGTCAACTGTGAACTGTGAATTGTCAACTGGTGATGGGGGAGTACTGTTCAAGCACACCACCCGCTTTGTACACCACATACCAATGCAATTATGCAATGCTCGAGTCTTCCAGTTCATTGATATTCTACAAAGAAAGGACTCCGTATCGATCGAAGATGGACTAAACTAAGCGCTAGGTATTCGCACTCCGTCGAACTGCTGAATCGGCCTTATTGCCAGGATTTTCCCCTGCATCTGCATTCTGCACCGATTCCATCTTCGCCGCAACGGCCCCATCTCTCCACCCGACTGGAAGAATCAATCAACAGACACAGGTACTTTGGACACCACATCAATTGTCATTCTTCATTAATCATTTCTCTCCTGTCACCTATGTGAGACGGTAAGAGCGTGACAGTGTGTATCCGCTCCACCCCTCGTCTCTGAGTTCTGGCCTCCGCCTATCCCGAACCGTGCGCCAACCGCCAATCCCCAAAGGCCCAAACCCACCATAGACTGCCACATACCACCAGTCCACCACCAACAGCACTATCCAACATCCTGTCCCCCTCAATATCCGTCGCGCTTCCATCGTCTCACGTTCCGACCGGGGAGTTTCGTCGTCCACGCCACTCTTCAGCGCTTTCCAATTCTTCATTCGCAAATTCATCCAGGCATTCACCTTCGCTTGAGTTAAGCCATCGTCTCATCTCGTCTCCACACGGCCAATCCATCCTTCTCCGTTCCTGTTGATACCCAACCTTGACCGGACCCTACTATATCCCGCGCAGAACATCTCCAACTCTACACCACGAACGTCGCAGATATCACGAGCCCTCGTTTCGTTTTGGCATCTCCACATTCCTTCACCACCCAAGAACGACGCTGGACGAGGGGACGCATCATCTCGCGGTCACTCTCTTTGTCCGCAGACCGCGTCATCGGCCTCCGCAGACCCTATCACTCCTTCGCATCCTCGAGACCAGGCGAAAACACCCGTCCCATTCGACCCTAGTGTGGGGAAGCCTCCGCCATGTCGTACAAAGCGACAGCATATCATGCCGATTCGGATGCGGACGACGAGTACGAGCGAAGCGTCATCACCTCGCCGACTTTGGCGCCTCCCGATTTCGAGGCCTCGCCCACCGACTCCGATCCACCCAGCACTGAACATACCCCCACGACCTATACCCATTCACGGGACGGCCACCCGTCGCCGACTGGATTGATCATACAATGGACCGCGGAGCTATGTGCAGACTTGTTGGCGACGTTGGGGTTACCCCAATACCAGGACACATTCATAGGTAGGGTCCCTGCCGATGGGATATGGTTGATATCGCTGACAGGTTCGCCGTAGAAAATGCGATAACAGGGGAGGCATTGATATCGCTGCAGCAGAGCGACCTTAAAGAGATGGGAATTGCGAGCATAGGGCACCGAATGACGATACTGAAGAGCGTATACGATATCAAGGTCAAGCAACACGTTCCTTTAGAAGAGGATGACTTTGTTCCACAGTGTAAGTCGGCAGCTACTCCGGGATAGAACAGTGCTCACCGTTCTTCAGCTGCTGCCGTAGACAACCAAGACAGCGCACCCACCCAGGACGACGTGGCTCGCATCATCCGCATCATCCGAGACCGAGATGAACGCATCACAACCGCCGAGACCGAGCTCCGTATCCTCCGCGACGACATCCACCGCCTCCTCGAAGAGAACCGCAAACTCCGAGAAGACTTCCTGCCCCTGGCGCGTCTTGCGAAAGAGAAATCCCAGCCGCTCCCCACCCCTGACGACCAAGCTAACGGCGTGGCCTCAGAGAAATCCAGCAGCCTGTCCCGAAAATTCTCGACAAAAAAGCTCTTTCTCAGTTCGGCGCCCAAGAACCCTTCCCCAACCATCCACGAAGGACGAACCTTGAGCGACACATCCACCCTCGATCCCTCGGCCGCCGCTCTGGCCGCATCCACTCACCTAACCGCCAGCATGCGTGACGCAGCCGCATCCGGCCTCCCGTCACCGCACCATCCCTCCCAGCCCTCCCCGACGTCTCCCGCACCATACAACACCCAACTCCAAGGCAGCGGCAGCTCTTCGCGCGGATTCCCCCGCAGCACCCCCCACCAACCCGACGACCTCGTTCCCTCCTTCCACTCCACCAACAGCACCTGGTCCAACGCCTCCACCATCCTCCCCGACCGCGGCCCCACGCCCTCCGCCGGCGCCAACGCGTCCACCCCCCTCCTCGGCACCTCCTCTGCCGGCGCCAGCACCCCGTCCTCCACCACTGGCACGCTCACCGGCACCGCCTCCCAAACGTCCGCCGCCTCCACCCCCTCCTCCAACCCGCAGGTCGAGATCTTCAAGTCCTTCCGCGTCTCCATCGATGACCCCTGTCACAAGGTGCTACCCGTCGCGCTAAAGAAATACAACATCACCGCCGACTGGCGGCAATACGCGCTGTACATCGTGCATGGCGACCAGGAGCGCTGCCTGGGGCTGAATGAGCGGCCGTTGATCCTGTTCAAGCAGCTGGATAAGGAGGGAAGGAAGCCGATGTTCATGCTGAGGAGGCATGCGGCGCCGCAGGAAGGGCATGTGAACTTTATTAATCAGGGGACGCAGCATGGCGGACTGGGGGAGCTGCCGGGAGGGGTGCTGTAACTTCGGCGGACTTTGCTATTTGAGGATATGCACGGGTGGGGGAACGGTGGGGTTGGACGGCTTGGAACCAAAATATCTCGATGTTTGATATACTTCACTGTTTGAATGATGTCGGTGGGGTTGGTTCGATCCGCGCGATCTTTCGGCGCGCTACGATTGCTCGGTTTCAGCAGCAGGGAGTTTCACGAGTCATGGAGACCAAGAACTTTTTTATTGTTTCCCATTTTTGTTTTCAATTTCGATCAGCGGCTGTAGCATGGAAGGACCGGCGTTTGGAAGAGGGTCTCGATGGTCGGCTTCGGATTGATTTCGGCCGCGACGTTGGCGATGTTCTTGGACGGGCCCGACTTGCGAGCAGATTGGAGAGTGGTTCTTAGCGGTTTGCTCGGTTGTTATATGGCGAGTTGTAGCAACGCGGATGGAAAGGGGGTTGTGTTGTCAGTGCACTCAGGACGAGATGTCTTTGCGACCAAAATGGAAGATGCAATCCGAATTCCCAACTTTCGGTAATTCCTTAGGATTTTCAAGACTATCCACTCGCGTTGTATCTGGGTATATCCCGTTGGTCTCATTCAATCGAGTCCCTCATATTCTATTGCCACTGTGCCGTCCGCTCATGCCGTGCCATTGGTCGCATGTCCGTTGGTAGGATGCCCATTGGCATTTCCATTCTGCCCCCTCTCCTTCCTCCTCTGCTCCAGCAGCCTCTCAATATGCCCATTCAAGCGATACCGCTTCAACACCTCTTCATCCATATCCTTCGCCCCACTGATCCTCTTCACGCACCGCTCCGTCCCACACGTGCAATCGAACGGCTGCGCCATCTCCCACTCGGTACTCGGATAGAAAAACGTCACCTTCTCCCCCTCCTTTAGCGCCCGCTCGTCGACCACCCGCACCTCGTTCCGCTCCATGTCGAAGATTAGGCTCGGGTCGCACGAGTGGTTGCAGAACACCAGGTCGCTGTTCAGCTCGATGTGTGCGGTCTCCGAGACTTGCACGGACGTGTACGCCTTCACGCCGGGGGTGGCGGTTGTGATCGGGGCATAGAGCGCGCCGGCTGGGAGCGAGACGAGGGAGACGGCGTAGGAGGAGAAGGCTTTGGTGGAGCGGTTTATGGCGAGGACTTGGGAGAGCTCGCGCGGAGCTGCACCGCTGGCGTCGGGGATGGTTTCTTGGGAGGGAGACATGATGAAGAATGGGGTGGTTGAGACTAGGAAATTGTAGATAGAGGCTTTGGATACTGAGGGGAGGAATGTCGCGGGTGTTCGTCAGTGGCTTCAGTGATCAGTCTAACACCCCATGCTTGACAAAGGAGGCCCCCCAGTGGTATATAATCCCACTCTCGCGGCCGAGCCGGTGTCTCCAGCGTCCAGGGACCTCGTGATTCTCGTCGTAACCATGAGACGCCGGGTTAGCTTCGTTCCATTTATGATTTATGCGTTACCCCACGGGCTCCCGCATATCAATCAGCCTCCACGAAAAATTTTCATCCAGGGCCATCTGCAATATGTCGACGACGCGTTAGCCGCTGTGTCCGAGGCGAGGTAATTGGCCAATTGGCCCCGTGCCTTGGCTGGAAGACAGGGTGTCACGGTTTGGGGGGATCTCCGTCACCGTCGAAGATATTCCATGGCCGTGGAGGTAATAGAGCCGAGCCACTCGGCTGGGGTGCTGGGGGGGAGAGGGCTGCAGCTGTGTCTTCTCCCGTTGTGCAGGGTTGACCAATCAGTGGGCCGCATGTTCGACGTCGGCTTTCTCTTGACCAGGAGGTCCAAGGGGCCTGCCGACTTTCGCCATGGTCCTCTAGTCACGGGAATTGATTGTATTCGTCGGGGTGGAGCTAATCAAGACCCATCCTAGTGCGGCTTCCTTTCGACCGTCCGGAACGGCGTCCTTTCTAACCCGTTGTTGGGCTAGATCATGCATCCCACCCAAATGGAAGGAAGATTCCAGAGGATTCGACCACATGATCTCCCTGCTGCGGGATTCAAGGCGAGGGTCGTATAACAGGAGGATGTTGAGATTATGGAAGATGGTCCCAAGTGGAATCCTGTATGGTGACCTAGAGAGAGAAGGAGACGAAGAGGAATATGATACGGAAGGAGCTCCGATGCCGGCGAACCGGGAACTTAACTGACCAAAATACGATTTCCCCTCTTTCTTCTTTGACTAAGACGATGGACAGGTATAGAAGAGGTGCTGATTTTGTTGAGGCTATACCACCGTCCCCCTCCATTCGAGGTGGACCATGACGTATCTCGCGGGTTGACTGGAGAACGGAAGATTTGTGAGAATCACCTGTCAGTCGGGGAATTTGAACCCCCATCGTGTCCGACATGGCCCGAAACTGAAGGGACCACAGGCTGGCAATTTGGCTACTCCGGTCTCCGAGGCTGCCTCTACTGTCTTCGGGACCAGTCATCCGTACAAACCATACTGGATTGCAACAGAGTCGCGGTGCTGGAATCGCTCAGTACCCCTATGTACGGAATGGCGAGGTTGGTCGATAGGAAGTGAAATCTGTTATAAAGGCTGAGCTGCACTGGTTTGTAGCTGATGTTTCTGGTCCAAGTTTGCTTTGGCCTTGCCAATTACAGTATGATCGTATTATGTACTTACTTATGTCGACTTTTGCGTGGCTTGCTTCCGATATTCGACTGAACGTGGGGTTGGAGCGCCAGGTTCAGCCCCTAGCACCACATGTCATTCGCTAGTCGGAATCATGCGATGGGCGGGGTACTATCGAGGTGCATCGTGTCCGGTGTCTGGCATGGTACGTCCCGTCCCTGCAAAATAATGAGTCTCTTACATATATGGACTACTTGTTTGCGGAGTGGATATGGTCACATCCCTTGTCGGCCCCGGAGATGGACTGAACGTTGGGAAGAGTATCTAATTACACAGACCGAACTCGGCCTGGCAGCCAGCATCACAATAGATACTGTCACTCCTACACCTCCCATATGGAGAGCAGCAATTCCCGAACGGGGTCCGTTGACACGTTGCGCCAAATACCAGAGGTACTTCCGCAACTCCCATCCGTCGAAATTGGGGGTCCTGAATCACACGCACCATAATCAGGATCGCAAGTTGGCGGGCTGCAATTAGCGGAATCCGTCCCGCACCATCCACTCGTGCCACAGCAGTCGCCGAACGTCGAGTCCAAGCAAGTGCTGCGAGTGTAAGAGTTGGCGCCGCATTTCCCATCGTGGGAGACGTTGCCGTAGCAGGTGCCGAACTCTGGCAGTGAGCTTCAGACGAGCCACGCAATCCGCTTGTGCTGTAGTAGTCGCCGAAACGGGAGTCAAGGCACGTCGCGTCGTTGTCAGAATTCGGTCCGCAGGCGCCGTAGGTTGACATGTCGAAGCGTCACAATATGCCTCAGTTTTCCCTACCTATCCGCACTGCAGCAGTTCCCAAAAGCCGATCCGCGCAATCTGCACCGATCGCAGAGTTGAAACCACAAGTCCCAGCTTCGGACATCTCGCCAAAATTTAGAATGTGTGGCCGCTCACAGTCCCGAAGGTGAACAAACAGTTTGAATGAGCGCAGAACCCCTCCGAAGATCCGCAACGTCCGGTGATCTGACTGCAGCAATCCCCGAAGTCTAAGCCCTTGTACGTCGCCTCGATCGGCGATGTGTATGCGCAAGAGCCATCCGTGGAAATCAGTGTACCTGGACGCGGTCGATCCTTGCATGCTCCATGGCGAGGATCGCATGAGTACCAGTCGCAATGTACATCTGTGTCGCCGCAGTTCCCAGAGCGACTGCAGCAGCCACCGAAGCTCCCCCTGGACAAATGATGCCATTCCTACAGGCTCCATCGATGGTGATTGTTAGTTCCTTGAAAGGGGGTGGCGGTTTTGCCACCAGTTTGAGGGACCGATGCAGTAGGTGAGGCCTTGAACCAGCGAACCGGTACAGTCTGTACTTGACAAGGGTGGATTGATCGCAAGGAAAATTTCCATTGTCAGGTGTGTCTCCATGCAGATTTTGGTACACGACCTCCCACCAGTATAGGTGAGCCATCTACCGCACTCCTCATTCATGTCATCCGCAACAGTCGCGCCACTAAGGGGGTACATTGCCTGAATTGTGAAACCATCTCGCGGTCTAGGATATATATATACTTCCGTCTCCCGATCTCCCATCTCCGGTTACTCCCTGTTCTGTAAGATATAGGATGCTGACGAATATGATGGTGGCGTTGTGGACATTGTAACAAGATAAAGTCAATACAGGAATTGAGCGGTTTCAAATTATTAAGCCACTTGTTGTGCTCATGCTGGATGCTCGTGCAAGTGTCAGAAGGCCCAATTTCATAGACCCGGCACATCTCAGGAAGACACGAGGACAGTCCGGCTGGGATTGCACTGCAATTGTAGATGACGTCCTGGTTCTGGATGAAAAGGTTGGCCGAGGAAACGTTATGTGTTAAAGCAATCAAGTTGCAAGTATCCCCTTCTACTGTCATATCAGAGGTTTGCGAGAGGCAATAGGGAGTCGTCGGCTCGGGAATGAACACCAGCGGTACCTGTACATTGGTAGGTCCAGATATACCACGAGTCGAGTATATTAGTTGTAATCGACTTTTGTAGTAATCGTCGTAGACCGAGAATGGAGGGGACTGCTTGTCATTAATTGTCCCTGGAGTAAGCCCATAATGCCTACGAAGAGATTGAGGTATCGCATAAGTATCATTTGAGGGCTTCGCGGATGACCTCTGCTGCAAGTGTCGTGGAATTAGTGGCGTTGGCTAGCCCCTTGTGAACATAAATCTGCGGAGAAATGGGTTGAGGAGAATATTCTTGATCGAATGACGAATGTATACGCAGTCCAAGACCAAACAAGAGATGGATTGTACAAAGCGAAATCGCAAATAGCAGCCGCGAAAGAAGGGACATAGTTTGCGTGAGTTCAGAGTTGAGAACTTGAAGGGACTTGAAGGGACTTGAAGGGACGAGAGTTAATTGGAACGATATAAGATCAAAGTCCATCGCGACCTTCGACACAGAGGGATAAGGCTGAACAATCAAGCGTCTATTCCAGCATCATGAATCCATGACCCTTCCACTTCAGAAGTTCGGAGAGAAAACTAGCACTCATGCAGAGTCTCAGACGGCATTATTGATCTGATGACCTGGGAATGGTCTTGGCGTTAGCTCCGCTCTACTTTGCAGCGACAGCTGCTCTTCAGCAATGGACAGCGGCAAGGCAGGAATGTTGATTGGCGAGCCTTGCGAATGCATTCGCTAATTGAGGATGAACCTCATCTAGGTATAACATTGAATTACTCCCAGGTGTTCGCATGCGCACGTATACGTACACGGCAGTATGCGCCAGAAGAGAGCAACAGCCAGCAGCTAGCAAAGCTTAGCGTCACTAGAGCTCTACTCCAAGCTCATGTCAAGCAGCGCTCAACTCATTAGCGGTGTGATCGCCAACCAGAATTTGCGGATTGTCGCTGGCACTATCCACGGATCTGTGAACTTTGGAAGCAGCGAAAGTGAGAGTGCTTAGCTGGCAATGGCCTCAAAGCAGCAGGAAGCTGACTGGCAATCTAGACTTGAACAATGTGCTCAACTCCCTCCCTACCGCAGAGGATGCGCCGTTCAATACATACCAGCGACAACACAACCCGGCCTGCCTTCCCGATACCCGCGTCGACCTCCTTCAAAAGATCTATAGCTGGGCTGATGGCCGAGACTAGCGCTGTATTTTCTGGTTGAACGGTTTGGCCGGCACGGGCAAGTCGACAATTGCGCGCACTGTCGCCCGCAAGCGGTTCGATAAGCAGCATCTCGGAGCCAGCTTCTTCTTCTCGCGCGACGGTGAAGATGTCAACCATGCAGGCAAGTTCATCACGAGCATTGCGTGGCAGCTGGCGAACAACATACCCTCTCTTCAACAGCACATTTGCGATGCCATCATAGAGCGCCGCGACATTGCGAGTCAGTCCCTCCGTGACCAGTGGCAGCAGCTTATCCTACGTCCACTATTGAAGCTAGGTGAAAACGGCGGCCAGTCCTCGTACATACTTATCGTTGATGCGCTCGATGAGGGCGACGGTGACAACAACATCCGATACGGAATCCGTCAGGTACCGAATGCGAATCTCCAGGATTTTGTACTTCACAGCATATCACCCTCAACTGTAGATCACGACATCTCTATATTCTTCGTGCATCATCTCAAGCTTATTAGAGAGGAGCACTGTCTGGATATCTGCTGGCCAAGCGAAGACAATATCAGACACCTAATCCAGCTTACAGATGGGTTGCTTATTTGGGCCGCAACCGCCTGCCGATTTATCTACGAAGGGAAACGATTTGCCACCAGAAGACTTAATACGATTCTTCGGAGCAGTGGCAGCGCTCCCAGAGCGCCGGAGAAGCACCTAGACGAGATCTATACGACTGTGCTGAAACAATCCGTCGCTCCGGAATACACGGACGAGGAGAAAGAAGAGGCATTTTGCATGTTGAGAGAAATCCTTGGCAGTATCGTTATTCTTCTTATGCCGCTTTCTGCATTATCCCTGAGCAGATTACTTTGATATTAAGAAAAAGGCCGTCGACCAGACGTTAAACGACCTACACTCCGTCCTGGACGTTCCGAAAGACCAAAAGAAAGACCAAAAGCAGCCTCTTCGTCTTCACCATCCGTCGTTTCGGGACTACCTCCTCAGCAATGATAGGTGTAAGAACCAAGACTTGTGGGTGGACGAGAAGCAGGCCCATCAACTGTTGGCTGACAGCTGTATACGGCTTATGTCAACATCACTCAAGCAAGATATCTGTTGCGTGGATGCCCCCGGCATGGCTGTAGCCAATGTCAAGAGAAGCCGAGTTGAACAATGTTCTCCTCCTGAAGTCCAGTACGCATGTCTTTACTGGATCCAGCACCTCTAGAAAAGCGGTGCTCGACTTTGCGACAATGATCAAGTACATCAATTCTTACAGGAGCATCTTCTTCACTGGCTCAAGGCCCTTGGATGGATGGGGAAGATGTCGGAAGGAGCTCATGCTATCGCGTCTTTAGAGCTGTTTACTTCCATCAGTATACCTCTAGTACGTCAAATACATTCGCTGACACTTCGGCTAGCTAAGTGATTGCCCTGGTATTTCAAGCTTTATCTGTGATGCGAAGCGGTTCGTCCTCTATAATCGGCCAGCTATCGAGCAGGCTCCCCTTCAGACGTACTATAGTGCCCTCGTATTCGCACCGTGGATCCTTGCCTATTTTATCGCCTCTCTCTGGTGGTATAGGTGTGACCAGTCTACAACATCCATCTTCTGTCTTTGTCAACGACCACTGGGTGAGTAGCCATACAGAGCAGATTCTTTGGCTTCCTCCCGAGTATCGGCCACATTGCATTGCCGTGTATGGGGGTATTGTTGCTTTCGGATATATATCTGGAAGAGTTATGACCATGGAACTTACTTTATGATATTTCCCTAAGCTTTATTTAACCTCCTCCCCGCCCGCCTTCCTTACAGATGGTGTCTTTTATATGCTACATGAATAGCACGAGTGGCGACAGCCGATGAGTAATGTTTGATTAGAAATCTAAAGGCTTTAAAGCCTGATTGGTGCTAGTTAATTATTACAGTCAACCACCGCTATAACGATTACCGCTACAGCGATATTCGCGTTATAGCGAAGGTTGACTGTATTGAAAGTGTTAAGAAATAGGGAGTAGTTGTTGGCTCAACTCTCTACTGCTCGAGTTGGTCACACCTCCGAGTCACCGGGGAGAGCGGCGGTGTTTGGATCGAGGACACCACGTAGGACTTTGACTGAAGGATAGCTGGCGCCTTGCTCCGTGATCAGTTTTTGGAGTAAAAATGGGAGCCTTGCATTTATTGGAAATCAACGTGAAGTCAAAGTTATATGAAAGGAACTACATCCCAGAGTATTTGAGGTATCCATGATAACCTGTCAGTTCATAACTGTGCTCCATTGGCTTAACTTAGGGATCACTGATCAGGAGATAGCACGAAGTTACAAAGCCAGGGGCGCATGGAGGCGGGAAATAGTCCGTATTCGCCTGAGGCAGTAAGGCCAAACTACGCTGGGTCAGACATGGAGGCTCAGAGCTGCTGGAGCGACGGACAGCATGTGATAATATGATGCAGATGACGTAAGCTAGCAGGACGCCTCCACGTGACCACGTCTGCGTCTGCGTCACAGTACCAGGCGACAAGGCATCAAGGGTCTTTCCACCTTTCAGCACCTGACCAGGGCGCCGGCTGGGGGTGCCAGCTGGGAGGCAGCTGGGGGGCCACCCGCCACTACCGGCCACATCCAAGCCACTTGGTCACAAGAAGTCACCGCAATCTACGTGTCTGTGTCATATCTCCGGTTCTCTCTCCCCACACCCAACAACCGCATCCGGACCTCATACCTGAAGATACACACAAGTCCCCTCCCTAACATTGTAGCCCTGACACATTCATATAACCTCAGAAGCCCTTTCATCAAAGCCATCTATACTCGGTTCTTTGTGTTTCACGTTACACCCTGTCATCTCCCACCAGCTGTATGCTACGTACATCTGGATCATCGCAGCGACTACGGTACCCCTCACCCATACGACGATACCGCTGCTTGAGCTCCATCCCACATTCTCCTGCATACGTTACCCCAAGGTACTACCAGAGTAGATATCAACAAGTGCTACCCTGCACCCGCTTCCCCGCTTCGTCGCTTCGTTCCTGGAGAGCACTCTCGCCATCCCATATACTGCTCTTGGAAATCAAGAGCAGTCCTCCTCGCCGCTCTTCCAACGGTTCTACCACGACCACAGCGCCACCGCGCCTCAGCACGCGCAGTCGAGCCACGGGACTGAGTTCTGACTGTCTGACGCATTGCATCACATCCCGTGTCTCAGACAAGATAGTCACGACCTTCCCCCAGTACTTGTATCGTGGCAGCGAGTAGTCCGCGACTATATAACCGCTGCCACGAACATTGGTCTCCGGGAAGGTAGACGCACGTCCAAACTCATTCCACCCACGGTCCCTTAAAGAACGCCAACGGATCTCATTTGAATGCCATCCACGCCTGATAAAGGTCAAGGGAAATCGAAAAAGAGAGGAAACATACAACAACAAAGGGCCGCAAAACTGCAGTCGGTGGACAATAATCCCGAGGATCGAACCGTCCAGAAGGATGAGTCGGGCAGACCTGATGGAGATGGAGAGAAAGTTACTCGGATTTATCCCCGAGAGCTGTAAGACCTTCTTTCTTCATGTGCCGATTCATGAATACTATTCTCAAAGAGAAATCCTTTGCACTGCGACTTTCTCTTGTTCTGCTTTGACTCCACTGCGTGAAAGATAAAAGAATGCAAAACCTTGCCGTACACAATTCGTTCCAGCTGCGGTCACCATGACGGACTTGCTGATAGTTGTTAACAGGACCAAATCGCCGGAACCAACGCCGAGCCCACCCCGAACTTCTCCTCCACTGACTCAAGCTGGCTTTAACCCTGTGGCGCCCCCAGTCCTGAGCTCGCTCGGAGTGCACAACCCACGATCGCCATCAAACCACACAGGCGAGTGGACGAGCCCGCTCCCTGTACGCCCCAACAGACACCCGCAGAGCTATGCCGGCGGGCTGAGCGTCAGTCCGTCCCCACCGAGACATCGAACAGGCATGAACATTGAAGGCGTGGCGTTCGGAGGGGGCAACTTCTCGCATTCCCCTCCCGTCCAAGCGGGAATGAGACCTCTCAGCCATCCCACCCAGTACACAACCTTTGGAGGCCGGATGTCTCTGTCTCCTCGACCTGATAGTAGGGATCGCCGAGCATCCATGTTCTCCCAACCGGGTCAACGCCTCTCATACGGTGCACCACCGCTTCCCCATGAACCCCAAGCTCATTTCTATGGAACCCCCAATATCGACTTCGGGCAGCCTCTGGGTCAAGAGACGGGTCTACAGCCCGGCGAGAATGGGTATTACTGCGGGTTCGACACTCTGAGTACCGCGGGGGATATGGCTTCGGCGACCACCGAGAATGTCATTCTTGTGGGCTATGAGGGCGCCTTGGACGTGTACCGCATCGACAGAGAGAGCATAGATCTCATCGGTCAGATTCATGGCTTGCGAGGCTCAGTCGTCGGCGCGAAGATTCTTCCGTGGACTCTCCGCAAGGATCCATGCCAGGGCCATCGACCGCTTGTCGCACTCATCCTGCACAACCCGTTGATACCCCCTGAAACCTCGAATGGAACGGACTCGCCACTCGTCGACGTAGATGATCACACCAATCCGTCTCGCTCGTCAAGTCGCCAGGCAGATCGGCGCGAGGGACGAAACGGTCATATCACAGCATACCAAACCACCGTCGAGGTGTATTCCTTGAGCTCACAGGAGCGCATAGCAATCTTGTATAGCACACCAAGTACAACGGTATCGTATTCTTTAGACGGTACTCCACTCGCACCGCCCCCTATTGGAGACCTGAGGATCGACGCGAAAGGAAAATTCGTCGTGGTCGCTTCAGGGACAAGTGGCGAAGTGTTCATATTCTCCTCTTACCCGAATAATGGGGCTGAGAACGGGTCTCAGGCTTTCCGCTGCATCGGGAAACTTTGGACCACGGTACAACAACACGAGCCGGGTGGAGAATCAAGTGCCTCGAGTGTGAGCGATGCGAATGCCCAAATCCCAGATGGGGCTGTACAGTATAGTGTGCCACTTTTCTCACTCAGTGAGCGATGGCTCGCCGTCGTTTCTCCACCGTCTTCGTCGCTCTTCACCTTGAAAGGAGATGCCCTGCTTCGCGATGAGAATCCCAACGCCCCAGGGGTTTCAAGCCATACAGCGCCTTCACAAGCCACGTCAACGTGCGCGGTGGACATGCCGGATGCCGATACCATGTTCGGTTGGGTTTCCCGGGAAGTCGCTAAAGGCATCATCAAAGGAGCGCAGTGGGTTGGCGATCAGGGTGTGCAGGCATGGAAAAGCTACTGGAATAAACCGAGTCCGCCCAATGGCCAACCACCCGGTCCCATTCACGATCCGCAGCTGCAGTACTTCCCACCAACGCACGCGCAGTCAACGCAAACCCCCCATCCAAGTAACGAGCCGGCTCCAGTCTCCGTCTTCGACTTGCAAAGGTTCCTCGATGCGGAAGAGTCAAGAGTCAAGAACTCCTTGGTGCCACTGGCCACGTTCATGCCTCCGCAGGGGTGTAGTTTCTTGTCGTTCTCGCCCACGGGGCTCCAACTCCTCACGGTTAGCCACAATGGGGAGCACAGCTTCATCTGGGATTTGATGCGGATGACATTTGGAAAGACATTAATTTCGGCCAACAAGGGGGCGGCAGGGCCGCACGTTCGGCAGATTATGAGGATCACACGGCTGACGCCTGCACATGTCGTGGATGTGGTTTGGTCGGCTCCCAACGGCGACAAACTGGCTCTTTTGACGGAGAAAGGCACCATCCATGTGCATGAATTGCCAGCTGGCGCCTTACAATGGCCGCCACCTCGAAGAACCAAACGTGAAATCGAGACGGCCAAAATAAAGGAGCCGGAATCTAACGAAGCAACGTCCTCGCGAAACCGCATGAGCTCAGCTTTCGAGGCCATCAACGGCGCAACCAAGCCGTGGCTTGACACAGTGCGAGGCCGAAGTCTCAGCAGCGGTTCCGGCATCCCGAAGATCAGTGGTCTCTCGATGACGACCGCTGCCGGGGCCGGCGCGAAAGGCGGCAAAGTCGTGGCCGCCGGCTTTGGCAAGTCCCTCACCGCGGCCACGGACTCGGTCCACAACCTCTATCACGCCGGCGACAACAAGCTGCACACGCGCCCGTTCACCGGCGCCAACTGCACCGGCACCGTCCGCTGGTTGAGCGGCAAAGACCGCGGCTACCTCGCCGTCGTCGCGGGTGGCCTCGTGCACATCCACGCCGTCAAGGAAGGCCCACCCAAGCGCAAAGGCAAAACCTCCCAGCCGCGCTCCATGATCTCCAAAACCAAGACTCTGGAATTCCGCCTTTCCCTCATCCCCGACCTCCTCTTCCCCGCCGACGTCGCCGACATCCTCGCAGCCCGTAACGCCGGTGACCCAACCCCGACGCTGCAGCCACGCGGGATCTGGCGTGTTCGCGCCCCGGGCAAACCTTCCCTTCCTCAGTCGCCGATCCCATCCACCCACCCGCGTTCCCGCGCCCAACGCACCCGCCACCCACTCTCCTTTGCCGAGATCGAGACCAACCCGCCCTACCAGCCCTTCCACACCGACTCCCGCGTCGCGCTGTTCACGTTCTCCCGCAGCCACGCGCACGATCCGTCGTCGTCGCCCGACCGATCCGACCCGCACCACCTTGACGACGCGCAGCCGTGGGCGTTCGGTGAGCCGCTGCCGAAGACGCAGCTCGCGATACCGGGGCGGGCACTCGGTGGGGGGCGTGGAGGGGAGGAGGACGATGAGGGAGGGGACGGGGCTGTGGGGAGACTGATGGAGAAGACGGTAACGCGAACGGAAGGGGGGGAAGAGATCGTGGAGCAGGTGGTGGTGACGACGAGGAGAAGGCGGAGGAGGCCGGACAGGGAGGGGGACGATGAGGATGATGGGTTCTTTGAGGATGATTGTGACGTGTTGGATTTTGCGGAGGATAGGGTTTAAGGGGGTGGATCGGTCCGTGGCTGGTGTGGCAGGGGTATAGCTGCTTGCATCATGTCTTACATTTTTCAGGAGTTCGAGGACGCATGGCTATTCGATTTGGGACGGATCATTGGGCTAGGGCATGGGAGCAAAGTAATAGAACGGGTAAGGCGTTTTTAATGGCGTGGATCATAGCCAGCCACTGTCTATATGGGAACATCGGGCAGTGATGTTTTGCTACCAAATACAAGACAATTTCCGTATCCCGAGACCGTCATGAGCTCTTTGCCTGGCGATCAGTGCCTGTATCACTCGTAGGTCACTGTCCTATGTAGGGAGGATGATTCAAATTGATTTGGAAAACTTTTATCGACACTGCCAGAGGCAGGAGGGAGTGGTTGAAGCAAAGGGGGGTAGCTAATATACAGGAGTGCGTGATCTATACCGTCATGATTCATAAACCGTGAGGTGTGCGTCTTCTCCTCGAGAAACCATTTTCCAGCCAAAGGTAGTAACTGCGTTCTTATCTTGCAGTCTCTCACACACTCATTTGCCATCATCGGTGCCATCGTGGTAGCACTGAATGCGCAAAGCAAACCAGATCCCTGAGCAAAGCACTGCCGCTATCTGCGCATCGTGCAAACTGTGCAAAGTGAGATGGATGCATTTGCACTAGTGCCTATGCCCTGAGCAAACCACAGAACAAACATCTGCCTGAAAAAGATCTTCCAACTAATCATCAGTGGCCAAACCATCACTTCAAGGAGGGCCTTGACTCAGTAATGACGAACTAGAATGGTTTTGATCTCAGTGTATACCTCCATCAGCATCATTAGCGTTCAATGTGCCCAGCTGCGGTGTATAGACTTACTAAGGGCAACCCACGGCGTTGCGAGTGTTGTTAGAATTAGCGAAACTTGAAGTCCAGTGCCTGACACCTTAAAAGTGATAGTCCATCAACGGTGATTAGCGAAGTCATGAGCTCATGGATGGCTCGCTTGGCGTCCTCTCGGGAACTGATCATGTTGATAAGGTTGGTACGCGTTAGGGGAGTTCAGCCCACCACCTCTGCGAACGACTTCGAAAGACCTAGACCGCTTGGCTCCACTCACTATGCGTTTCAAGGAAGAGGCAACGCTGCTAATGCTGTGCTTCCTATCAAGCCCTCGATGAGAACCGGCGGAGGACTCGGTACGAGCGATGAAGCTTTCCGGAGTATAGGATCGACCAGCCCGACCGGTCTTCGTGTCCTGTTCAGGATTGGGGTTGGAGCTGCCCTCTCCGTTTGAAGTGAGAGAGGCTGATCGGGACGGAGGTGCGTCGCTGTGGAGGATGGTTCCATTCGGAAGATTCATAGAGTCCATCGGTTTCTTGGGGTGGGTAATTTTCGCACGGTCGAGCATGGCTTTGGGAGACATGGCGCCACTGACCCCGACGAGGGATGCAGCACGGCGCGGGATATCGGACAGCTTGAAAGGTTTGTGATAGGTCCCGTGGAAATAGGTGCCATTGTCGTAATAGCGCTTGTGCTCGACCGGCTTGGCACGGTTCCAGACGACGTCTTCTTCACTGTCATAAGGAGGCAACGGAGGCATGGGTGGTTGAGGAGTCTCCGTACCCTTAGGGGTTATGGGAGTTTGAGGAGTCTCGGTGCTCTTGGGGGTTATGGGCGTTCGAGGAGTGAGAGGATCCATGTCGAGTTGAGGAAATTCAAGAGCAGAAAGCGCTTTTTCACATGTTTGGGAAGACGCAGGATAGGATTCTTCGTTCAGATCACCGGATGGATGCGATGATGGAAGTTCAGGACTGCTTGTGTGGTGGCCTGTGGGATTGTTGATGTGAATGAGAGACGCGGAGTTGGCGCGAAAAGCAACAGCAAATGAAGCAGTGGAGCTACGGTGCCTGGAGCCTTCACTTCGTCCAGGTCGGTTATCGTTGTCATCGCCGTTGTCATCGCCGTTGTCATCGTCGTTGTCATCGTCGTTATCATCGTCGTTGTCACCGTCGTTGTTGTTTGTGTCCTTCCCCTCATCAGACTCATCGGAGTCCTCCGAGAAACTCTCCGACGAAGTGGATTCAGAGGTGGATGATCGGTCTCCTGATTCATCAGTGGACGTTTGAAGAGCGCTCGGCGGCGTTCTAAGGCCAAGATTTAGTACAGATGCCAACGGGGCCACTGGCAGCTGATCGATATCGTGTTGACTCAGAGGCGCATGGTCACCGTTCACAATGGCATCAATGGAACCGAACATTTTCTCCCCTAGATGATGTCCACCGCACGATCCACAGACACGAAATGAGCAAGGGGGCGGCCGTAACGGAGGTACCATGGAATATTGTTCCTCGTGTCCGTGACCGACTGGGGCTTTGTCTTTACCACGACTCAGCTCGGACTCAATTGAGCCATCTCGGGCGAGGATTCGTTCAATCGTCGTAATGTTCTCCGATTGTTCAGTGTTGCGATCATCCATCGGTTCGTTTTGTGCCATCTCGTCCTTAGAATAATGAATAATGCTGAACCGATGAAAGTTGGACCGAGATCGCGTTTGACGGGGTTCCTCAAGATATTCCAGCACCTCCTCCGACTCATCGGCTCTACAAGTCTCAATGACATTGAGTCTCTGTGCCACGATGCGATTGAGCTGCTTTTGCGTATATTGGCCGGCGACAGCCGCCTCGACTATCCACGGACTGATGCCGATACTGGTCAATTCCGGAGGCGGGTCGACGATACCTTTGTACACCTCTCCGGTCCTTCGCCCTTCCATAATGGCCTCATCGTTCGCATCTTCTGAGCAGACAAAGACAGCGCCAGCCCCGGGCGGTTGACCACATTCGCTACACGCAGACGAAAAGTTGAGTACGAAGGTCCCGTGGGTGCAGCTGATGCGTTCTCGCATCGCCGGCGGAGGACGCCTCGCTGGCTGAGGATGAACGGGCTGGTCTTCGTGTGAGCTGAGATCGAAATGTACACGTTTGGGGCTTGTCGGGTTTGCTAATGATGCATCTTGCTTGTCTTTCCCTTTGACTTGCTGTATGCTTTGATCTCCGGCTGGCTGCTCATCTCGCAGCCTTTGTTGACGCCTCACGATCCTCTCAAGTGATTGTCGAAGTGCTTCTCTCACCAGTGGGTGACCTCCCCTTGAGGGGGGCATGTTGGCAAGCCAGCCGAGAACCGGATAACTTCAGGAGAGCATGAACGCGCGTTTGCAATGAATTTCAAAAGGCGGCAGAGGATGAAGAGAATGGATAAGAGGCGGAAAGGAATGGAAAAAGCAGACACCATGAGGGATTGTGCACGGAGGTAGCTTGCGATGATTTACAAGAATAAGGCTGCGAGGACGCCACCCTCTCTGGTGAGTCGAGGCATCGTGAACCGGATCATTCATGTGGCACTTCTGTACAGTATTCATGTGTATTACTCCGCTGGGCCGACTATCGCTATCCCATGCGCATGTGGCGACGAGGAAAGCGCGAGCTGCGAATATGACCGACGGCACGACACTTCAAACTTCTTCGACGGCATTCAACTTCAACCGCCATCCCCAAGACAAATTTACGCAAAGGCTAGATGGAAGAAAGCGACCACTACGAGCAAGCAGTCAAACGCGACAAGACATGACTCTGAGTGCAACGGGCGATCGCTTTGGCTTGACAAGTATCGGCAAACACGTTGGAGTCAACGATAAAGACTCACGAAAAAATGTCGCTCCTTGATGAAAGATATCTAATTATACTATACCCTTTTTGCGACAAAGCTTCTGATAGACTGGTTTCCTACTCTTTTTCCTTTTATTTTCAGGCTTCCTCTTACAATGATGAGTCGCCTTTTGTGACCATGTCGATGAAGAGTCCGGGCGCTTCAAATCTACAATGCCAGTAAAGTTTGGAAATGGAAACCGTTGAAGTATCGACCGATATCCTGTGGTTGATGAGGTTGCAGACATTGTCGTCGCGGACCGGCAGTTGATATACTTCGGAGGGGTTGAGGTACGGAGTACGGGCCTTGCTGTTAAGGAGATCCCTGAGAAAGTGAGAATACCCAAGGCGCAGCGGGGGGATACGCCGAGCAGCTATTCTCTGGGACCTGTGGGGGAACATTGCAGTGGGGGAACATTGCAGAGGGGTTCTTGGCCTTCTGGATCACGACGTTACCACCACCAAGTACCGATCGTGCTTATACGCATAGGCGCGGCAGATCCAGTCATCCAGAGAGTACTATATTACTACTATTGTCTACCATGGTAAGTTTTTCAAGAGATGGAGTTTGGTTGCAAATGGAGTCTGACCTGGTTTGAGAGTCAGGACGTGCAAGACAACAGCGAACGGCCCATATAGTATTGGTCTGATATTGCTCCGCAGCAACAGCGTTATTGTTATAAGGATGCATCTGGCCACTTGCGAAGGACACTAGTACCTTATGTATGGGTTTTCCCCACAACGTGCACGGCACCACTCCTTGCACGGTCCATCGCGTCATAAGCGCTCGCGATGGGCACTCAGTTTTGCAGCCATTCGCGCCCATATACAATAGAGATTTAGAAAAAATTGTTGTTATGACATTCTGAGATACTATAAGCTTATTTAGGGCCCAAATCGAAGTCCTTAAGATATCGTGGTGGCCGGGAAATGCGACCTCGCCGCGTCTGAGTCTCCATTCCTTCAGATTCCTCTCCATCGCTATCTAGCTCCTCCACATCGCTGCTGATTACCTGCGGCTGTACAATTTGCTGTGGAGAGGCTTCTTTTGCTCGTTTTCTGGTGTTTCGAGGTGTTTTTAACTCTTGGAGAAGCTGTGCCTGTGCCGATCTTGCTTCACGATCAGCCTGTCGAATGGCCCTACGTCGAGCAAGCTCTACCTCTCTTTCTGCCGCCCTAATCTGACGGTCCTGTGCCCGTTGAGCAACTTGTTCCGCTCGTAGCCTATCATTCTCTGCCCTCTGAAGTGCTTTATTCAGTTTTGCCTGTGCTTTCCGTGCCTTCTCATCGCGTTTGCCCTGATCCTTCTCTCGCTGGAGCTCACGAGCTCGCTCGATCTTTTTAGGATTGTAGAACTGTGATTTGGAACCCGATTCAGCACGTAGCTCTTCAAATAAGGGTCTGCCACGCTTACGCTTCCTCCTTTCGTGCATAATGGCATGTCTAAGGCCCTGATTTTCGCCTCGGAGGAGAGCTAT